CTTATCCCTTTATTGCCCTTCTCTATTTTGCAGCTATCATTTTTCTTTCAATCGGCTTTTGCGTGTAAATCGATTGAAGTAAACGGCTAGGTGGGGTTGCTAAAATATTGATAGAAACAAATAATCGGCTTATCGGTTGGAAAGGGGAATTGGAGAATGGGATGGGGAATTGAGGGGGTGTTCGGGGTGAGGCTGAAGGGGCACACGACCCCAAGAGCCACCCCCAAACATTATCGCTTTTGCTGAGTTGGGGAGCTTGTAAAAATTCGGATTTTTCAACATTTCTAGATTCGTTACAGGGTAAACAAGGTAAACAATGATTGGTCAACAACCGCAAGTCAACAACCGAATTGTTCTCTGAATTCTTGAAAGTTCTCTGAGCCATTAGATAAGATAGCTACTATCTTATCATCTAAAACTGTAATCTCTATTCTAATTGTAATCTAAGCCAGATAAAAGGTTCATTTACTCAATCCAATCATTGAATTGTGTAATTAAACAGAAAACTAATTAAACAGAACAGAAACATTAATCGTTTTGTGTGTCAGATGTTGATTACAAGTACTTTGAGCTGTGTAAACACAGCCTTTCTGGTTCCTTGCGATAACAAATCATTGCTAGAAGAAAAATGAAGAATTCACTGCACCAGAAAATGCAGAAAGTTTGAGCACAAAGTACATCCGATAGCTGTAATCGTAAGTTCTTTGGCACTCCAAAAACCCTCGCCTTAGTTACTCAATTCAATGCTACATTTTATTGTTAAATATCGATTGTAAACTGTAAACTAGACTTCGGAAAACAAAACAAAACTTAACCAAAACCAAAACCACCAAAGGCAAAACAGACCAAAACCAAAACAAACCAAAACCACCAAAACCAAAACCAAAACAAACCAAAACAAACCAAAACCAAAACCAAAACTAACCAAAACTCGCCAATATCTCGCGATTGGGAGGAGCTAGCGAAAATCTGTTTGCAGATTTGAAATCAGCGTCCAGAAATCTATCCCATAGGTTATTTTTTGTTTCGAAATTTCGAGGTCGTGTTTTGGTCCTTTTTTCGCGAGATTTTGGGGAGTGAGAAAAAGTGAAAGGCAAATTTGCATTTTACATTAAAACTTGCATTTTACATTAAAATTTACATTTTACAATTCTAAATTTACATGTTAATTTATATGCAAATTGAGTTTTGGTTTGTTTTGGTGTTTTGGTTTTGGTTCTGGTTTCGGTTTTGGTCTGTTTTGGTTTTGGTTTTGTTTGCCGAACTCCACTGTAAACTATTGATTCTAAATTCTACATTTGATTGTAAACTGTTGAATTTATCTGTTAAATTTAAGTAAACCATTGAATTTATCTAGGTAAACGAAACTAGTTTCAGATTTTAGCCTTGAAATTAAGAATTTCCCAAAACATCGAAGCTCGGATCGTTTTCAATCAAGCAAAAAAAAAAGAAACAAGCCTCTTTCTACCCCTTTTTCCCCCATTTGATCGAATAATTCCAAAGCCAAACAGAAACAATAAAAAGTTATCACTGAATCAAAAAAGAGGGGGGAAAAAAGAGGCGCCCCTCAATACACTCAGCAAATTTCTCATTCCGAACCTCTCAGATTTGTCTTTTCACTCAAAAATGAAACTTGTTTTATAGATTTTTACATTTTATTCTTCTATATTTTGTCTAATCATCTTTTAAGATTATATCGAAATTGTCTCATCTCTTTTATCTTGTATCTATCGCTGAATATCTTGAGCTTATACATGAATTGAATATGTAAAAGTTGAGATAAGCTTATGCAATTTTAACGAAACCCTAACCCTACCGATTAGCCAAAATTAAAGCCGAATAATAAGCAAAAATCATTTGTCGCAATTCTACAATAGAAACAGACAAAAACGCAAGGCATCTAGTGCATTGTTTAGGGATTTTATGCATTAGTGCGTAAAAATTCTTGTAGTTTTCTTGAAAATCTGTCCACGAAGATAAATTTCATTGGAAAACATTGAAAATAATCCACAACAATTGAACAAGGCTCCGTTTGACCTTCTTTTGCTCAGATCCACTCGTGTAGCCTACTTCCAACGGATCGTTACTAACATCTTTATAAGTAGAACATCTTTAGAAGTAGTCTGAAAAAGACTTGTATTTCAAATCGAGATCAATTAACTCTAAAAAAGCAAAAGAAACCCGGCTCCGTAGTTCAGTCTAGATCAGTGGATTACGGTATTTAGTCTAGATTAGCTGGATTAGGATATTCAGTCTAGATTAGGAGATTCAATCTAGATTAGGATATTCAGTCTAGATTAGCTGGATTAGGGTATTCAGTCTAGATTAAGGTATTCAGTTAAGATTAGCTGGATTACGGCATTCAGTCTAGATTAGAATATTCAGTCTAGATTAGAATATTCAGTCTAGATTAAGTCATTCAGTTAAGATTAGGATATTCAGGCTAGATTATGATATTCAGTCTAGATTAGCTGGATTACGGCGTTCAGTCTAGATTAGGATATTCAGTCTAGATTAGGAAGCTCAGGCTAGATTAGCTGGATTACGGTATTTAGTCTCGATTAAGTGATTCAGTATGGATTAGCTGGATTGGATTGGATAAAAATTGAGACAAGATTACGGTGGAAAGAGAAAACTGAGAGGTTTTAGAATTATTTGAGAGGGAAAAACTTTAGCCAAAGAGTTTGTTGCTCAAATTCAAGCTTTTTTTTATCAAAATATAGCTATCTACGAGTTATAGAAATGAAATTTTAACGTTCTTTTTCGTTTTTTAAGTGCCGTTTTCCCTTTTTTTCGATATTAGCTTGAAATTTTTGTAGAAAAATGGGGAGTGGGACAAATGTGACCTTTTTTTTGCGCACCTGGACATTTGCGCACCTTTTTTTTTGCTGGAAAAGGCCTTAGGAAAGGTCGTAGAGCTTCAAAAATGTTTTCACATAAGGGAATCGTATGCGTAGATTCAGAATTTCAATAAATCAGACCTCGCTGACACATCAAAATTGGGCTAAAAGGCAAAAACTACGCAACTTAACGCTTTTCCGCAGTTTTTGCCTTTTAGCCCAAATTTGACGTGTCAGCGAGGTCTGATTTGTCGAAATTCGGAATCTACGCATACGATTCCCTTATAAGGAAATATTTTCGAAGCTCTACGACCTTTCCTAAGGCCTTTTCCAGCAAAAAAAAGGTGCGCAAATGTCCAGGTGCGCAAAAAAAAGGTCGCATTTGTCCCATCCCCCTTTTAGCTAAAATATTGGTATCAAGCATTGGGAAAGACACATCGAAAATGAAGGAAAATGAATGAAAATGAAATACTCAGCAAAAAAAAGAAGGGAAAAGTTGTTCGAAAAGTGGAAAACGAGCGGGAAATCCTTTCATTTTTCTCTGTTTTGCGCTAAATTTTCGAGTTTGGTGAGAGATTTTTGGGGGTTTTTTTTCGTTTTTTTTGGGTGCGGCTTTTTTCTTCGATATCACCCCGATTTCAGCAATCGGATATTCAGTTGATTTGACCAAAATTCCACGCAAAATTTCATTCTTATAACTCATAAATAGCTATATTTCGCTAATTTCTATTAAAAATTAGATCTTCGGTTAAAGAGATACCGAAAAATTCCTTTATTTCATCGATTGAGCTCAAATTTGATCGAAAATTGAGCTCAAATTCGACAAAGGACGCCAAAAACGGAAAAAAGGCGCAAAATTTCTATCCAAATTTATTCAGAAGACTCAAAAGATCTCTGAAAAAGCGTTTTTTCAGCTCAAATTTTATTTAAAATGCAAATTTGATTTTGTTTTTGGATAAAAATCTCTTCTAAGCTTTAATCCATCAAAATCGAATTTAAAATTTGTTTCAATTGAAGCTTCAATTGAAAAAATAAAGATATTCAGCTATTCAACTCAAGATTTGAAAAGAAAAATAGAGCTATTCAGCTTGTCGGCTTTAAAATTAGCATTCAAAAAGGCTTTTAATTCAAATTTCATTTTCAAACTTCAAACAAAATTGAAGAGATTGCCCTCGAGGCGGGGTTCGAGTCCAAGCGCTCCAAATAAGCCAAGATATTCAGCGAAGAAGCCAATTTTGACTTTCGATTTCGTTTTTTGACCTTTCTTGAAGCTCCAGAATTCTCTTGTCTTCAAATATTCAAATTTTCTTCGTTACCATTACTATTCAGCTATTCAGCGATCAAGCGATCCGACTTCAAACAAAAAAAAGAGAAATTTGCTAATGCAAATCACGATTAAAGAGTATTCATTTCGAGGAGATTTGACGTGATCTGACTGCTTTTTTTTTCGCGTCCTTGACTCCGATTTTGCCCTCCGAAAAATCGAAAACAGAAACGGAAAAGAAAAAAGAAAAAAATCGATCTGAAATTCTTTCATTTTCTTTATTCTACTTTTCTATATTCTTTTTGAATTTTGAATTTTGAATTTCTATAATTTTGAGTCTTTACTGTATTGCATTTGGGCTGGATTTCAAGAACGATCGATAGCTTTATTGGATCGATAGATCGATAGTACTGAATATTCTATAGAGTACGGTAATCAGTCTACAGTACAGTTGGATACAGTAAACCGTAAGCAGTTCTTACAGTACTATCGTACTCCAGTTCTGTACTATCGTACTCCAGTTCTACCCAGCCTACACTACTCCAGATTGTACTCAAAAGTACTCTGGATACAGCACCAATACTATTCCCAGACTCTTCCATATTTCAGTACTACTTCAGTACTACTGGACTTTACAGTACATAGACTACAGTACTCTACGAAACTCTAGTACTACAGTACTGCTCTACAGTAGTCTGGCAAAGAAACCAGTACTGTTACCCAGCCTGCATCAGTTCACGAATCAAACTTGAACAAGTGAAAACATCAAGAAATAGATCTGCTATTCAAATCCCAATCACTTGTTCCAATTCTTATCCTTTTCTTTTCATCTCTCTCATCTTTGGCGATCCTCTTTTTCAATCCAATTTCCCAATCACTGCGTCGATTGAAAGAGCATGCCGATTGGCGATCGAGTGTCCAAATCTCTGTCCGAGATTCTTGCTGGACACCGCCATCCATCCATTTCTATTTTTCGCTCCCCACTGCGACACCCGGATAATGGTAGAGTTGGATAATAAATTGTACTGGATTATTATAGAAATTGTAAGAATACTATATCGGCTATGGTATAGTTGATCTTTGTTGATCAAAATTTGGTGTAGATGGACAAGAAGTACAAACAAGAAGAACTGAGATTTATTAGGTTGGCAGGTTAAAAACGATCGTTTATAACTTGCCAACCTAATAGAACAAGAATGAAGCTTGAGCTTTAATTGATTTGCTAGTCAATCGATCGCATGTGGCCACAGTGGCCGCACAAAGAACACCTCAAAGAACAATGGGGTTCTTCTTTTGCTTTGTAGATGGCCTAAATAGAAGATATTCAGTTGTAAATTTGTACCCGAGGGTTTTCAGGGACGGGGAATCGAAGCTATTCATTTTCTTTGGACTTTTGTTTTGAGGAATCGTATCTCTTGAGGTTTACTTTGTGCTCACGTGTAAACGCTCCTTTCCTAGCGCACTCATTTCTTCATTTTTCTTGCTAACTTAAATTGAAAATCGAAGAATCGAGTGCGCTAGAGAGGGTGCGTTTCCAGCACAAAGTACAGTCTGTGATCGTCGATCGTTTGGCGCAGAATGAATCCGATTTTGATCTATGAAACTTGTAACTCAGAAATCAAGCTATCAAAGAGTAATAAGATAAATATTTATTACTTAGATAATAAGATACCGTAAATACTGTAATAGTACCCCACCCCCATAATGACGGAGTGGAGTGTTGCGTAGTCTGGCTTTGAACGAGTTTTTCTCGACACTGATTTATGCTACAATGTTCGTTTTGGTATCAAAAAAATAGCCCTGAACTTCAGCTATTTTTTGATACCTAAACGCGCATTGTAGCATAAGCCAGTGTCGAGAAAAACTCGTTCAAAGCTAGACTACGCAACGCTACGTAATAGTAGCGCCCCCCTAAAATGATGGTCGGTCGCGTAGTCTAACTTTAAACACATCTTTCTCACCACCTGTTTCTGCTACAATGCGCGCTTAGGTATCAAAAAATAGCTGAAGTTCAGGGCTATTTTTTGATACCAAAACGAACATTGTAGCATAAATCAGTGTCGAGAAAAACTCGTTCAAAGCCAGACTACGCAACACTCCACTCCGTCATTATGAGGGTGGGGTACTATTACAGTATTTACGGTAAGTATTTATTACTTATTCTCAGTACATCTAACATCAATCTAAGCCTAACTAAGCGCTACAGAAATCTAAAAAAATTCAATAATTCCAGACGGCGAAGACCATAAATGGAGTGGTGAGTTTTGTACTCTGAAAGTACCGTAACGCATGTACGTAACGTCCCATATCATTTCAAATAACAAAAAAAAACAATCTAAATATCTGTGATGTGGAGTGATTCTTTCAAAATATAACTGAAAATTTCTCAGAGTGTAGTGTAAAATCGGCGAAATTTCAACAATTCTCATTTTAGATGAAGATGAGAGAGCTCAGAAGAACACGTTTACGAAATGGATCAATTATCATTTAGAAGAAGTGAGTTCAAAAAAGAAAAATGATCTTTATGCTCAAAACACAACCTTTCTAGTGCACTGAAGTCTTCAATTTCTCAAGAAAATGAAGAATTCAGTGCGCCAGTAGCTATTTTAGAGTACAAAGTGCAAACTTGTAAACGCTAACTATTTGGCGCACTGAAAACTCTTCAGTCCGTTCAATTACTGTTTAGAAAGCTTTACATTTAAAAACTTGAAAGTCAGAAGCTAAGATTTTGTGATTTGAGGCGTCTAACAGTGTCCGGTTCAATTGCGTAAAAGTCTCCGGTTCAATTACGCAATCAAGTTGGTAACTTTATATTTTTAGCACTCAGCCTCCGGACATGTGGAGGATCTGTATGAAGACATCAAAGACGGCGTTTTTCTGTGCCGTCTCATCGAGGTGTTGACCGGTGAAGCACTGGTTTGTTTTTGAGAATACTTTTGACAACTTTTGACAAGAGATAGTCAACAGACTAAGCTTACCAAATGTAATGAGCCAAATGTAATAAGCCTGTAATAATAATAAGACTATCAAACGTAGAATTTGACACTCATTCCGAATATCTAATTCCTTTTTGCAAAATGATTTTGAATCGCGCGCAATTTGGCAATTTTTGGTGTGCATAAACGCGCTAAATAGTATAGGAGAGAGCTATGAGGGACACCATAAAATGTTTACAAAAAAAAAACAAAAGAAATAAGTGAGCGGATTCGAAACCCTGAGTAGCTACTTTGTATACAAATCCACTATCCACTAGGTCACGCAGCAGTTGCTACGCGGTGTGTAAAGCTATGAAAGAGTGGGCTATTAAAGCTATGAAAGAGTGGGCGCGTAAGTCTTATAAAGAGAGGCTAAAAACTTCTTTGCTAAACTAAAAACTCTAAAAAAATTGCTCTTGTTCCAGAATCATTTTACAAAAACGAATCAGATATTCGGAATGAGCGTAAAATTCTGCGTTGGTTAGTTCTGGTAAAATTGTGCGTTTATGACTCATTTCATTTAGTGAGCTGGGTCTATTGATCCCTTGTGAGCTGGGTCTGTTGATCCCTTGTGAGCTGGGTCTGTTGATCCCTTGTGAGCTGGGTCTGTTGATCCCTTGAATCCAATGTTCAAGATCAATAAATCAGCAATGTTTAACGGTTTAGCTGTACAAGATTTGCTCATTTGTAACTCTTTTCTGCATTTTTCTTCATTAACAACTTTTCAAGGAATAAGTGCTTCAAAAGAAAGGGGAATGAGCAAGATGGAGTTGGAGTTGTCAGCTGGTTGTGGGAATGAATGTACTTTGTGGGGATGAATGTGCTTAAAATCTAAGCGCACCTTCCTGGAGCAATGATTCTTCATCTCTCTCGCGACATGCAAGAAAAATAAAGAATTGAGTCCACCAGAAAGGGTGCGTTCACACTTTTCGCGCATAAATTGCATTTAGTAGATTAACCAGTAGATTAACTTTGTTCAAGAGTAAGCGCTCATGAGCCAAGGGAATTTTCTAGGGAATTTCCCAAGGTCATTCTCCATTTCACATTCATTTCTTTTTCCCAAATGCTTCTCATCGTTTTCAAATTTGATAAATGACCTTTTTTTTGGGAAAAAGAAAAGAAATCGAAAAAAGAGTGATTGTGAGATTGATTCGTGCAAAAATTGACCAAAAATCGACCTTTATTCAAGTTCTGAACTCAAAAATGTAAAGCATTTCTACATATTTTCAAAATCGAAAGCTTATAAATCGTTTTAGAAGTTTTTTGTTAAACAAACTTTTCAAATAGAACTTTTCCTTCACACCAGAGTAAATAGAACGGTTGGGGGTGAAAAACAAAAGTGTGGAACATCAGTCAAACATCAGTGAAAGGACTTGTTAATGGGAAAAATTTGAGAAGGGGGGTTTATAGAAAAAAGGCAAAATCCAACAAAAGATCTTAATAAAAATGTAAATTGCTGATTTCCAGCCGATCAACAAATCCCGACAATCGAAACGCGTTCACCACATCGCGAATCTCACCACCGCGCTGCAAGTGTTGAGGTGGGTTCAGAGAAATGAAAAGCTCATAAAATTACTACTAACGCATAAAGAACACTGGTTTTCTGTCAGCATTTCTTGAAAAAAAAAACAAAAGAAAGAGTGGTGATGACCAAAGCGAGGATCGAACTCGTGTGGTCTCGCTCTGGAAACGAAGACTGTACCACTCGGCCACGGCTGTGGTTTGCCGGTCCCGCAAGGAGACCCTTAACATCCGCAAGGAGGCCGCTAAGATCACATTTTAACTACATTTTCGTAAACACATCCTTTCAATCGCTTTGAATTCTCACTTCATCAGTTTTGCATGGAATTCAGTGCACCAGAAAGGGTGTGTTTACACGTTTTGAGCTCAAAGTACCCTAGAATCGTGTCATTTTTCAGACATCGTGGCCTCGAGTTGATCAACAACAACGCGTCGGATTTGGCTGATGGAAATCCGCGGATTGTGTTGGGCTTGATCTGGCAGATCATCTTGCACTTCCAGGTGAGAAATTTGCATTCAGATTTTAATGCTTCGAATAAAGATACGGATATGAAAAGTGATTGGAATGAGCGGATCTGGTGATAAACAAATCATTTGTCACCTTTAGAAAAAAGAGAAAAAGAGAATGTGAGACGCGTGCCATTTTCCCTTATCTAAAAGATATTCAGTGAAGATAGATATAAGAATAAAAGGCAATAAGAAAATTTTCAGCTAAAGATTATTACACACAAATAATCAGTTGAAAATCTGTATGGATTTAAAGCCAAAACTCGAAACACTTACAATTCGATAGTCGATTGATCCAAGATATTTTGATCTCAAATTTCAGAGCCACTTTAGATATTAAATATTAGATAAACATTAGATAAACATTAGATAATAGTCTAGAAAATATAGAAATTATTAAGAAAAGTCATTTTACATATTATTTAGATTGAAACCAACGTTCAATTGTTACGAGAATGGGGCTGGGGCGCCACGGCGACTCCACAAAGAAGCCCGCTCAAGCAGAGACTCAGGTAATCAATGTTTCCTATACTTTTATATGTCGTAGTCGATTATGAATTTCAGCCGATTATGAATGAGTGGGTCCGGACGCGTCCAACCATCAAGTATTTGGTATCATTCAACGCAGAATCATTGATAATTGTGTTAAATTTTTAAAATTGGAAAGATTGGATAGAAAGAAAAAAAATTATGGGGCTTCAAAGTTTTCTCTTGAACAAACCGTTTTCTTGCTCTAATTTTTTTTTCTTTTCATCAAATCTTGCTAATTTTAAAAATTTAACACAATTATCAATGATTCTGCGTTGAATGATACCAAATACTTGATGGTTGGACGCTTCTAAACTCACTCATTCATAATCGGCTACGGGGTCCCGCCGATTTTGAATGAAACGTTGTAGCGCCGGCAATTTTTAACCTAAACTCACAAATTTGGTACCAATCGACGCAGAATTCAATTCGCTACAGGATGATATAATATTGTCTTCATACATTAAAGGGTTGCTCTACTAGAAAGATTTGCGAAAAAATTTCATTCATAATCGGCTATATTGCTAGCTACTAATTGCTAGATTGAAGACATAGATTGAATACTTTTTATTCAATCTACGGAATTCAATCAATTCAATTTCGTAAAAGAAAAGTTTTGAGAAAAAAAGGAATCGAACTGCAAAAGCTGCGACTCATTCTGCAAAAGCTCGTTTTGTATACGAGCGTTTTATCCACTATACCAAAAAGACACGTTTGTGGTCCTTGAGAGAACCCTTGTGAAGGCATTCGGCTCGAAATTTCCACATTTCCACCTTAAAACTTAAAACACGTATAACTTTTTATAGAAAACCCTTTTACAAAAACGGAAAGCAGATTCGGAATCAGCGTAAAATTCTGCGTCGAATCACCAATGGCTTATCTCATTTCACATCCTACTGTTGTCTTTCCCTTGTTAGATTTCCTAACTACTACATATTATTTCAATGAAAGCATTGGGAAATTAGAAAATACTTATAATTAGTTTTTTTGAGGAGGTTAGAGGCTAGCTATATTGTTAAATTCTTTGCTAACCACAATTGTTCAGAGAATTCATGCCCGGCCCATCAAGTTCATCACCGCGTTTGGGCGCGCACAAGATGAAGAGCAACGTTGAGGCGGTGCTGCTGCGATGGATAAACGCTGAAATCGCTGAGTGAGTTGTTTTCCTGAAAGTTTGTACAGTCGATCTTCGATATAATGAACTTCAATACAACAAACACTTCGATATAACTCTTTGACTCTTTGGCCGATCCTTTGAGGTTCATTATATCAAGACTCGCCTGTATTATGTTGTTAAGTTTCTTGGTCAAGTTCGGCTGTAAAGCCTATAAACCGGGCTATATCATAGCTTCAGGTAAGAAGCTAGTTCCCGGTTTTCTTCTGACCTTAGTCCAGAAAAATTGTCTTTAGAATCACCTCAAGAATTCAAGCGAATAAAAGAATTCAAGTGTATAAAAGGTTTATAAAGTTCGTGAAAATGTTTCTAAAGATATTTAGCTATTTAAAACGCACAATCTAGTCACTTATCGTAAACGAATAGCCGGCTCTTCCATTTTTCAATGTCTCTCCAAAGTTTTTCTTTTTATACAGAATCCCCAAATTTTCAAGAGCTCAAAAATGAGTGTTTTTGTTGGATTTTCATTCGCTTTTTAATGTTATTAAGCTTTTTAGTCTATAACTATTATTTGAAGTCTTTAAAAGTCTTTAAAAAGTTCAGCATTTTACTATCCGAGAGTTGAAAAAATAGAAAATTTTGTCTAAAAGGGATCTTCTAATAGAGAGAGCTCAATTGAGATAAATACAGTAAGTTCAAAGTTTACCTAGACCAAATTCCTAGAGTTGAAACCTAGCACACTTAATCCCAGAAAAAAACGGTTTTATTTGCAAAGTTGTAAGCTGTGGTGTGTTGACAAACTAAAGAGATGAGTGTTTGTTGATGATTGAGAAGGGGAATATCAAATGGGGAAGGGGAAAAGGGAATAGAAAGGAAAAGGGAATAGAAGAGAAAAGGGAATAGAAGGGGAAAAGAAGCGAAAGGAGTGCCGCCATTCGAATGATAGCAAGGGTGAACAAATATGTGAAAGATTGCCTAGAATGAGGCTGGGAAATAATTCAAGGGGTTTCGCAAAGGAATGAGCTTGGTATAAATTGTGCTCAAAAGTGGAAACGCATTCTTTCTGGTGCGCAGAAGTCTTCGTTTTTGCAGCAACCGCTAGAAAGAGGAAGAATTCAGTGTACCGGAGGAAATGCGTTTACATTTTTTGAGCACAAAGTGCATCAGTGAAAAGTGCATCAGCGAAAAGCCTATGATCGTTAGCTGCAAAATGGAAATTGATACTGAAAGCGCGCTCGGTTCAATTACCCTCGTACATTTAGTGAATTGTGATTTAGTTCAGAATTGTGCTCATTTCAGACAGCTAGGGATGAAAGTCGAAAATATGGATAAAGCGTGGAAAGACGGACTACTCTTCAATGCGCTCGTTCACAAGTGGAGACCCGACAAAATCGATTTAGAGGTGAAAAAAAGATTATAGAAAATGGATTTTAATAATTGTTTAATAGCGGATAAACAGCTTACAGTACTGTGAATTGTCCGGCACTTGTACTAGTTTATCTAACGAATCTAAAGGATGATCAAAAAGTTCCCGCACACTTTACAAAAGAAGTTCGATTTTTTAGTTAAAGCCCAGATTGAAATTCGACTTAGTATATAGTATTTTGAAGCTGAAATTCTAGGGACCATTTCTACACTTAAACTATCCAGATCAAAGCCACCTAGCTCTTCAAAGAAGCATTGTAGTACACTGGTGGCAAACTGGAGGTTCTTGAAAGGGCTAGAAATTTCTGATCGGAGTCATTTACTTATAGTTCATCAGAATTTCAGCTTTAATACTATAAAACACGGGAAATTTTGTTTTAGATTTCATTGAGAAAATGGATTACAAGTGTGCGGGGAACTTTTTGATTATCCTGTACTGGCTTATTCTGACCTTTTTTACTTTGTTTAGAAGCTAACAGATAAGAAGTTTAAAATTTAGAATTACTAAAAGAAATTCAGGCTGTGAAAAAGCGAACTCCGAAGGAGAACTTGGAAAACGCTTTTGAGGCGGCGCATCGATATTTGGGGATTCGACGGCTGTTGGAAGTTGAGGATTTGTTGTGTGAGAAGCCGGATAAAAGGTAGATACGGTAATCCCTGAGATTTACAATTTTTCCAGATCCAGGCCGCTCCTAGAACCAGGGCGTTTCTAGATCCAGGCCGTTTCTAGGATTGTTAGAAGCCAGCTTTGAGCCTGGCTTGGCTGGATCTGGGTTAGCTTCTAGGCAGATTCCTAATCTAAACCTTGACCCTAGCCTGGACTAACAGATCTCTATTTGGACACTGTTTCATCCAGGCTTCCTAGGTCATATCTAGATCTAAATAGCTATTTATATTATTTTCAATAGATCAATCATCACCTACGTTTCGCAATTCGTTCGAACAGCCGGCGAGAGGCGACCGATCGAGGAGGGTGCTCAATTCGCTCCATTCTTGCAATGGCTCGAGACGGTTTATCATCAGGAAATGAATCCCGAAGATAATCATGTATCAAATATTAGATAAACTATCAGATAACTATCATTTATTCAATTCAGGCCTATTTCCGGCTTCGACGCGAATTCCTCGAGCATCGGCAAACGTTTCAAACGATTCTCGCCACAAAGACTAACTTCAGCGTCGACGAGTTGACCGAGATTGAGAATAAGTGAGTATTTAGACCAAAATACTGTAATAATAAGCCGTATTCTTCCCGGTTTTCCCCATTTCCATACGAGTTTTCGTGTCACTCAATTTATTCCACTTATCAACGCAAAAATCAACGACCCAGCCCTCTTTCCCCTGTAATTTCCCCCGTCGGTCACGTGCCGCCATAGCTCAGTCGGTTAGAGCGTGGGTCTAATACTCGTTTAGACAGCCCAAGGTCGCAGGTTCGACCCCTGCTGGCGGCAAATTGTTTTGCCATTTCACAAAAAAACGAACTCGGGCCCTTTTCTTTGTAAATTTCCCCCCTCAGTCGCGTGCCGCCATAGCTCAGTCGGTTAGAGCGTGGATCTAATATTCATTTAGAGAGCCCAAGGTCTCAGGTTCGACCCCTGCTGGCGGCAAATTGTTTTGCCTTTTTGATTACTTTTCGCTTCTTTTCATACTTCTATCGAAAAATAACAAATTCATCAGTTAACCTATAGTTTTTCCTAATTAAAAATGTTTATTGTTTAATTTCCAATCTTTTTAAGTCTATTTCGATTCACTTTCAAGCAAATTCAAGACTGAAAAAACATGTTTTTCGTAAAAATCTTTAAAAACCTCTATGAAGAAATTGGCTGAATGAATTTCTCTGAAAATTTGGCTGTATACCTAACTTTTTATGCTCTATCTTTTATCTAAAGACGCAAAGATAGGTTTACTTAGCTAAAGTGTCTAAATCGGATCATCGAGCCGTGGCCTAACTACCCGACTTCATACTCCCAAAAAAATCGAAAAATAAGACATTTTAAACCCGTTTTAATGTTATTTTGCAGAAAAATAATTAGCCTTTCTAATGAAACAAACAAATCAAATGGTTCATTGGTGGTTTTAAACGGAAGTACAAAAAGGAACGAAAAGATTTTGTGGATTTATAGTTGAGATTTGTCGTACTAATAGCTGTTTATTCTACTGAATACAGTAAACTAACAGACGGTATAAAGTACGGTATAAAGTTACGTTTATAAACTTTATTGAATTAAATCCTTTTTCCCAGATGGGATCGTGTGAGAACCCGGCTGGAAGCGGCGGCTTCCCACGCCGAAAAGGATCTCCCCGAGCCATTCGCCTCGCTTTCGATGTGGACAACGCATGGACAAGTGGGGAGAACTGATTTACCTATATTTAATCGAAATCTTTATATATATTTCTAGAGATTAAATCAAATTCGACAGGTCTGATATCAAATATTTGACAATCGCTCAAGATTAAAATGTCCGTCCTAGATGCTTCTGAATACACCCCTTCAACTCTATCAACACGATCCGCAGAAGACGGTCAACTTGTTGCACAGTCTCATCGATGAGCATCAGGTACGGATCTGACAAGGGCTGAAGAAGAAATTGACCTTTTGAGTCAAGCTGGCCCGAGTCAAGCTGGCCCGAGTCAAGCTGGCCCGAGTCAAGCTGGCCCGAGTCAAGCTGGCCCGAGTCAAGCTGGCCCGAGTCAAGCTGGCCCGAGTCAAGCTGGCCCGAGTCAAGCTGGCCCGAGTCAAGCTGGCCCGAGTCAAGCTGGCCCGAGTCAAGCTGGCCCGAGTCAAGCTGGCCCGAGTCAAGCTGGCCCGAGTCAAGCTGGCCCGAGTCAAGCTGGCCCGAGTCAAGCTGGCCCGAGTCAAGCTGGCCCGAGTCAAGCTGGCCCGAGTCGAACGAGCCAAGCCAGTGTTAGAGTTAGTAAGAGGACTCTGTTAGAGTTAAGCTTGACTTCCCTAGTTATTGCACCAAGCTTTACCTGGTCTTACTGCCAGATCTACAGTTAGTATAAGAGTCGTGCACAAAGTTGATAGTGGGCACAGTCAGATCAACTTGCTGTACCCCAACAAACTTACTACAGAGTGACCAGCCGCCCTAATCGTCCGTTCTAGGCTCATATTTTTGTTATTTGTAGATCAAAACGATCAGTTTCTTTTTTAAACGAAAATTTATAGCATTTTCTGTATATTTTCGAGATTTCGTGACCAAAGCATTGATAGATAATTTTTTATGAACACTCAAAAATGGCTGGTTGAAAAAATAGCAATCTGCAATTCCAGCGTACATAAAAAAATATCTATCGATTCTATGGTCATGAAATATTGAACATATACAGAAAATAATCTAAATTTTCATTTAAAAAATAAATTAATTGTTTTGATTAAATAACAAAAACAGTTTTGAAGAAATAACAGAACTTGAGTCTAGAAAAAAGGATGGGTTATTTCTGGTCACCTTATATAGCTATGCTGGAGCTGGAGTGATTTTCTTCTGATAATATCGAATTATCAATATAATTTTTAACTTTATTATCACTTTTAGCGTCATTTCGCCGATCTTCGAGCGAAACAGGACGAGCTGCAGACAGCGTCAGCTTCGCGCGGAGTTGGCGGACGCGCGGTGCCACCAGAATTCTCCGAACCATTACGCATTCGAATGGGACAAATGAGTCAAGAAGTTCCTGCGAGAATTGCCACGCTAAAGGTTTGATTTAAACAATTTAAATCATCTATTTCAAATCTTTTCCAGATTCTCCTCTCACACTACATCATTTTGGCGTATCTCGCCGATTTAGAGGACAAAATCGAGTTGTGGAAGACGGCCGACTCATTGGCGTTGCTGAATCGTTGGATCAAGGTATTTAGATCGAAAATGTCTGTAGTTTACGTCTGTGTCTGTAGTATAAGCTGTTAAATGTGAATTAAGAACAAAATTATCTAGGAGTACAATCAAACCACGTCGGAGAACCCAAGGAAAAAATTCGATCATCACATGGAACGTTTAAGGCGAACGGTGATCACTCAGCCAGGTTAGTTAGGGAAAAGCTAGGAGACTTAGATGGATATTTGGATAATTTATAATAGATCTCCATCTATATTCAAATAATAAATGCAAATTTCTCTTAAAATTTGCTAATCAAAAAGTTTAGAAACAAAGCTCGACGTGAATGGTCTGGCCACGCAATGTGTGCAACGAGCGCAAGAAGCACTGGGGAAATTCGATGCCTGCAAGGTAAACTCAAATAATTACATGTAAAATATGATATGACTACATTTATCTACCAAAAACTTTCGATTAGACTCATTCAACTCATTTTAAAAGCGCTTTAAGGAGTCACCCTGTCTAACAGTAAGCTGTTATCAGTCTAGGGTTCCAGTTTTGGGTTCCAGTTCCAGTTTTCGATAAAAATATGGATTTTGAAGGAAAATTGTGTCCCGTGCCACTTAAATCTGCCAAATAGCCATGTTTTCGAATATATTCAGTCAATAAGCCGAAAATTTTTACTGTATTCAGTTGATTAGCTGAATATCTGAATAGCTAGTCAACTGAATAGCTTTAAAAAGATGGTGGGAGATTAAAACTTCGATAAAAGCAGGTTTAGACCAGCGGCTTTAAGCCTTTTGTGAGCCAGATCTGCAGAAAGGGTGGGACTTGACTTCAGCTCTAAATTGCCTTAAGTAGTAGAAGTCTAAGCATTATGCTAGCAGTAAAACAAACACAATCAGAACATATTTGTCTTTTAGAGTGAATTGCTGACTTTGCGAGCGATGTGGACCGAATGGGAACGCGAAATTTGGCGGCTCGAGGAGTTGGCACAACGGGGAATCGACACGAACACGAACACGCTACAAAGTGAGATTGAAAAAACTAAAATGAATGTTTACTATACCAAGAAGGAATAATTGGCTAAAAAGACACTAGAGTAACTTTTTGTTTCAGAAGAAAGCGATAACCTTCGAGAAATCGAGGCTGGTGCTGACCGCTTGGCGCCATTGTTGGGCGCGTCTGCTCGAATCGCCAACAATCAACGCATCGAGTTGTTGAGACAGCGGGCAAAGCAATTGGCTAAGGTAAGGATTTAGAAATATCAAGTTTTAAAATTTGATTTTAAAATCAAGTTTTCTTTCAGTTCGCTGTCAGTGCTCGGCTGGTAGTCGAGCTTGGCGGTCCATCCACTTCTCGAGGCGCTTCACCACACTTCGAAATAGATGATCCGCTTACAAAAGTTGCCCCGAGATTGGAGGTATTGTAGCTTGTTGTTAATTGTACTTTGGGCTTAAAATTGGGCTTTGCTGGTGCACTGGATTCTACGTTTTTCTTTAGCAACTACGAGAAAAGTGCAGGGGACGCAATTGCTTTAAGAAAAATGCAGCATCCAGTGTGCCAGAAAGGTGCATTTTGAGCACAAGTGCACAGTAGCTTTCTTATTACTGTTCTTTTTACAGATAAGCCATTTTCATCTCATTTAGGCTGTCCCACAGTACGCCCGGCCCGACTTAGAGACGTTGAGCGCGGCAGTTGCCGTCTCCGTTCTCCAAGCGACTCAACTGATTCGAGACATTGATGTGAGACATTGATGACATTAAATAAACTAGAATATACAATAAATATTCTTTTGTCAAGACGGTATAAAGACTGACCTTTCAGGAATTTGTTGGTGTCCCTCAACGTGCGACGAAGTCGAGCGAGCCCGAGTTCGCTCGACGCGCCCATCGGATGGAGTTGCAAAGAAAGGTAAAAGAATAAAAGAAAAATCTATATCTGCTCTTGATTCTCTAAAAAGCAACTATGGTGAAAATAGGTGTAGCAAGTAATCGATATTTAAAATGTAAAGTTTTGTAGGCGGGCGCTCTTCGGAATGGAATGCCGATGATGCAACGAATCGAGCACCATCTGGAGGACATCGAGAAATGGCTTGTCGATCCGGATCCATATGTGAGTTGAAGTTTTAGGTTTTGTAGGTTTAAGCTATTGTCTAAAGTCGATTAGATGAACATAAACAGACCTAAACAGGTCTAAACGGGTCTGAACCGGTCTAAACCGGTTTCAACAGATCTAAACAGGTTTAAAAAGAGTCTAAGCAGATCTAAACAGCTCTAAATAAGTCTAAACAGATATAAACAAGATCTAAACAGGTCTAAACAGGTCTAAACAACATCTAAACAGATCTAAACGGTCTAAACAAGTCTAAACAGCTCTAAATAAATCTAAACAGGTCTAAACAGATTTAAACAAGTCTAAACAAGATCTAAACATGTCTAAACAGGTTTAAACAGGTCCATTCCAGGTGCGTGCAAAAGCTGAAGATCTCCTCGATCAAGTGCTGCGTTTGATCGCCGTGCTGAAGGGAGACGAGTTCGTTTACGCGATCGACACGAGATATTATCAGCAGAGGTATCGACTAGCAAGAGATTTGAAAACTACTCAAAAGTCATAGCATTATTCTTTACAGTACAGTTAGGATAAAAGACTTTAGTTAGGTGGTATCACTGGCAAGAAAGGCAAAGGCAAGGTTGGCAAGAAAGTCTTTGCACAGATTTGAAATGAAATTTCTTAAAAACGAATGCACCAATTCAAGAACACTTTGTTCTGTTATTTACAAGTGGACTCCAAGAAATTACTCTTAAAAAATGAGTGCAGCTTTCCCGTAAAATTTTAGAGATTTTTGAAAAAGTGTTATTTTTTTAGCTTAAGCTCATTTAGCTCACTTTATGGGCTAAAACCTAACATAAATGAGCAATACGCTCTATAGGGTGCGTCATAATTACTCATACTCACTCTGGAGGGTGTAGCTCAGTCAAAAGATAACCGGCTCTTACAGATTCTTACGAAAAATCTTACAGGTAAATTTTGAGTGTCCTGTAGGAGTCCTGTAGCGATGCCCATTATCTAACCGATAGGAACTCATAAATTTTTTTAAACAAGCTCTCAAAGTTGAGAGTCGCACTTAGCCAGGCGCTCTTGACAGCCTGGTTTTCGGGTTTTTGAAAAACGAGCTGCTTACTGAGAGGAGCTAAGTTTTTGTTAGTTTCAATCAATAATATTCAGATACCAGATATCCAGATATTCAGATATTCAGATACAAAAACCCGCAAACTAAGTCGCGAGCCAGGCTAAGTGCGACTCCCAACTTTGAGAGCTTGTTTGAAAAGTTTGTGAGCTCCAACCGGCTAGATAATGGGCACCACTACAGGAGACCCAGTCAACATTTACCTGTAAAATTTTTGTGGGAATCGGTTATCTTTTGAGTGAGGCTACAGCTTTTGAGTGAGCTTTTGAGTGAGCTACACCATCCAGAGTGAGTATGAGTAGTTAATCTCTATTTTTTATCTCTCTCTATTCTCTGTATAATCTCTATTTTTATGCAAACTTTCAGATACAATCGAGCGCTAGCGGTGTCTACTGGGCAACCGGTCACTTCGATTGAAGAGTCTCCATTGGATGAGGTGGATTCTAGAGATAACTCATATATCTATTATCACAGCTTTTCAGTAATCATCCTTAATATTTTTAGAGCTACGTTCGAGAAGTGGTGGCCCGAAAAGCGGAAATTGTGAATAGAAGAGAGAGAGACGAGGCTGAGATGAGGGCTAGTGTTAGGTAAGTGTTTCAAACGGTTTAGATAAACAATATCCAAATTAAACCCGATTTTAAAGAACTCAAAGCCTTTCTAGAGACATGCAAGACTGTGATGAGATCTTGGCTGGCTGGCACTCGAATAGGATTCACGATTTGAACGACAGATGGAACTACAAGGTAGGATTTGTGCTGTGGATCATCAAAATCGGTTTAGATGCACGAATTCACCGCTTACGAGAGAATGGTGACAAGGCTGACGATCATCATCGAACAACTTGACACCGGCGCATCAGCGTCAAGCCAAATGCTGGCAGATTTGGTCACGATGAGGGCCGAAGCGTCTACGTTCAGAGTAAGCATAGGAATCAACAAAATCTCTATTTAAACTATTAAAAAGAACTAGATACTGCAAGTATCAAGCCATTTAAAGTAAAAGTTTTACAGGAAACCGGTCTTGGTTCAAACCTGTTGGCCCCGTTGGACGATGCTTTGAATCGAGCCGAGTCATCGCTGGAGGAACGGCTGGAAGGGCTGAGAATGGCCGGTGAAGAGGACACGCCACATGCACATGAAATCGTCAAGGTTTGTGAATTGAATTGTTTTTAAAAGAACTCTTTTCTGTTTTTTGCTCTTCTGGCTCTTTTTTTGAGATCATTGAGTCATTTTTCCCTCTCGAAAAGCTCACTTACAACTTTTTCTTTTTCGTTCGAAAAGAATCGAATCACTTTTCACTCTCGAATTTTCTCGAGAGCCCTTTCGAAAGGATCGTTTTCGAAAATTCGAAAGCTCATTCTACTTTTTTTGTTTAATATCGTACTTTATGTAACAATGCGATTTGAAAGGCTCGTTTTTGTCGATTTTGGGAAATTGGATCCGCGCTCCGCTCCTTTGCCATTGGCAATCTAACTTTGAGCTCAAATTTCTTGGTGTTGGGCTGTCCAATTTGAATAGCTTTTGTACCAATCGACAGAGAAAGACTTGGCGCATCCAATGATACCAAGAATATTGAAATTGGATAACCCAACACCAAGAAATTTGAACTCAAAGTTAGATTGCCGATGACAAAGGATCATTGGATCATTGGATCATTGGATCCTTGGTATCATTGGATGCGCCAAGTCTTTCTCTGTCGATTGTGACAAAAGCTACTTACATTGAACAACCCAACACCAAGAAATTTGAACTCAAAGTTAGATTGCCAATAGCAAAAGGGGCGACGGACCTTTTATACCCACCCGGCCCCTTGACCATTGGCAATTCAACTTTGAGCTCAAGGTTCTTGGTATTAGGCTGTCCAATTTGAATAGCTTTTGTACCACTCGACAGAGAAAGACTTGGCGCATCCAATGATACCAAGAACACTTAAATTGGACAACCCAACACCAAGATATTTGAGCTCAAAGTTAGATTGCCGATGACAAAGGAGGCGGAGCGCGGATCAAAATGTCCGATAATCGTTTTTGTCTTGATTGATCCAAGCCTAAAGGTTAATGAGTTGATTTTGAACCAAATCCCATACCGTATCCAATCACTATTTGCCCCAGAATTCTTTTCCTTGCCCCAGCTACAGCATACCTAAATTTCATGAGTTTAAAAATGAGAATTTTTGGCAAATTTTCCTTTAATTGTTGACGTCATTGATTTATCTATTATTTAAAGCATTTGGGTTTAAGATTTGTTATCGGAGACTTCAAAAAGTTTAAGAATTGTTATCGGAAAGTTGAAGGAGCCGAAAAAATGAAAAATTTAGTTCGGGCTGTACAGGAAATGCATTGAACCTTAGCAAATATTCGGAACTCTTGGCATTATCAAATATCGCAACACTCTTGGGTTCTAGGGCACAAAAAGCACCTGATTATTTAATTTATTTATTTAAAGCTAAAGGAGTGATGAATCTGGCAGCTCTAAGAGTCTAAAAGCCTAAAAACAAAGTTTAATAATATATTTAAACCCTAGCTCCTAGCCGTTGATTGACAGCTATCCAATAGCTGATCTAAACTAATTGTAAGCCTAGCTAGCTAGCTACTTTTTGGCGTTGATCAACCCCGGAACACCCTTGGCCGATTGAGCATAAAAACTAACTGATTGATGGGAGTTTTTGGAGGTGAAAGGAGGACCTGAGGGTCGGTCCTATCCCCCCTTTTCATGTTACAACACCCACTCCCTCTCTCATTCCAATCCCCGTTTTTTCTGTCAATCCTCAATTTCCCCTCTTTTCCTCTTTCTATCATTTGAAACAGTCTGCTTTTTTCGATTTTCCCCTCTCTCTTTCTCGATAATTCGATCAAATCCATTTAGTCCCATTTTATCCTATTTTTTTTCACGATTGCGTAGCTTTTGATTCAATTTTTACAAGCAAAACATTCTTTTCTTTAGCAGTTCTTCATATTTTCTAGCAACACCAAATTGTTGGTGCTAGAAAAATGAGGATGTGCATCAGAAAGTGCATCAGAAAGATTTGTTTTTTTTTGAGTGCATCAGAAAGATTTCTTTGCAACTATACAACGTATTTACATCAAATTTATATTATCATCAAGTAAATCAACGTAATCGTTAGCAGGCTTTCGATTTGCTGTTCAATTACTCAACCAATTTCTCTAGAAGTCTAAAAACTTTAGTTATCCAAAGCTATTAAACTTGGGTATTAAGTCAAAGATGATATTAAGACGCAGTCCTTGGTTGAATCAATACGTCGACGGAAGATTGAGCTATCCATGTTGAAACCCCCATAAGCCTCAGAACCATCAGAACCATCAGAACCCCCATAATCATCATAATCCACACCACACCACGCATCAGAGACACACCATCCTAAATTCTTCATAACATCCTCCGCCTGTTTGAGAAGTCGAAGACGATTCTCTCCATCGATTCGTCGTATTCCTGGATATTGTGAGCGATCCATCCTGTCGTATGTGTATAAATCAAGATAGTAGCCTAGATAGGTAATCAAGATAGTACGTGTGCGTGTCCGCTTTCCGCTTTTCGCAAAAGAGGGTTTTAAAGTCTCTTGATTATGTACTTTGTACTCAAAAAGTATAAACACATCGTTCTGGTGCACTGAATTCTTTATTCTCTCGTGAAATCAAAGCAAAAAACGAGGAATCGAGCGCCAAAAGGTGGCCAAAGTGGCCAAAGTGGCCATGACCAAAGTTTTGCACAAAACTAAACTCTGAAAACTGATGAGTTTAAGAAATAAAGCTTAATTAAGCAATTAGCTTAATAAAGCTTAAATTATATATCTATAATTTTCTTTTCTTTGCATTCTTTGCTTGTTTATTCCCTTTGCAAATATGATCTTTGGGTAGCAGATTGCAAGAAAAAGCGGGTGCTGTCTCTGAGTTTAAGGCCGATCATCGATTTTCTTTTTGGCTATTGACCTAAAATTGACTTAAAATTGACTTAAAAATCCATTAAATTGAAGATTTTCTTTAAAAATATCCAATAAATTGTATATTTTATTGAAAAATGAACCTTTTCCTTAAGAAAAATATCGATTTTTCCATTTTCCTTCAATTTTCGGGCAATCAATTTCCCGTTTTTCTCAAGAACTTCTAATTGACAGTGGTGAAATATTGGATTATTAAGAAAAGAAAGAAAAGAAAGAAAAGAAAGCTTTTGAGAAAAACTAACAATTTTTCCCGAAAATCTTTTTTTTTGTTCTGTTCTCTCAATTCTGCAGTGAAATTGTCTCTTTTCATCATCATTGCTTGCAATTTTACGAGCCGCTTTTTTTTTGAGCACTTTGTTTTTAGCAATTTGAGTGTATTTCCTTTTTGAAAATTTAACTGGTTTTTTTGTTTGTTTGTTTCTTTCTTTCTTTCTTCTTTTTCCTTGTCTTTCCCCTTTTCTTTTGGCAAGTTGAGGTACCGGATAGCTCAGTGGTTTGAGCAGAAAGTAAAAGCAAAAGCCTTGAAAGCAAAAGGTCGAGGGTTATTCGTTCCTAGGTATAAACGGATGTGGACTAGAATTTGGGTTAAGTTAAAGAGAATGGATCCCTTTTGATATCCCGCCATCTCTAACACCCCGAAAACCCAACTCAACTCCTCCAACGTATTAGAGGGGAGTCCCTGTGAAATGACCGACCTGTACTGCAGTTGATTAGACCCGGAAGATATGTATCTTTATTTACAGTAGTATAATAAGACGAATAGATTACAAATAAGTGTAAGGGGAAGGAGGGACTCCAAATGAGAGTCTCACTTGTCCTCCTAGGCAATCCCAAGGCCTCATTTGTCCTCCTAGGCAATCCCAAGGACCGCCCCTTCTCGGCAATAAAAGGGGATAAGCACAAGGGAGGACACATTTGCATAAGAATAGACAAATCATTCAATAATAGCAATAGTAACTAAAATATCAGTTTGGCTCGGAGCTGACAGCACTTTGTCTTTAGCAGCTTGAGCTTATTTTCCTTTTTAACTTGCGTTTTGTTGTTTGTTTGTTTGTTTCTTTCTTTCTTTCTTTCTTTGGGCTCAACTTTGTAAATAAATTTGTAAACAACTAAACACTGTTCTCTTCATTTTTCTTGAAGAGATAACTCTGTTTTACTAGAAAAATGAAGTATTCAGTGCAGCAGAAAGAGCTTACAATCTTTGTTTGTTTGTTTGTTTACAATCTTTGAAAACAAAGTACATTCAGTTCAAATTTCATTCATTTTCTCTTGCTCTTTTTGATTTTAGAGAAAGATTTGTTTTAATTTGTACTATAAAAAGAATTTTCTTTGATTCAAAAGCGATTTTTCATTTTTTTCTCTTTTTGATTGATTTGCTTTGCAATCGACCTCGGATTTTTCCGCGTGAATTTTTTTTGGCAAAGGGGAAAGGTGCTAGCAATAATTGGTTCTATATTCTATTTTAAAATCTTTTTCTTGTGAAATCTGACTAGTAATTTACAAAGAACTTATCCTTTTCTGTTTACAGGGTTAGGCAAAATTACCCGGACAACTTTTTTGTCACACGTTTTTGTCACAGTTGTCATAAGCTTAATTTATTTCAAAGTGTCAAGTGTTTTATAGAGAATTGTAGCCCTTAATCTTGGCTACATTTATCTACGAAAAACTTACCGATTGGACTTATACAACTCATTTAAAAAGAGCTTGAATGAGCACTAGTCGATCCCTCTTGGTCCCTGCCATTTTTGACGATTTTCTACATAAAAATTTTATCTAAAAAGGGCCTTATCAAGTAAAATTTGTGTGCATTTTGTTTAAAAAATGAATTCCAACAATTTCATAGTGCTGTAACAGCTATAATGTGAACTAAATATTGAAAAATGATCAAAAATGGCAGAGCGCCGGATAGGAATCGACTATTGCTCAAGGACTTGTTAAATGAGTTGTATAAATCCGTTTGCGAAGTTTTTGGTAGATAAATGTAGCCAAGATTAAGGGCTACAATTCTCTATTTAACACTTGCCATATTTGAAATAAGTCAAGCATTTGTCAGATAGTTTTCCAAAAAGTTGTCCGGGTAATTTTGCCAAATATTTTGTGTACAGAGTACACTGGTCAACAAATGTGTTTTTCTTTTATTTATCCAAATCTTGCTTTACTAAACCTTTCGAAATCCTTTTTTAGCCATTAATCCATTGATTTTCTCCTTTTATCTGTCTTTTTTTCAATTTCGGCAGAGTTTAGGCATTTTTTTTTGCTCTTTCAGCCTTTTTAAACCTCTTTTACCCTCTTTTTTTCCATTTTCGATGACCTTCGACAACTGTTTTCAGTCTTTGCTTTCAATTTCTGCAAACAAATTGATCTTTTACAAATAGAAACCTAAAGCTTCGCGATAGCAAGATCCTAACAAGGTCAACTGAATGTACTGGCCAAATTACATGAGCCATTCGTCGCAGAATTTCACGCTGATTCCAAATCTGCTTTTCTTTTTTGCAATGCAACACTCTGTCAAAAGTTATATGCGTTTAAAGTTTCGTTTAAAGTTTCGTAGGGTAGTTTTGTGAAAAAATCAAACCGCAACATTACACCCCTATCTTCTGCGAGCTCAGCAGTTGCAGCGGTAACGAGTTTGGTAGCGATTGTCTTTTTTGTTCTCTCTAGTTCGGGTCCGGTAGCTGATTGTCTTTTTTTGTTTTTTTGAGGTTTTAATGCCTTGTGTATCTAAATTTAGAGAGATAAGGAACCAAATTTAGAGAGATAAGGAACCAATCGAGATTGGTAGCGAGTTTTGACGCAAGGCGGGGTCTCTCTAGTTCGGGTCCGGTAGCTGATTGTCTTTTGGTTTTAATGCCTTGTGTATCTATCGCGTGTTTTCGATCGTGCACCGAAATCCCTCACTTTTCTCGGTGGCACCGATTCGTTTACGCGAGAAAATGAAGAATTCAGTGCAGAAAGAGTTTTTTTACACTTTCGAGCACAAAGTAACCTAGAATTTTATAACAAAATCCCTTTTAAAGTCAATATCTCTTCAAAATGAAGCAAGCAACATCGGCATGTGCCTTTCTGTAAACTTAGGAAGACTTAAGCACTCAAATGATGAGAGGCCGGGATTGAGAAGGGAAAGAATGGCAAAGGAAAGCAAAAAGCACAAAGGGAAGCTCTTTGTGCTCTTTTTTCATCAACTACATCACCAATTGAGATCTTTCTTTGATCCATCAAAATCTTTCTCTATCTTGATCTTTTTTATCGTTCTAATTCATTTTCTCTTGCTTTTCCTCATCTATTTCTCATTTTTCTTATCTTTTGGCTTGCATAGACTCAGCTTCATCGTCTTTAGCTGAATTTCATCGATTCTTGTACTCTAGAACACAGATTTTTTGTCGTTTTCAGTCATCTCAGCATATTTCTTCAATATCCACATCTTTCTTCTTGTAATCTCTTTCTCCAAGCTCTCCAAAACAATTCTTCAACGTTCTCTCAATCTTTTTCATCTCAATCATGTGTCTCAATCATCATCTTCTTGGTCTATTCTATTCTTTATTCAATTCTTTTCTATTCCATCTTTTCTCCATTCTCTTGTTCTCATTATCATCCTTCATTCTTCTATAATATCAATCTTTCATCTCACCAATCATTTGGATTTCTCTACGGTCTACTGATCGCTTCAGTGAAAGCTTTTCTATCTTGTGAACCCTTCAATCTCTTGCAATATCTCTTCTACTTCTCTCAACGCTTCAGCTCTAGATTCTATTACGTTCTATCATCTCTATAACTTTCTATAACTTTCTTCATGTCCTTCTTTCTTTCCAAAAGAAATCCCGTTCAATCCTAGCTTTCCTAGTCTCTACATTCTCATTCTCACTGTCCTGTCCTCTTAATTCTCTTACTTAATATCTATTTTTCATTCTTTTACTATTCTCTCACAATCTCCAAGTCTCATCTCATTTCTTGTAGATTCAACTCAACCTTTTCCCCCCAAATTCTTCCCAATTCTGTTCCCTCAAACATTTCTCGATGTTCTGATCGAAAACTTTCGAGATTCAACTAAATCGATCGAAATTCCCGAATCTTTCTACAAAACGATATCATTGTTCGATCGAGAGTCAGGAAAGTTTTGAAATTTGGCCATTTCGGAATTTCTTGGGCTCTAGACAAGATTCTAGACAAGATTCCGAAAATTCCATTCGCCATATTCAATTTTGCTTTTCAATTCTATATTTTATTTCATTTCATTTCATTTTTAAAGCTTTTCTAAAGCAAAATATTTCTAAATATTTCTTTCTAACTGATCTTTCGTATTAAAACTTAATCTTATACTGTTCATCAATCGATTTGCAAATCCCAGTGTCAAAAGAAAACACCTGTGCTGCTTTGTGGAATCCAGCTTGCCCTTGAAAGCTCAAATTTTTTCGGGAAAAGCTTTTCTAAGCTTTCCTCAGCGATTTCCATTGAGTCACCTGTTGTTAGCTTTCGAAAATCTTTTCCATTGAAGATATTCAGTCATTTCGAAAAGAAATCCCTTTTACTTGGGCTCTAGATATTCTAATATTCGTCTAATATTTGTGATTCGAAAATTTGAATTTCTGAGAACTGATCGCAGTGGATTGAGTGAGTTTCACAGTGAAAAATGCTTGATTTCCTTAATAAATTACTCAGTTCATTATTCTGAAATGCTTAAAGCAATCGTTTGCTGCAAGTTTGGTTTAAAAACTTTCAAGCTTCGATCGCCCAAGTCAGTAAAATATCGAATTTGGTAGGATTGAAGCTAAGATTGAAGGTAGGATTGGCGCTTTCAATGCGTCAGACAGCTAACATTTACACGAAACTCATTCTTCATGTGTACTTTGTGCTTGAAATTGTAAACACACGCTTCTAGTGCACTTAATGCTTTATTTGAATTGTATATTGAATTGTATATTGATCAAAATAGGGAATTATTCAATCAGTCTCCCAATCACTTCCAACTTCACCCAGCTGTTCTCTCTTTCTTTTCAAATATTGCCCTAATCTTTTCCCAAATGATTTCTCCAGAAATGTTCTCTCAATCAATCTCTTCAATCTTTTTCACTTTTCCTCAAATGTTGCAAAACTTTCGGATTGCAAAAGTTTCGGATTTCAATCAATCTGTCAAATTTCAAAGGATTTACAGGATTTTCGAGTTGGAATCTATTAGACTAATTTAAAATTATAAAAATGCGAACATTTACTAGTTAAAGAGTACTAGTTGTTAGCCGATTTAGAAAAAAGATCAGCTCTGACTTAAAAAGATCAGCTCTGGCTTAAAAAGATCGGCTCTGGCTTAAAAAGATCGGCTCTGGCTTAAAAAGATCAGCTCTGGCTTAAAAAGATCAGCTTTGACTTAAAAAGATCAGCTTTGGCTTAAAAAGATCAGCTCTGGCTTAAAAAGATCAGCTCTGGCTTTTTTCTATCGAAAGCCTTTAGTCTAAATTTTCATTCTGTGTACTTTGTACTTCAAAATTGTAAATACACATTTTTGGCGCACTTTTCACTTTCACGCACTTTTTGGCGCACTTCAGAAAACCGTTGTGGCTTTGATGAAGCAAAATGAATAATTCAGTGCACCGGAAAGAGTCTGTTTACCATTTCTAAGCACAAAGAACACTCTAAAGTGATAATTGATAAAGTATTGATATCTGATTGATAAAGTAAAGCTTTACAGAGTCTTTAAGTCCAAAAGTAGGAACTAGGACAGAACAAGAACTCGTGCACCGCCTGGAGTCGAATCCGCGGCCTTTCGCTTACCCGGTAACTGTGCTAACCATTACACCACAACGCACTTGATCTCGCTTACTCGAGAGGGCCTTAACAGGCTTAAAAAAACAGCTTAACTTAAAAGGCCCAGATCCTGGGTGGTTTTCATTGAAGAATTCCAGAAAAAGCAAGAATTCAGTGCACTTTCCGAATATTCCTTTGAATTTTAACCTCCTAATTGTGGATAATTCTACAAGCAACAAATTTATTTCCAACAATTTCATAGCGCTGTAACAGCTATAATGATAAGCAACCAATTTATTGTACATATCATTTTCAAATGTTTCACAGAATACTTTTTATAAGACAAAATGATTGCGAGACCTTACCCAAGTTTCCCCAAGTGTCAAGTTCACCAAAGTTGGCTCACTTTTCGATTTCTCTTCCTATCTTTCTTATCTTCTAGTTTACTATGAAAATAACCCAATTTCCGATCTTTATCGCAAAAAGTGATTACCATATCTTTTCCAGGAGGTAGGCGAACTCGAGAGCGGCCGTTTTGGTGCCCGACTCACACGAACTCTCGACGAGACTCGAAGCACTTTGAGTGCAAAAATGGAGTTGTTCAGGTGAGAGATAGATTTTATTACAGCAAAAAGTAAAGCTTTAACAAAAATTACAGTAATTTTACAAGAATGGAGTACGATTAAGTTCAAATTGCTCTTTCCAGAAGACTCCAAACTTTCTACGACACGGTCAAATTTTTGCGACATCAGAACGCTCAATGGAACATCATCAGCCTCTCGCAGGTGGGTTTTTGGATAAAATTGTTTTCCTGTGAACTTATGCAAGGCTTACTGTGGGGGAAAAACTTAATCTGATCAAATGGGTTACTGTAATTGCTCCATGAACTGAAACTGTTCCGTTTTCTAAAAGTTACCCTAGGAAAAGCTATCTTGAGCTTGAAAATCTGTATAGCTGAATTAAATTAACTGGTTTAAATTAGCTGATTTAAATTAACTGGTTTAAATTAGCCAATCCAGTCACTTTCTAAAAGCTGACTTGAGGAAAAGGCTTATCTCTTAGGATTCGACTCATAGGACTACTGTACTCTATTAAATCCGCTTTATGTAGATCAAAGTTTGCTCTTAGAGCTCTGGATTGTGCTTAGATCGTGCTTAGATCTAAACGATAGATCTAAACGATAGATCTAAACGATAGACCTAAACGATAGATCTAAACGATAGATTGTGCTTAGATCTAAACGAATTGTGCTCTAGAGTCGGCTCTATGTTCTCTCAAAAATCAATATCTGCTAAAAGCTTCAAATCCATGAGCCTTGACTTTTCGAGAAAAAGAGATGGGACACATGCACCCGATCGAATGACCCATTTTTTGCTAAAAGAAGCCTTTTCACTTGGCTCACATTTCATCACCAAAAGAAACCTGACTAAACACAATTTGAGTTTAAAAGTATTTAGGGGAAATAAAAGATTGTTGAAGCTTAGATTAGGTTTAAGTGCAGGTTTAAGTGTTTACGTGAAAATTTGAAGCAAATTGGCTTAAAGTATCTAAATCTTTAGCAAAATAAACCAAACTAGCGTTTAGAACAGAAAACTTTTCTCTTTTACTGATCAGAAAAGAAAAAAAAAGGCACAGAAAGCTGCATTTTGCAAAAATTTCTTTTAGTAAGCTTTGATTCAGTTAAGAATCATCATTTTACGGAATTGTTATAGTAATTCTAAAGTAAGTGAACTTGTTACATTGAACAGACGTTCAATAGTAAGTTTAATATCAGCTTGACCGGGAAATCTTGTCCGGTTTCTTAAAGTTAACTTTTTGAAATGAATAATCAACCAATCGATTTCTGGTTTGTTTTATCAGAAAGTCCTATTATTTATTTACAAATTGTCCTTTAAGAAATTCTGAAAAGCTAACGTTAGTTCATTTTCTTAGATGTGTGAAGTCAAGCAGTCAAAAACGATGAAACAAAGCCAAAGTTCCGATTTGGGCATTTCACAGGAACCTATTGTCCATTGTACAGGACTGCGAATCTTAGCGACAACTTTTTGGAAAACTATCTGACAAATACCTAACTTATTTCAAAGTGTCAAGTGTTATATAGAGAATTGTAGTCCTTAATCTTGGCTACATTTATCTACCAAAAGCTTACCGATTGGACTTATACAACTCATTTAAAAAGCGCTGAAACCAGCGCTAGTTGACATCATACATCGCCGGAGAGCTAGTCGACTAGCGCTTCGGTTTAATTTATTTCAAATATGGCAAGTGTTATATAGAGAATTGTAGTCCTTAATCGTGGCTACATTTATCTACCAAAAGCTTACCGATTGGACTTATACAACTCATTCAAGCGCTTAATAAATGAGTTGTATAAATTCGATTGCGAAGTTTTTGATAGATAAATGTAGCCAGGATTAAGGGCTACAATCCTCTATATAACACTTGACACTTTGAAAGAAGTTAGGTATTTGTCAGATACTTTTCTAAAAAGTTTCACGATATTGGGCTATCCTGTAAAGATTTTAGGACAAACAAGAATTCCTGTTCGGATTTGCCTCAAAGACAACTCAAATTTGCCTAAAAAGCTAAATGAAATAGTTAACTGGAAGCTAACTGTAAGAGTTAATCTTTTTCAAAGCATTTAAAGCATTTAAAGCAAACCAAACGTTGATCGGCGGTTGATTTAGAAACGAAAATTTCAAAAAGGAGGACAAGACTTTCAGGCCAAACCAATAGTAACTTCAGGGATTGTGAGAACAAAAAGTTGAACTAAATACGTTCCACAAGCACTTGATACTTCATAAATGCTCAATTTCTAGGTGTCGGCGGTCACCGGTGAGTTGGTTGTGCAATTGTCGCGAGCCGATGAATGGAGACGAGACGCGGCGATCCTTCGGCGGGAGGTCGCTGCTATTCACGGATCATTCTTCCAATTGGAATTCGACCGGGTCAATGAGAAGTGGGTTTTTTATGTTAGCAATGTTTGGCCAGTAAAATTGTAGTCTAGGCTGGGTATGAAAGCGAGAACAAAATCACACAAAACTCTTTCCAGACTCAATCTCCTTGTGTTCGACTTGGAGAAACTCGTCGAATTGATGCAACGAAGACGCGCCTTCCTCGAGGTTGCAATTACAATAGTGGCTGACTGCTTGAAATTTATCGCTTAGTGTCATGAGAAAATATCTAGCTTACTTTCATTGTTATACGAGACTTCAGGCTGTCGAGAATTTCACGACAGTCGCCGAGACGGGTCTCGATCCACGACTACTTGCCACCTCCAGCGAAACACCAAGCGATATTCAACGAATCGTGAGTTTTTATCAAAACAGATTAATAGACATTAAAAACCGAACAAATTGATGAGTTCAGACGAACGATGCGTGCGCGGACCTCGAGAGACGAGCCGAATTGCTGTGCCAATTGCAGGCGGCCGCCGAGATGGTTGTGCACGATTTGAGTGTCCTACAAATTATTCGAACTTTCCGACGACGACATCTCGGAGAGGTGAGTAGAAATTTGTAGACTTGAGAAGCTTAAAATGAGAAGGGTAGGGTTGTTATTGCAGGAATGACTCTTGACTGATTGAAAAAGCATTGTAAACATTAAGCGATTGTTCTTGAATTGTTAATCAACCAGAACTTTGTCTATTTTTAGCTATTTAGTACTGATAAAGTTTCACAATGCCTTGGATATTTTTAAGGCTCTTTTTTTGATAAATTTTATAGAGTGGCTCATAATTATAGGTGCAGATAAAAAGCTTTGTAGGTAGACAAAATTAAACTCTTTGGAGAGCAAACTTTTGTTTTAAGCTTTTGTTTTAAAATCATTATTTAATATCAATGAACAACAAATTAACAATTAAATTCAAAGCTATCACCATTTTTAAGCCGAGCACGCTGTCAAGCGTGTCAAGCGATCAAGTAGGTTTTGATTGGACATTTGATTTCCTCCTTTGCATCGGCAATCTAACTTTAAGCTCAAATTTCTTGGTGTTGGGTTGTCCAATTTAAGTGTTCTTGGTATCATTAGATACGCCAAGTCTTTCTCTATCGATTGGTATAAAAACTATTTACATTGAACAGCTGAATACCTAGATATTTGAGCTCAAAGTTAGATTGCCAATGGCAAAGGGGCGGGGCGCGGATCAAATTTCCCACAATTGCCAAGCAAGCATCATCGAGTTCATCCCAGGCTTTCAGAAGACTTTTCTTCAAACTTTCAACAGTTTTATGCGGTTTTGAGCAGACTTTGGTCTCAAGGACGGAATAATCCATTGAATTGAGATCTGACGAGCTGGGTGGCCATTGGAAATGAAATCGGAAAACTTCACTTTGCAAAAACTTAGACTTTCTTGGCTTTGTGGACCGTCTTGTTGAAATGTCTAAATTTGATTTTTGAAATGTTTTGTGCAAAGTTTCAGCTTTGAGGAGTTCGAGATAGTTAATAATAGATAATAGATAATAATAGATAGCCACTGCACATAATTCTGGACCACCCTGTAGTTCTACTGATAAATCTTTGACTATTTGCATGGGATGACAAACTAATAAACTTATAAGTTTACTCATGCCCTTTGAGAAGTTCATTATGATCATTATTGATCATTTGCAGTTGGCGGAGCCCGAGATGTTCGCAGTGGTGACGGCGGTGCAAGACGCGTTGAGTCGGTCTCTCATCAGCGAGAGGACCGCCACCGCCCGCGCCTCCGACCCTAAACAAGCATTGCCACTAATCCTTGAAATGAAAGGTTTGTTTAGAAATCTACCGACCACTTTAGCCATTGCAATTTAGAAGAAGAATCCCGAGAGGCGCGATTGATCGAGGACTTGGATGCAGTCCCCATCGACGACTCAAGTCATAGAGACGCCATTACACAATTGAAGAGCCGAATGCTTGAAAGAGATACACAGAGGTTGGAAAGTAGAAACTAATAAATATAATGTAATTTCTAGACGAACCCTGATCATCACGGTGATTCGGGTGTATCTCGACTTGCTCAACGCGCGTTTCATGGAATTTGAGCGACAATTCGGCGCACTTATCATGGCCGGGAATACACAAGAGGTTTGGAATTTTATAAATATAATTTTAACGATTGTTAGGTTCAAATGTTGAACGATACCGAATGGAACAAATGGAAATTGGCGGTGAGCGAATTGGAGAAAACGGTGGGCGCCGAGTTGCGGCTGAAGCTGAAGCCCGAGTTCGCGGATATGGAAAGAAAGGTGGGAAATTGATTGAAATCTCAAGATATTTAGTCAAATGCAGGAATTAACTTTCCCTACAAAACTCAAAACTTGACTTAAAGTTTTTATCCATCTTTTGGAAACAAAATTCAATACTGAACTTGGGACCAAAGCCAAGTCAAATTTTGAAGTTTTGTATGGTTTTCTAATGACTTTTGGCTTAATCTTGGCCTTGAACCCGTGAACCAAACAGACCATGCGCACTGGAATTGAAACAAAAACATCTGTCGGTCCTTTTTTACCTTTGGCAAAGGTTTTCCGTGTTTTTATTACCACGAACTCTTCGATTCTGACTATTTTGACTATCATTCGACGCAGAATAAAATTGCGCGTCGAATGATACCAAAATTAATTCAAAATGTAATATGCAGGCAAAGTTGTTGGCTAAGAAGCAAAACCTCGCCCATTATGGGCGGGACTTAACCTTTTGCTTCATAACTTTGCATGGATATTATATTTTGAGTTCATTTTAGTATCATTCGATGCACAATTTTATCCTACATTGAATAATAGTCAATATAGTCAAAATCAAAGGGTTGGTGCTGAGAAAAACACGAAAAACATTAAATTGCCGATGGCAAAAGGAAGATCGTCAGATATTTTCGTTACAAGTCTAGTGCACAGCCTGTTCCTTTGTTGGTTTGATTGTCAATAGGTGTACAACCGAAAAGCAAGATTTGGCCCCTTTAACGGCTAATTTTTGAGGAGTTTTAGAACAAAAGATAGAACTTGGAAAACTTGACCTTCTTGTAGCAAATCCTGGAAAACTAGCCGTTAAAGTGACCTCGTTTTTCCTTTGTACACTTATTGACAATTAGACCGATTAACAAACGGCTAGAGGACCAGCCCTAGATACTTGTGTTTATTTATCTGATCTCGATCTTTCAGGCTTTCTCATTGGATGGCCGAATCGCTAAATACCTCCACGAATCGCAGCGTCAAAAGCATCGTGAGGAGCGCTTGTTGGGCAAACTAACCCCATTCGCGCAATGGTTGGACACCGTGGAAATGGAAATGGATCAAGTGGAAAATGGAAATGAGGAGTTGACGGTGAAACAAAAGGTGGAATTTTGATTCTTGTATTCATTTGAAAACCCAATTCCAGAAGCTGCGTCAAATTCGTGAGAGCGCGCTGTCCCAGCGTAAATTGGTGATACGCCTGGAGACATTACGGGTACACGATCGGGTTCTCATCGATGAGCTGTGCACCAGGTTTCGAATCAAAATTTAGCACATTTGCGACCGAGTCCGGGATTATGAGTTTAAGCGCAAAATGTCAAAATGACTAGACAGGATTAACTTGATAAATTTGCCGAAAAAACTTGGGTAATTAACCCGGAGAAGAGCTTCTTTCACGACCTTACACCTAGGCAGTGTGCCATACGCCGCTTTTTCCTAAGAGTGACATGAAAGGTACCGCATAACGGGGGGAAATGGTGAGTTTTCCCGCTAAAAATGAACTCTGTCGCAAATGTGCCACAAGAATTACAGTAAGACTTCAGGATTCATTCAGCTTCGTTGCTGTAATACTTTAAAATATATATTTGCAGGTATGGTAGCCTGATGGCTCGACTCTCGACTTACAGTATCTCCGAGACGGACGCTCTCCCGTTGCATGTACAGACGAATTTGCCGTCGACTTCTGTTGGCTCACAAGTAAGCTAGAAATAAAATGGTTGTAAATACAAATGCAAATGTGTTTCTTTTCAGCTATCCGTTTCATCGTCGGCCTCAGAATCGCCAGAGAGGCGGATCTCGATCGTTTCTGAGCGCACCGATGTCGTTTTGCCTGTCGAGATTCTCCCAACCGCTTCCGGACAAGAATTTGTGGCTGAATTGGAGGGAGAGGTAGGGCATTTAAAGAAAAAAAGCTCTATGAAGGCTTGGTTTTAAGCTGCTAAAACGTATTGAAAAATCTGGATGAATGGCTTAACGATTTCTAAGTCTAATGTTTCCAGGTCGACAACGTGGCCCTCTACGCACGTGACGTTATCGAACTCTATTCAAACATGGCCAGACCAGCTGTTTTCGTCAGCGTTGACTACGAGAAATTGAAGGTACAGTTTAGCGCATATACAGAATACAGGAATAGAGGAATCAGGAATCGTTTGAAAAGCTAAAAAGCTCTAGCTCTAGCTCTAGCTCTAGCTTTTTAGCTCTAGTTTAGGTTAAACGACTGTTTTAAATAATTTTTTTTTCCGGGTCAACTTGGCCTGGCTTTAGCTGCAAATCTTCCCCATAAAAAGCTCCTGGGTCTGTTAAAAGTTAGATTGGACTTGGGTTTTTTTCCTGGCCTGACTTACAGGCCCTCGGGCTCAATTGGAACCTTGCGGGCCAGGTCTGATCAGGTCACGTTGGATCGGGCCGGGTCTAATCGGGTCGTGTCTGATCGGGCCAGGTTTGATAAACTGATCATCTATGCAAGTAATCCAAATAGTATATTCAATACAACTGTTCAGGAAATTCTCAAATGGATCCACTCGGTCGAGCAATCAAATACGGGTATCGAGCAGGGCTTGGACAACGGACAATTGGCCGCCTTTGAGGCGAGCCGACAAAAGTTGCACGCTTTGCGGAACTATGTACAGGTTCGTCAGTTAAATTCAAGAATGGCTAAATTCTCTGGCGGCTAGCAAGTCATAGAAAGCTGTAAGATTCGGAAATATGATTGCTAAGAATCCATTGAGATTTCAGGGAGCTGTCACCGAGATGGAAAGGGAGCTCAACGAGGAGGCGGCACTCATCGAAAAGCATCGAGACATTATGGAGGAACTTCATGAACTCGAAGAAACGGTTGGGTTTCAAAGTATAATTATCTCTGACTACATTTTAATTGACGATTGACCATTAATTGACTGAGCCTTGTGATTCCTTATCGAATCAACTAAAATTGAGCTGATCGAATATAAGCTGAGAGTGTGATTACGGTAGTTTTTGAAAATAGGCGCTTTTTAGAAAACACATAAGGCAAATAAGTTCACATTGATATTGCCTGAAACAGACATTACCCTCTAATAAAAAAAAATTCAAATTCCAGGTGAAATCTCGTTCTCTCGGCGAGCTAGACGTGAACGAAGAGCTCGAGAAGCTGCAATTGGAGATGAATCTGTTGCGCGGACTGTGCCATCAACCGCGGAAATACGTCGAATGTGAGCTTGACACAAGCAGTCGTCCAACGACACCCTCGAAGAGGAAGAAGAAAGTGCTTGTCATGGTCACGAATACGGTCACGACGATTATTCAGGTGAAGAATCAAAAGAAAAAGAGCAGAGTTAGTTTGACTAGATTGGATTTGTACTGCAGATTACTGTAGACGCGTTGAGCAAGTTAGTGTCAATAGAAATCACAGATAAATAAAATATTCTGATATTTGTAGCTATATTAATTTCCTACCACAACCTGTTTTCTATTTAGTACGTACTTCGAGCTACGGTAAACAAGTTTACATTCTCAATTTTCAGGTGGTCGAGGAGCGAATCCTTCGCTATGAAGAAGACTCAATTCCACCGATTTCCGAGATCAAAGAACGGTTGGAAGAGCTGAAAGAAGAAATGGAAAGACCACCGGAAAGGAGAATCGAATTGGACATCTTGCTGAGAAAAGCCGCCGATCTACAACGTGAGGCAGAGATGGCCACTGCGGAGAGAAATCTGCCCGAGATCTTGGTAAGTATTTATGTGCTTCAAGTAAATGCACCATAATATTCTGCACTAACTTTAGCTTACTTGAAGCTAAGGCTCTCAATGAGTTATGAACCTAAGTGACAGTTGTAACTCTGTAACTTGAACTTTCCAAATAACAATTTTCAGCGAGTTCACGAGGAGTTGAGCGTGATTCTCGAGCAAGTCCGGGAGATCAACAAGGAGAAACACGATGCGAAATTGTATGAGGACAATGTGAACACGATGCTGAAAACACTTGAAGTGGGTTTTGATTCAGTTTGGGACTAAAATTTATACTGATTTGGATAGAAGACGCAGTTGAGTAGGAAACAATAAACTTTATTTATTGATTATTTGCTTTAGTAATAGCTTTGACTATGATATTTTGGTTTAACTAGAGAAATCTTACTCCAGGTTTAAAAACAAATCCTAATTTCAGAAGTCGGCCGATTTCGTCGCTGAAGCGTTGAGTCCAACGTCGACCGAGCTTCATGAAGAGATCATCACTGAATCAACGTCAGCTGAGAAAGAAGCTGCTGATTTGAAGAAAGAAGAGCTATCACTAGCATCAACTAGTGTTGAAGATTCGGAAACAAGTGAACGATCAAAAGATAAAGCTAGAGAATTGGAATATGATGCTTTGAGGGAGCAGCCGGCAGCCAAAGAAGAAGATTTGGCAGAGCCTAAAGTTGACCAAAAGAGGCAGACACCAGAAATTGAGATCACGGCACCGTTGGAGCCCGCTAGATCAGAAGAAGACCTTCAAATGGTGACAAGTGAAAATTTGCAGAAAGAAGAAGAGTCTCTAGCTTCAACCAGTGAACAATCAAAGTCAATAGAAGGTGAAGAGCTTGAATATGGAGATTTGAAAAGAAAACCTGAAGAAGAAGTTGAGATCATTGTTGATGCTGGTGTTTTGGAAGAAGACTTGCCAAAGGCAGAAGTTGATCAAAGGAGACGAACACCCGAAACCGAGATTACTATGCCTTTGGAGCCATCAGAAGAAAAACTTCCTATTGCATCCACTAAAGAAACTAAAGAAAAAGAAGCTGTGGCTTCAACTAGTGAAAAGCCTACACCAAGAGATGAAGCTCAAGAAATTGAGTATGGAGATTTGAGAAGAAAAGAAGAAGTTCAGATTATTGCTGAACCGGTTGAAGATTTGTCAAAGCCTGTAATTGACCAAAGAAGACAGACACCAGAAATCGAGATTACGGCACCGTTGGAGCCTGGTAGATCAGAGGAAGAGCTGCCAATAGAAGTCCCAATAGAAGAAAAACCGGTTACTTCTCAAGCTAAAGTTGAAAAAAGCCCCCCGTCAACAGCTACTTCTTCAAAAGATGGCATTGAAGAACTAGGATATGGTGATCTGAAGTTAAAAACAGAAGTACCTGGTGAAGATGAGTTTCAAAAACGGCAAACGCCCGAGATTGAGATCACTGAGCCAACAGAAGGGCCAAATGAAGAAATGTATGAGGAACCGACACCAGTTGAACCTGTGGTGAAACGGAGAAAACCTGAAGAATCGTCACCAGCTAAAATTGAAGAATTGGATAAAACAAGAGCACCTGTTGTTGAAAATTTCGGCATAAGCAAAGTACTGGAGTCAGAAATTGAAGCACAACTTGCTCAATCGAGCCCATCACTGGATATGGGCGAAGTGCCTGAAGATCAACAAACTTCAGCCAGAAAAGATCAGGAAGGCAGTGAATTACCATCAAAAGACGGCATTCAAGAATTGATTTATGGAGAATTAGGGACAAATCAGGCTGGACCTTCGAGAATGGTTCCTGAAAAACCTTCTGAACAAGTGCCCATCGAAGAGATCACTGAAAATGCTCCCTCTCAGGAAGAAAAAGCTCTCCTCGAATTTCTGTCTCGAAGAGTCTCCGATCTTGAAAATTCCCCACTGGATGAGGTCTCAATCGATAATTTGTACTTATTAGAGAATGAATTGTCGTCTCTTCCAAGTTCACCCGAGTTGGAACAGATGAAAGCACGTTTGGAGAGAGTCCTCTTGCGAAAACATGTTGAAGAACAACCGAAAAGTGATTTCAAGATCTCTGCTGAGGAGAACTCCTTGATCTCATTCTTGAATCAACAGCTTGGCGAGCTTGAAACATTGCCGTTGGACCAAGTTTCAACCAAACAGATTGAAGAGTTGCAAGCCGAGTTAAGGGCTTTGCCTCAAACTCCTAAAATCTCTGAGTTGAGTTATCGTATTGAGGACTTGAAGAGGCAGAAGGATCAAGAAAAATCCCATAGTCAAGAAGATGAAGAAAAGGTGCTTGTCGATTTCTTGCAAAGAAGAGTGTCTGATATCTCGGAGTCACCCATTGCGACAATCACCCTTGATCAGCTGATAGCCCTTGACGAACAAGTCAACATGATCAAACCGAATAAAGAAGTTGAAATTCTTCGACTCAATATTCAAAATCTAATCGACCGAAAAGAACAAGAAAAAACTCTGACCGAGGATATGTTGAAAAGAGAAGAGTTGGATACTGAAGATTTATTGAAGCAAGCCGTGCAGTGGGGATCGTTGGATTCGGAACAGAAAAATCAGATTGAGATGGAGCTGAAGAAATCTGAGCGACTCCCCTCACCAGCTAGACCAGAAAAACCTACGCCACTTGAAGAATATGCCGCATCACAACATGCAATCGTTGACCTGCAGAAGAGGCTTGATGAGATCAAAAGTCTCAACATGGACAAGCTCGACCCAGATCAAGTAGAAGCCATTCAAGAAATGAGAAAGAATTTGGAAATCGAATTGGGGCTGAGCAAACCCGCTGATGAGCCTCCCAAATCGCCGGTTCCAGAAATACGAATTGAAACAGTTGAAACCGAACCATTCGAGTCTGAAATGCCAGCTGATACTTCAGAAACATCCTGGCCAAAAGAGCATGAACGGCCAATCGAAATTCTCAATTCAGAACTTCTCAAATTGCACGAACTGCCCTTGGAGCTCGTTACCTTTGACCAAATTGACTCATTGCAAGAACAAATTGAATCCATGCTAATTGAAGATCCAAAAAATAAGCTAATATTAACCTTATCCGAACAAGTCAAAGCAATCCAAAACCTAAAAAAAGAAGAAACTGAAAAAGCTAAACAAGCTGCTAAAGATGCCGACAAAGAACGCCTCGTCCTGCTGCTCAATGTGCAACTCGAACAAGCCGAGCAACTGCCACTCGAAAATGTGTCGGTTGATGAGTTGAATGCTCTCGAGAAACAACTTCAATCCCTCGGACAACCAGAAGAGCCTCAAGTGCAACAACAGCTCGAGAAGATCGCCGAATTGAAGGCTCGAAAGGAGAAACACGATGACGATGTGGCCAAGTTGCGCGATTCGCTCGCTCGACTCACACACGACGTTGACGAGGCCGATGCTCACACTCATCCCAAGACTCCAGCCGCTCCCAAGAGCAAGAAGGGCAAGAAAGGAGGCAAAGGAGAACAACAGCCAACTGTTGCCGAACCGACAACCGACGAACTGAAACAAGTGGTTGCTCAACTCGATGGACAAGTGCTTCCAGCTCTCGCTCAACTCAACGAGCAAGCCGCAAAGGTTGAGGGTTTGGAACCCGAGAAAGAGAATGCCCACAATTTGACTGTCCGAGCTCAATCACTGCTTGACGAGGCACAGAAACAACTTGACGCGAAGATTGCCGCTGATGAGAAAGCTGCTCGTGTTGAAGCAAAATTGCTTGAGATCAAAGTCGTGCCCGAGAGTGTCACCGCTCTTGCACAAGCTCCACAACAAGAAATCCCACAAGACGATCAGGATGAGCTGAAGAGACAAGAAGATGCCACTGAAGTCGACATTGGAAAGCTTCAAGAGAAACTCGGTGAAATCGACGAGCTGCTTGCTCAAGGAGATCTCACACCCGAGCAACAGAAAGAACTCGAAAATGCTCGAGCAAACACAGAAAGCTATCTGGATAAACTTCGTCGTCTCCGAGATGCACTTCTCGACAAACTCGCCAATCTAGCCAAATATGGTCGAGACAAAGAAGCTCTTGATGCTGCAACCGAACCTGTCTCTGAAGCACTGACCACAGTCTTCGACAAGTATTCCACTCAAGCTCCACAACCATTTGCCGTCGGCAAAGAAGATCTTGGAAAAGCCGATGATGTGAGAGCTCGTGTTGCTGCTTTGGCCAATCAACTTGCCGAGACAAAAGCCTGGTTGCACGACAATCTACCATCTCGCGAAGCAGATCTCGATGCACAAATCGACGACATCAACTGGAAGACCGACAACTTGAATTCACTCATCAATGAGTTGGCAAACGAGGTGCAAGCTGGCGACCAAATAATCGCCGCTCACAACGACCTTTTCCCATTGGTTGCTGAAATCGAGAACAGAGCGGTTGAAGTACGCTCAACATCACCCGGAGAGGTGGCTGACCCTCAAGTGCTCAACGCAATCAAAGAACAACTTGCTCAAGTGCTCGCTCGAGTTGATGATCTTGAAAGCAAAATCAACGCGAAACCGTCACGACTCACCGGACAACCAGAGGGAGTGAACCCAGAAGCTCTGCGCAGCCGACTCCGCAACGTCGACAACTTGTTGAACGAAGAGGAGAAGAATGTGCAAGCCAAGCTCGAGCTTGTGGCTCTTGCTAACGATGTGGCTGCTCGTTCACAAGATCTCGATGAGTTGCTCGCAAAAGCACACGAAGTTCAGGGTCGACCAGATGCCACCATCGACGAGTTACGCAAAGCCGCCGATGATTTGCAGGGTGGAAAGGCGTTGCTTGATGCGCTCAACGACGACTACGAAAAGATCAAGAAAATCGATCAAGATCAAGAGAAGTCACCGGAGGGTGCTCAACTTGCTGCCACCACTCTTGATCGACTTGAGAAAGCAAACGAAGCTTTGAACAACACTCGATCCTCATTGGAAGACCGTGCTGATGCTCTTGAAGATCTGCACAGAAGAGCCGACGGAGCCGGAACTAGACTCGCTGAACTCGTTGATGAGGCGAATCGTTTGTTGTGCGACGCTGAAGCAATTCCAACCAAATTCGACTCGACGGCCGCTGAGATGAGAGAAGAAATCTCGGTTGCACGAAACATCCTTGCCACCGCTCCAACAGCTGCCGACGAACACGCACACTCGCTTTCAAGCACAGTCGATGCCGCACAGGCTCTTCTGCCAGTGCTCGACGACCGCAACACCTACTGGAACGAGTTTGTGGCAGCACGAGATGCCGCCGATCAGCTTCTCGAGGAAGTTCGACGACCACTTGATGCTCTCACTGCAAAACCACCTTGCTCCCTTGATGAGGCTCGTGGTGACTTGGAGGATGCCAAGCGTGCCAAAGAAGAGAACCTCGAACGTCTGAAGGATGCTGTCCGTGAGATGCAAAGACTTTCCGAACTGCTCGATCCGTTGGAGAGTGCCTACGCAGATGTGCGTTTCCTCGATGCTGACGTCGATCAAACAGCAGCACACTACGATGATTTGCTAACCGAGCTTCATGCTGAGATCGAGGATGAAGCCGTTTGCGATGATTCGGCAAAACAACTCAATAACGAGCTCTCGAGATTGCTTGCCGACATTCCACAAATCAACGACCCGCAAAGCCTGGCTCTCATCGAAGAACAACAAATTCCAGCACTCAACGCTCAAATGGATTTGTTGAAGGAAAAGCTCGCAAAAGCAGAAGACACTCGTCGGCACGTCGTTCCAGACACAGCCCGCTATGTGCAGCCATTGGAAGAGAAGATCGCTGAAACCGAGGCTGCTCTTGCGAAATCCAAGCAAGCTGCTAAAGATGCCGACAAAGAACGCCTCGTCCTGCTGCTCAATGTGCAACTCGAACAAGCCGAGCAACTGCCACTCGAAAATGTGTCGGTTGATGAGTTGAATGCTCTCGAGAAACAACTTCAATCCCTCGGACAACCAGAAGAGCCTCAAGTGCAACAACAGCTCGAGAAGATCGCCGAATTGAAGGCTCGAAAGGAGAAACACGATGACGATGTGGCCAAGTTGCGCGATTCGCTCGCTCGACTCACACACGACGTTGACGAGGCCGATGCTCACACTCATCCCAAGACTCCAGCCGCTCCCAAGAGCAAGAAGGGCAAGAAAGGAGGCAAAGGAGAACAACAGCCAACTGTTGCCGAACCGACAACCGACGAACTGAAACAAGTGGTTGCTCAACTCGATGGACAAGTGCTTCCAGCTCTCGCTCAACTCAACGAGCAAGCCGCAAAGGTTGAGGGTTTGGAACCCGAGAAAGAGAATGCCCACAATTTGACTGTCCGAGCTCAATCACTGCTTGACGAGGCACAGAAACAACTTGACGCGAAGATTGCCGCTGATGAGAAAGCTGCTCGTGTTGAAGCAAAATTGCTTGAGATCAAAGTCGTGCCCGAGAGTGTCACCGCTCTTGCACAAGCTCCACAACAAGAAATCCCACAAGACGATCAGGATGAGCTGAAGAGACAAGAAGATGCCACTGAAGTCGACATTGGAAAGCTTCAAGAGAAACTCGGTGAAATCGACGAGCTGCTTGCTCAAGGAGATCTCACACCCGAGCAACAGAAAGAACTCGAAAATGCTCGAGCAAACACAGAAAGCTATCTGGATAAACTTCGTCGTCTCCGAGATGCACTTCTCGACAAACTCGCCAATCTAGCCAAATATGGTCGAGACAAAGAAGCTCTTGATGCTGCAACCGAACCTGTCTCTGAAGCACTGACCACAGTCTTCGACAAGTATTCCACTCAAGCTCCACAACCATTTGCCGTCGGCAAAGAAGATCTTGGAAAAGCCGATGATGTGAGAGCTCGTGTTGCTGCTTTGGCCAATCAACTTGCCGAGACAAAAGCCTGGTTGCACGACAATCTACCATCTCGCGAAGCAGATCTCGATGCACAAATCGACGACATCAACTGGAAGACCGACAACTTGAATTCACTCATCAATGAGTTGGCAAACGAGGTGCAAGCTGGCGACCAAATAATCGCCGCTCACAACGACCTTTTCCCATTGGTTGCTGAAATCGAGAACAGAGCGGTTGAAGTACGCTCAACATCACCCGGAGAGGTGGCTGACCCTCAAGTGCTCAACGCAATCAAAGAACAACTTGCTCAAGTGCTCGCTCGAGTTGATGATCTTGAAAGCAAAATCAACGCGAAACCGTCACGACTCACCGGACAACCAGAGGGAGTGAACCCAGAAGCTCTGCGCAGCCGACTCCGCAACGTCGACAACTTGTTGAACGAAGAGGAGAAGAATGTGCAAGCCAAGCTCGAGCTTGTGGCTCTTGCTAACGATGTGGCTGCTCGTTCACAAGATCTCGATGAGTTGCTCGCAAAAGCACACGAAGTTCAGGGTCGACCAGATGCCACCATCGACGAGTTACGCAAAGCCGCCGATGATTTGCAGGGTGGAAAGGCGTTGCTTGATGCGCTCAACGACGACTACGAAAAGATCAAGAAAATCGATCAAGATCAAGAGAAGTCACCGGAGGGTGCTCAACTTGCTGCCACCACTCTTGATCGACTTGAGAAAGCAAACGAAGCTTTGAACAACACTCGATCCTCATTGGAAGACCGTGCTGATGCTCTTGAAGATCTGCACAGAAGAGCCGACGGAGCCGGAACTAGACTCGCTGAACTCGTTGATGAGGCGAATCGTTTGTTGTGCGACGCTGAAGCAATTCCAACCAAATTCGACTCGACGGCCGCTGAGATGAGAGAAGAAATCTCGGTTGCACGAAACATCCTTGCCACCGCTCCAACAGCTGCCGACGAACACGCACACTCGCTTTCAAGCACAGTCGATGCCGCACAGGCTCTTCTGCCAGTGCTCGACGACCGCAACACCTACTGGAACGAGTTTGTGGCAGCACGAGATGCCGCCGATCAGCTTCTCGAGGAAGTTCGACGACCACTTGATGCTCTCACTGCAAAACCACCTTGCTCCCTTGATGAGGCTCGTGGTGACTTGGAGGATGCCAAGCGTGCCAAAGAAGAGAACCTCGAACGTCTGAAGGATGCTGTCCGTGAGATGCAAAGACTTTCCGAACTGCTCGATCCGTTGGAGAGTGCCTACGCAGATGTGCGTTTCCTCGATGCTGACGTCGATCAAACAGCAGCACACTACGATGATTTGCTAACCGAGCTTCATGCTGAGATCGAGGATGAAGCCGTTTGCGATGATTCGGCAAAACAACTCAATAACGAGCTCTCGAGATTGCTTGCCGACATTCCACAAATCAACGACCCGCAAAGCCTGGCTCTCATCGAAGAACAACAAATTCCAGCACTCAACGCTCAAATGGATTTGTTGAAGGAAAAGCTCGCAAAAGCAGAAGACACTCGTCGGCACGTCGTTCCAGACACAGCCCGCTATGTGCAGCCATTGGAAGAGAAGATCGCTGAAACCGAGGCTGCTCTTGCGAAATCCAAGCAAGCTGCTAAAGATGCCGACAAAGAACGCCTCGTCCTGCTGCTCAATGTGCAACTCGAACAAGCCGAGCAACTGCCACTCGAAAATGTGTCGGTTGATGAGTTGAATGCTCTCGAGAAACAACTTCAATCCCTCGGACAACCAGAAGAGCCTCAAGTGCAACAACAGCTCGAGAAGATCGCCGAATTGAAGGCTCGAAAGGAGAAACACGATGACGATGTGGCCAAGTTGCGCGATTCGCTCGCTCGACTCACACACGACGTTGACGAGGCCGATGCTCACACTCATCCCAAGACTCCAGCCGCTCCCAAGAGCAAGAAGGGCAAGAAAGGAGGCAAAGGAGAACAACAGCCAACTGTTGCCGAACCGACAACCGACGAACTGAAACAAGTGGTTGCTCAACTCGATGGACAAGTGCTTCCAGCTCTCGCTCAACTCAACGAGCAAGCCGCAAAGGTTGAGGGTTTGGAACCCGAGAAAGAGAATGCCCACAATTTGACTGTCCGAGCTCAATCACTGCTTGACGAGGCACAGAAACAACTTGACGCGAAGATTGCCGCTGATGAGAAAGCTGCTCGTGTTGAAGCAAAATTGCTTGAGATCAAAGTCGTGCCCGAGAGTGTCACCGCTCTTGCACAAGCTCCACAACAAGAAATCCCACAAGACGATCAGGATGAGCTGAAGAGACAAGAAGATGCCACTGAAGTCGACATTGGAAAGCTTCAAGAGAAACTCGGTGAAATCGACGAGCTGCTTGCTCAAGGAGATCTCACACCCGAGCAACAGAAAGAACTCGAAAATGCTCGAGCAAACACAGAAAGCTATCTGGATAAACTTCGTCGTCTCCGAGATGCACTTCTCGACAAACTCGCCAATCTAGCCAAATATGGTCGAGACAAAGAAGCTCTTGATGCTGCAACCGAACCTGTCTCTGAAGCACTGACCACAGTCTTCGACAAGTATTCCACTCAAGCTCCACAACCATTTGCCGTCGGCAAAGAAGATCTTGGAAAAGCCGATGATGTGAGAGCTCGTGTTGCTGCTTTGGCCAATCAACTTGCCGAGACAAAAGCCTGGTTGCACGACAATCTACCATCTCGCGAAGCAGATCTCGATGCACAAATCGACGACATCAACTGGAAGACCGACAACTTGAATTCACTCATCAATGAGTTGGCAAACGAGGTGCAAGCTGGCGACCAAATAATCGCCGCTCACAACGACCTTTTCCCATTGGTTGCTGAAATCGAGAACAGAGCGGTTGAAGTACGCTCAACATCACCCGGAGAGGTGGCTGACCCTCAAGTGCTCAACGCAATCAAAGAACAACTTGCTCAAGTGCTCGCTCGAGTTGATGATCTTGAAAGCAAAATCAACGCGAAACCGTCACGACTCACCGGACAACCAGAGGGAGTGAACCCAGAAGCTCTGCGCAGCCGACTCCGCAACGTCGACAACTTGTTGAACGAAGAGGAGAAGAATGTGCAAGCCAAGCTCGAGCTTGTGGCTCTTGCTAACGATGTGGCTGCTCGTTCACAAGATCTCGATGAGTTGCTCGCAAAAGCACACGAAGTTCAGGGTCGACCAGATGCCACCATCGACGAGTTACGCAAAGCCGCCGATGATTTGCAGGGTGGAAAGGCGTTGCTTGATGCGCTCAACGACGACTACGAAAAGATCAAGAAAATCGATCAAGATCAAGAGAAGTCACCGGAGGGTGCTCAACTTGCTGCCACCACTCTTGATCGACTTGAGAAAGCAAACGAAGCTTTGAACAACACTCGATCCTCATTGGAAGACCGTGCTGATGCTCTTGAAGATCTGCACAGAAGAGCCGACGGAGCCGGAACTAGACTCGCTGAACTCGTTGATGAGGCGAATCGTTTGTTGTGCGACGCTGAAGCAATTCCAACCAAATTCGACTCGACGGCCGCTGAGATGAGAGAAGAAATCTCGGTTGCACGAAACATCCTTGCCACCGCTCCAACAGCTGCCGACGAACACGCACACTCGCTTTCAAGCACAGTCGATGCCGCACAGGCTCTTCTGCCAGTGCTCGACGACCGCAACACCTACTGGAACGAGTTTGTGGCAGCACGAGATGCCGCCGATCAGCTTCTCGAGGAAGTTCGACGACCACTTGATGCTCTCACTGCAAAACCACCTTGCTCCCTTGATGAGGCTCGTGGTGACTTGGAGGATGCCAAGCGTGCCAAAGAAGAGAACCTCGAACGTCTGAAGGATGCTGTCCGTGAGATGCAAAGACTTTCCGAACTGCTCGATCCGTTGGAGAGTGCCTACGCAGATGTGCGTTTCCTCGATGCTGACGTCGATCAAACAGCAGCACACTACGATGATTTGCTAACCGAGCTTCATGCTGAGATCGAGGATGAAGCCGTTTGCGATGATTCGGCAAAACAACTCAATAACGAGCTCTCGAGATTGCTTGCCGACATTCCACAAATCAACGACCCGCAAAGCCTGGCTCTCATCGAAGAACAACAAATTCCAGCACTCAACGCTCAAATGGATTTGTTGAAGGAAAAGCTCGCAAAAGCAGAAGACACTCGTCGGCACGTCGTTCCAGACACAGCCCGCTATGTGCAGCCATTGGAAGAGAAGATCGCTGAAACCGAGGCTGCTCTTGCGAAATCCAAGCAAGCTGCTAAAGATGCCGACAAAGAACGCCTCGTCCTGCTGCTCAATGTGCAACTCGAACAAGCCGAGCAACTGCCACTCGAAAATGTGTCGGTTGATGAGTTGAATGCTCTCGAGAAACAACTTCAATCCCTCGGACAACCAGAAGAGCCTCAAGTGCAACAACAGCTCGAGAAGATCGCCGAATTGAAGGCTCGAAAGGAGAAACACGATGACGATGTGGCCAAGTTGCGCGATTCGCTCGCTCGACTCACACACGACGTTGACGAGGCCGATGCTCACACTCATCCCAAGACTCCAGCCGCTCCCAAGAGCAAGAAGGGCAAGAAAGGAGGCAAAGGAGAACAACAGCCAACTGTTGCCGAACCGACAACCGACGAACTGAAACAAGTGGTTGCTCAACTCGATGGACAAGTGCTTCCAGCTCTCGCTCAACTCAACGAGCAAGCCGCAAAGGTTGAGGGTTTGGAACCCGAGAAAGAGAATGCCCACAATTTGACTGTCCGAGCTCAATCACTGCTTGACGAGGCACAGAAACAACTTGACGCGAAGATTGCCGCTGATGAGAAAGCTGCTCGTGTTGAAGCAAAATTGCTTGAGATCAAAGTCGTGCCCGAGAGTGTCACCGCTCTTGCACAAGCTCCACAACAAGAAATCCCACAAGACGATCAGGATGAGCTGAAGAGACAAGAAGATGCCACTGAAGTCGACATTGGAAAGCTTCAAGAGAAACTCGGTGAAATCGACGAGCTGCTTGCTCAAGGAGATCTCACACCCGAGCAACAGAAAGAACTCGAAAATGCTCGAGCAAACACAGAAAGCTATCTGGATAAACTTCGTCGTCTCCGAGATGCACTTCTCGACAAACTCGCCAATCTAGCCAAATATGGTCGAGACAAAGAAGCTCTTGATGCTGCAACCGAACCTGTCTCTGAAGCACTGACCACAGTCTTCGACAAGTATTCCACTCAAGCTCCACAACCATTTGCCGTCGGCAAAGAAGATCTTGGAAAAGCCGATGATGTGAGAGCTCGTGTTGCTGCTTTGGCCAATCAACTTGCCGAGACAAAAGCCTGGTTGCACGACAATCTACCATCTCGCGAAGCAGATCTCGATGCACAAATCGACGACATCAACTGGAAGACCGACAACTTGAATTCACTCATCAATGAGTTGGCAAACGAGGTGCAAGCTGGCGACCAAATAATCGCCGCTCACAACGACCTTTTCCCATTGGTTGCTGAAATCGAGAACAGAGCGGTTGAAGTACGCTCAACATCACCCGGAGAGGTGGCTGACCCTCAAGTGCTCAACGCAATCAAAGAACAACTTGCTCAAGTGCTCGCTCGAGTTGATGATCTTGAAAGCAAAATCAACGCGAAACCGTCACGACTCACCGGACAACCAGAGGGAGTGAACCCAGAAGCTCTGCGCAGCCGACTCCGCAACGTCGACAACTTGTTGAACGAAGAGGAGAAGAATGTGCAAGCCAAGCTCGAGCTTGTGGCTCTTGCTAACGATGTGGCTGCTCGTTCACAAGATCTCGATGAGTTGCTCGCAAAAGCACACGAAGTTCAGGGTCGACCAGATGCCACCATCGACGAGTTACGCAAAGCCGCCGATGATTTGCAGGGTGGAAAGGCGTTGCTTGATGCGCTCAACGACGACTACGAAAAGATCAAGAAAATCGATCAAGATCAAGAGAAGTCACCGGAGGGTGCTCAACTTGCTGCCACCACTCTTGATCGACTTGAGAAAGCAAACGAAGCTTTGAACAACACTCGATCCTCATTGGAAGACCGTGCTGATGCTCTTGAAGATCTGCACAGAAGAGCCGACGGAGCCGGAACTAGACTCGCTGAACTCGTTGATGAGGCGAATCGTTTGTTGTGCGACGCTGAAGCAATTCCAACCAAATTCGACTCGACGGCCGCTGAGATGAGAGAAGAAATCTCGGTTGCACGAAACATCCTTGCCACCGCTCCAACAGCTGCCGACGAACACGCACACTCGCTTTCAAGCACAGTCGATGCCGCACAGGCTCTTCTGCCAGTGCTCGACGACCGCAACACCTACTGGAACGAGTTTGTGGCAGCACGAGATGCCGCCGATCAGCTTCTCGAGGAAGTTCGACGACCACTTGATGCTCTCACTGCAAAACCACCTTGCTCCCTTGATGAGGCTCGTGGTGACTTGGAGGATGCCAAGCGTGCCAAAGAAGAGAACCTCGAACGTCTGAAGGATGCTGTCCGTGAGATGCAAAGACTTTCCGAACTGCTCGATCCGTTGGAGAGTGCCTACGCAGATGTGCGTTTCCTCGATGCTGACGTCGATCAAACAGCAGCACACTACGATGATTTGCTAACCGAGCTTCATGCTGAGATCGAGGATGAAGCCGTTTGCGATGATTCGGCAAAACAACTCAATAACGAGCTCTCGAGATTGCTTGCCGACATTCCACAAATCAACGACCCGCAAAGCCTGGCTCTCATCGAAGAACAACAAATTCCAGCACTCAACGCTCAAATGGATTTGTTGAAGGAAAAGCTCGCAAAAGCAGAAGACACTCGTCGGCACGTCGTTCCAGACACAGCCCGCTATGTGCAGCCATTGGAAGAGAAGATCGCTGAAACCGAGGCTGCTCTTGCGAAATCCAAGCAAGCTGCTAAAGATGCCGACAAAGAACGCCTCGTCCTGCTGCTCAATGTGCAACTCGAACAAGCCGAGCAACTGCCACTCGAAAATGTGTCGGTTGATGAGTTGAATGCTCTCGAGAAACAACTTCAATCCCTCGGACAACCAGAAGAGCCTCAAGTGCAACAACAGCTCGAGAAGATCGCCGAATTGAAGGCTCGAAAGGAGAAACACGATGACGATGTGGCCAAGTTGCGCGATTCGCTCGCTCGACTCACACACGACGTTGACGAGGCCGATGCTCACACTCATCCCAAGACTCCAGCCGCTCCCAAGAGCAAGAAGGGCAAGAAAGGAGGCAAAGGAGAACAACAGCCAACTGTTGCCGAACCGACAACCGACGAACTGAAACAAGTGGTTGCTCAACTCGATGGACAAGTGCTTCCAGCTCTCGCTCAACTCAACGAGCAAGCCGCAAAGGTTGAGGGTTTGGAACCCGAGAAAGAGAATGCCCACAATTTGACTGTCCGAGCTCAATCACTGCTTGACGAGGCACAGAAACAACTTGACGCGAAGATTGCCGCTGATGAGAAAGCTGCTCGTGTTGAAGCAAAATTGCTTGAGATCAAAGTCGTGCCCGAGAGTGTCACCGCTCTTGCACAAGCTCCACAACAAGAAATCCCACAAGACGATCAGGATGAGCTGAAGAGACAAGAAGATGCCACTGAAGTCGACATTGGAAAGCTTCAAGAGAAACTCGGTGAAATCGACGAGCTGCTTGCTCAAGGAGATCTCACACCCGAGCAACAGAAAGAACTCGAAAATGCTCGAGCAAACACAGAAAGCTATCTGGATAAACTTCGTCGTCTCCGAGATGCACTTCTCGACAAACTCGCCAATCTAGCCAAATATGGTCGAGACAAAGAAGCTCTTGATGCTGCAACCGAACCTGTCTCTGAAGCACTGACCACAGTCTTCGACAAGTATTCCACTCAAGCTCCACAACCATTTGCCGTCGGCAAAGAAGATCTTGGAAAAGCCGATGATGTGAGAGCTCGTGTTGCTGCTTTGGCCAATCAACTTGCCGAGACAAAAGCCTGGTTGCACGACAATCTACCATCTCGCGAAGCAGATCTCGATGCACAAATCGACGACATCAACTGGAAGACCGACAACTTGAATTCACTCATCAATGAGTTGGCAAACGAGGTGCAAGCTGGCGACCAAATAATCGCCGCTCACAACGACCTTTTCCCATTGGTTGCTGAAATCGAGAACAGAGCGGTTGAAGTACGCTCAACATCACCCGGAGAGGTGGCTGACCCTCAAGTGCTCAACGCAATCAAAGAACAACTTGCTCAAGTGCTCGCTCGAGTTGATGATCTTGAAAGCAAAATCAACGCGAAACCGTCACGACTCACCGGACAACCAGAGGGAGTGAACCCAGAAGCTCTGCGCAGCCGACTCCGCAACGTCGACAACTTGTTGAACGAAGAGGAGAAGAATGTGCAAGCCAAGCTCGAGCTTGTGGCTCTTGCTAACGATGTGGCTGCTCGTTCACAAGATCTCGATGAGTTGCTCGCAAAAGCACACGAAGTTCAGGGTCGACCAGATGCCACCATCGACGAGTTACGCAAAGCCGCCGATGATTTGCAGGGTGGAAAGGCGTTGCTTGATGCGCTCAACGACGACTACGAAAAGATCAAGAAAATCGATCAAGATCAAGAGAAGTCACCGGAGGGTGCTCAACTTGCTGCCACCACTCTTGATCGACTTGAGAAAGCAAACGAAGCTTTGAACAACACTCGATCCTCATTGGAAGACCGTGCTGATGCTCTTGAAGATCTGCACAGAAGAGCCGACGGAGCCGGAACTAGACTCGCTGAACTCGTTGATGAGGCGAATCGTTTGTTGTGCGACGCTGAAGCAATTCCAACCAAATTCGACTCGACGGCCGCTGAGATGAGAGAAGAAATCTCGGTTGCACGAAACATCCTTGCCACCGCTCCAACAGCTGCCGACGAACACGCACACTCGCTTTCAAGCACAGTCGATGCCGCACAGGCTCTTCTGCCAGTGCTCGACGACCGCAACACCTACTGGAACGAGTTTGTGGCAGCACGAGATGCCGCCGATCAGCTTCTCGAGGAAGTTCGACGACCACTTGATGCTCTCACTGCAAAACCACCTTGCTCCCTTGATGAGGCTCGTGGTGACTTGGAGGATGCCAAGCGTGCCAAAGAAGAGAACCTCGAACGTCTGAAGGATGCTGTCCGTGAGATGCAAAGACTTTCCGAACTGCTCGATCCGTTGGAGAGTGCCTACGCAGATGTGCGTTTCCTCGATGCTGACGTCGATCAAACAGCAGCACACTACGATGATTTGCTAACCGAGCTTCATGCTGAGATCGAGGATGAAGCCGTTTGCGATGATTCGGCAAAACAACTCAATAACGAGCTCTCGAGATTGCTTGCCGACATTCCACAAATCAACGACCCGCAAAGCCTGGCTCTCATCGAAGAACAACAAATTCCAGCACTCAACGCTCAAATGGATTTGTTGAAGGAAAAGCTCGCAAAAGCAGAAGACACTCGTCGGCACGTCGTTCCAGACACAGCCCGCTATGTGCAGCCATTGGAAGAGAAGATCGCTGAAACCGAGGCTGCTCTTGCGAAATCCAAGCAAGCTGCTAAAGATGCCGACAAAGAACGCCTCGTCCTGCTGCTCAATGTGCAACTCGAACAAGCCGAGCAACTGCCACTCGAAAATGTGTCGGTTGATGAGTTGAATGCTCTCGAGAAACAACTTCAATCCCTCGGACAACCAGAAGAGCCTCAAGTGCAACAACAGCTCGAGAAGATCGCCGAATTGAAGGCTCGAAAGGAGAAACACGATGACGATGTGGCCAAGTTGCGCGATTCGCTCGCTCGACTCACACACGACGTTGACGAGGCCGATGCTCACACTCATCCCAAGACTCCAGCCGCTCCCAAGAGCAAGAAGGGCAAGAAAGGAGGCAAAGGAGAACAACAGCCAACTGTTGCCGAACCGACAACCGACGAACTGAAACAAGTGGTTGCTCAACTCGATGGACAAGTGCTTCCAGCTCTCGCTCAACTCAACGAGCAAGCCGCAAAGGTTGAGGGTTTGGAACCCGAGAAAGAGAATGCCCACAATTTGACTGTCCGAGCTCAATCACTGCTTGACGAGGCACAGAAACAACTTGACGCGAAGATTGCCGCTGATGAGAAAGCTGCTCGTGTTGAAGCAAAATTGCTTGAGATCAAAGTCGTGCCCGAGAGTGTCACCGCTCTTGCACAAGCTCCACAACAAGAAATCCCACAAGACGATCAGGATGAGCTGAAGAGACAAGAAGATGCCACTGAAGTCGACATTGGAAAGCTTCAAGAGAAACTCGGTGAAATCGACGAGCTGCTTGCTCAAGGAGATCTCACACCCGAGCAACAGAAAGAACTCGAAAATGCTCGAGCAAACACAGAAAGCTATCTGGATAAACTTCGTCGTCTCCGAGATGCACTTCTCGACAAACTCGCCAATCTAGCCAAATATGGTCGAGACAAAGAAGCTCTTGATGCTGCAACCGAACCTGTCTCTGAAGCACTGACCACAGTCTTCGACAAGTATTCCACTCAAGCTCCACAACCATTTGCCGTCGGCAAAGAAGATCTTGGAAAAGCCGATGATGTGAGAGCTCGTGTTGCTGCTTTGGCCAATCAACTTGCCGAGACAAAAGCCTGGTTGCACGACAATCTACCATCTCGCGAAGCAGATCTCGATGCACAAATCGACGACATCAACTGGAAGACCGACAACTTGAATTCACTCATCAATGAGTTGGCAAACGAGGTGCAAGCTGGCGACCAAATAATCGCCGCTCACAACGACCTTTTCCCATTGGTTGCTGAAATCGAGAACAGAGCGGTTGAAGTACGCTCAACATCACCCGGAGAGGTGGCTGACCCTCAAGTGCTCAACGCAATCAAAGAACAACTTGCTCAAGTGCTCGCTCGAGTTGATGATCTTGAAAGCAAAATCAACGCGAAACCGTCACGACTCACCGGACAACCAGAGGGAGTGAACCCAGAAGCTCTGCGCAGCCGACTCCGCAACGTCGACAACTTGTTGAACGAAGAGGAGAAGAATGTGCAAGCCAAGCTCGAGCTTGTGGCTCTTGCTAACGATGTGGCTGCTCGTTCACAAGATCTCGATGAGTTGCTCGCAAAAAGCACACGAAGTTCAGGGTCGACCAGATGCCACCATCGACGAGTTACGCAAAGCCGCCGATGATTTGCAGGGTGGAAAGGCGTTGCTTGATGCGCTCAACGACGACTACGAAAAGATCAAGAAAATCGATCAAGATCAAGAGAAGTCACCGGAGGGTGCTCAACTTGCTGCCACCACTCTTGATCGACTTGAGAAAGCAAACGAAGCTTTGAACAACACTCGATCCTCATTGGAAGACCGTGCTGATGCTCTTGAAGATCTGCACAGAAGAGCCGACGGAGCCGGAACTAGACTCGCTGAACTCGTTGATGAGGCGAATCGTTTGTTGTGCGACGCTGAAGCAATTCCAACCAAATTCGACTCGACGGCCGCTGAGATGAGAGAAGAAATCTCGGTTGCACGAAACATCCTTGCCACCGCTCCAACAGCTGCCGACGAACACGCACACTCGCTTTCAAGCACAGTCGATGCCGCACAGGCTCTTCTGCCAGTGCTCGACGACCGCAACACCTACTGGAACGAGTTTGTGGCAGCACGAGATGCCGCCGATCAGCTTCTCGAGGAAGTTCGACGACCACTTGATGCTCTCACTGCAAAACCACCTTGCTCCCTTGATGAGGCTCGTGGTGACTTGGAGGATGCCAAGCGTGCCAAAGAAGAGAACCTCGAACGTCTGAAGGATGCTGTCCGTGAGATGCAAAGACTTTCCGAACTGCTCGATCCGTTGGAGAGTGCCTACGCAGATGTGCGTTTCCTCGATGCTGACGTCGATCAAACAGCAGCACACTACGATGATTTGCTAACCGAGCTTCATGCTGAGATCGAGGATGAAGCCGTTTGCGATGATTCGGCAAAACAACTCAATAACGAGCTCTCGAGATTGCTTGCCGACATTCCACAAATCAACGACCCGCAAAGCCTGGCTCTCATCGAAGAACAACAAATTCCAGCACTCAACGCTCAAATGGATTTGTTGAAGGAAAAGCTCGCAAAAGCAGAAGACACTCGTCGGCACGTCGTTCCAGACACAGCCCGCTATGTGCAGCCATTGGAAGAGAAGATCGCTGAAACCGAGGCTGCTCTTGCGAAATCCAAGCAAGCTGCTAAAGATGCCGACAAAGAACGCCTCGTCCTGCTGCTCAATGTGCAACTCGAACAAGCCGAGCAACTGCCACTCGAAAATGTGTCGGTTGATGAGTTGAATGCTCTCGAGAAACAACTTCAATCCCTCGGACAACCAGAAGAGCCTCAAGTGCAACAACAGCTCGAGAAGATCGCCGAATTGAAGGCTCGAAAGGAGAAACACGATGACGATGTGGCCAAGTTGCGCGATTCGCTCGCTCGACTCACACACGACGTTGACGAGGCCGATGCTCACACTCATCCCAAGACTCCAGCCGCTCCCAAGAGCAAGAAGGGCAAGAAAGGAGGCAAAGGAGAACAACAGCCAACTGTTGCCGAACCGACAACCGACGAACTGAAACAAGTGGTTGCTCAACTCGATGGACAAGTGCTTCCAGCTCTCGCTCAACTCAACGAGCAAGCCGCAAAGGTTGAGGGTTTGGAACCCGAGAAAGAGAATGCCCACAATTTGACTGTCCGAGCTCAATCACTGCTTGACGAGGCACAGAAACAACTTGACGCGAAGATTGCCGCTGATGAGAAAGCTGCTCGTGTTGAAGCAAAATTGCTTGAGATCAAAGTCGTGCCCGAGAGTGTCACCGCTCTTGCACAAGCTCCACAACAAGAAATCCCACAAGACGATCAGGATGAGCTGAAGAGACAAGAAGATGCCACTGAAGTCGACATTGGAAAGCTTCAAGAGAAACTCGGTGAAATCGACGAGCTGCTTGCTCAAGGAGATCTCACACCCGAGCAACAGAAAGAACTCGAAAATGCTCGAGCAAACACAGAAAGCTATCTGGATAAACTTCGTCGTCTCCGAGATGCACTTCTCGACAAACTCGCCAATCTAGCCAAATATGGTCGAGACAAAGAAGCTCTTGATGCTGCAACCGAACCTGTCTCTGAAGCACTGACCACAGTCTTCGACAAGTATTCCACTCAAGCTCCACAACCATTTGCCGTCGGCAAAGAAGATCTTGGAAAAGCCGATGATGTGAGAGCTCGTGTTGCTGCTTTGGCCAATCAACTTGCCGAGACAAAAGCCTGGTTGCACGACAATCTACCATCTCGCGAAGCAGATCTCGATGCACAAATCGACGACATCAACTGGAAGACCGACAACTTGAATTCACTCATCAATGAGTTGGCAAACGAGGTGCAAGCTGGCGACCAAATAATCGCCGCTCACAACGACCTTTTCCCATTGGTTGCTGAAATCGAGAACAGAGCGGTTGAAGTACGCTCAACATCACCCGGAGAGGTGGCTGACCCTCAAGTGCTCAACGCAATCAAAGAACAACTTGCTCAAGTGCTCGCTCGAGTTGATGATCTTGAAAGCAAAATCAACGCGAAACCGTCACGACTCACCGGACAACCAGAGGGAGTGAACCCAGAAGCTCTGCGCAGCCGACTCCGCAACGTCGACAACTTGTTGAACGAAGAGGAGAAGAATGTGCAAGCCAAGCTCGAGCTTGTGGCTCTTGCTAACGATGTGGCTGCTCGTTCACAAGATCTCGATGAGTTGCTCGCAAAAGCACACGAAGTTCAGGGTCGACCAGATGCCACCATCGACGAGTTACGCAAAGCCGCCGATGATTTGCAGGGTGGAAAGGCGTTGCTTGATGCGCTCAACGACGACTACGAAAAGATCAAGAAAATCGATCAAGATCAAGAGAAGTCACCGGAGGGTGCTCAACTTGCTGCCACCACTCTTGATCGACTTGAGAAAGCAAACGAAGCTTTGAACAACACTCGATCCTCATTGGAAGACCGTGCTGATGCTCTTGAAGATCTGCACAGAAGAGCCGACGGAGCCGGAACTAGACTCGCTGAACTCGTTGATGAGGCGAATCGTTTGTTGTGCGACGCTGAAGCAATTCCAACCAAATTCGACTCGACGGCCGCTGAGATGAGAGAAGAAATCTCGGTTGCACGAAACATCCTTGCCACCGCTCCAACAGCTGCCGACGAACACGCACACTCGCTTTCAAGCACAGTCGATGCCGCACAGGCTCTTCTGCCAGTGCTCGACGACCGCAACACCTACTGGAACGAGTTTGTGGCAGCACGAGATGCCGCCGATCAGCTTCTCGAGGAAGTTCGACGACCACTTGATGCTCTCACTGCAAAACCACCTTGCTCCCTTGATGAGGCTCGTGGTGACTTGGAGGATGCCAAGCGTGCCAAAGAAGAGAACCTCGAACGTCTGAAGGATGCTGTCCGTGAGATGCAAAGACTTTCCGAACTGCTCGATCCGTTGGAGAGTGCCTACGCAGATGTGCGTTTCCTCGATGCTGACGTCGATCAAACAGCAGCACACTACGATGATTTGCTAACCGAGCTTCATGCTGAGATCGAGGATGAAGCCGTTTGCGATGATTCGGCAAAACAACTCAATAACGAGCTCTCGAGATTGCTTGCCGACATTCCACAAATCAACGACCCGCAAAGCCTGGCTCTCATCGAAGAACAACAAATTCCAGCACTCAACGCTCAAATGGATTTGTTGAAGGAAAAGCTCGCAAAAGCAGAAGACACTCGTCGGCACGTCGTTCCAGACACAGCCCGCTATGTGCAGCCATTGGAAGAGAAGATCGCTGAAACCGAGGCTGCTCTTGCGAAATCCAAGCAAGCTGCTAAAGATGCCGACAAAGAACGCCTCGTCCTGCTGCTCAATGTGCAACTCGAACAAGCCGAGCAACTGCCACTCGAAAATGTGTCGGTTGATGAGTTGAATGCTCTCGAGAAACAACTTCAATCCCTCGGACAACCAGAAGAGCCTCAAGTGCAACAACAGCTCGAGAAGATCGCCGAATTGAAGGCTCGAAAGGAGAAACACGATGACGATGTGGCCAAGTTGCGCGATTCGCTCGCTCGACTCACACACGACGTTGACGAGGCCGATGCTCACACTCATCCCAAGACTCCAGCCGCTCCCAAGAGCAAGAAGGGCAAGAAAGGAGGCAAAGGAGAACAACAGCCAACTGTTGCCGAACCGACAACCGACGAACTGAAACAAGTGGTTGCTCAACTCGATGGACAAGTGCTTCCAGCTCTCGCTCAACTCAACGAGCAAGCCGCAAAGGTTGAGGGTTTGGAACCCGAGAAAGAGAATGCCCACAATTTGACTGTCCGAGCTCAATCACTGCTTGACGAGGCACAGAAACAACTTGACGCGAAGATTGCCGCTGATGAGAAAGCTGCTCGTGTTGAAGCAAAATTGCTTGAGATCAAAGTCGTGCCCGAGAGTGTCACCGCTCTTGCACAAGCTCCACAACAAGAAATCCCACAAGACGATCAGGATGAGCTGAAGAGACAAGAAGATGCCACTGAAGTCGACATTGGAAAGCTTCAAGAGAAACTCGGTGAAATCGACGAGCTGCTTGCTCAAGGAGATCTCACACCCGAGCAACAGAAAGAACTCGAAAATGCTCGAGCAAACACAGAAAGCTATCTGGATAAACTTCGTCGTCTCCGAGATGCACTTCTCGACAAACTCGCCAATCTAGCCAAATATGGTCGAGACAAAGAAGCTCTTGATGCTGCAACCGAACCTGTCTCTGAAGCACTGACCACAGTCTTCGACAAGTATTCCACTCAAGCTCCACAACCATTTGCCGTCGGCAAAGAAGATCTTGGAAAAGCCGATGATGTGAGAGCTCGTGTTGCTGCTTTGGCCAATCAACTTGCCGAGACAAAAGCCTGGTTGCACGACAATCTACCATCTCGCGAAGCAGATCTCGATGCACAAATCGACGACATCAACTGGAAGACCGACAACTTGAATTCACTCATCAATGAGTTGGCAAACGAGGTGCAAGCTGGCGACCAAATAATCGCCGCTCACAACGACCTTTTCCCATTGGTTGCTGAAATCGAGAACAGAGCGGTTGAAGTACGCTCAACATCACCCGGAGAGGTGGCTGACCCTCAAGTGCTCAACGCAATCAAAGAACAACTTGCTCAAGTGCTCGCTCGAGTTGATGATCTTGAAAGCAAAATCAACGCGAAACCGTCACGACTCACCGGACAACCAGAGGGAGTGAACCCAGAAGCTCTGCGCAGCCGACTCCGCAACGTCGACAACTTGTTGAACGAAGAGGAGAAGAATGTGCAAGCCAAGCTCGAGCTTGTGGCTCTTGCTAACGATGTGGCTGCTCGTTCACAAGATCTCGATGAGTTGCTCGCAAAAGCACACGAAGTTCAGGGTCGACCAGATGCCACCATCGACGAGTTACGCAAAGCCGCCGATGATTTGCAGGGTGGAAAGGCGTTGCTTGATGCGCTCAACGACGACTACGAAAAGATCAAGAAAATCGATCAAGATCAAGAGAAGTCACCGGAGGGTGCTCAACTTGCTGCCACCACTCTTGATCGACTTGAGAAAGCAAACGAAGCTTTGAACAACACTCGATCCTCATTGGAAGACCGTGCTGATGCTCTTGAAGATCTGCACAGAAGAGCCGACGGAGCCGGAACTAGACTCGCTGAACTCGTTGATGAGGCGAATCGTTTGTTGTGCGACGCTGAAGCAATTCCAACCAAATTCGACTCGACGGCCGCTGAGATGAGAGAAGAAATCTCGGTTGCACGAAACATCCTTGCCACCGCTCCAACAGCTGCCGACGAACACGCACACTCGCTTTCAAGCACAGTCGATGCCGCACAGGCTCTTCTGCCAGTGCTCGACGACCGCAACACCTACTGGAACGAGTTTGTGGCAGCACGAGATGCCGCCGATCAGCTTCTCGAGGAAGTTCGACGACCACTTGATGCTCTCACTGCAAAACCACCTTGCTCCCTTGATGAGGCTCGTGGTGACTTGGAGGATGCCAAGCGTGCCAAAGAAGAGAACCTCGAACGTCTGAAGGATGCTGTCCGTGAGATGCAAAGACTTTCCGAACTGCTCGATCCGTTGGAGAGTGCCTACGCAGATGTGCGTTTCCTCGATGCTGACGTCGATCAAACAGCAGCACACTACGATGATTTGCTAACCGAGCTTCATGCTGAGATCGAGGATGAAGCCGTTTGCGATGATTCGGCAAAACAACTCAATAACGAGCTCTCGAGATTGCTTGCCGACATTCCACAAATCAACGACCCGCAAAGCCTGGCTCTCATCGAAGAACAACAAATTCCAGCACTCAACGCTCAAATGGATTTGTTGAAGGAAAAGCTCGCAAAAGCAGAAGACACTCGTCGGCACGTCGTTCCAGACACAGCCCGCTATGTGCAGCCATTGGAAGAGAAGATCGCTGAAACCGAGGCTGCTCTTGCGAAATCCAAGCAAGCTGCTAAAGATGCCGACAAAGAACGCCTCGTCCTGCTGCTCAATGTGCAACTCGAACAAGCCGAGCAACTGCCACTCGAAAATGTGTCGGTTGATGAGTTGAATGCTCTCGAGAAACAACTTCAATCCCTCGGACAACCAGAAGAGCCTCAAGTGCAACAACAGCTCGAGAAGATCGCCGAATTGAAGGCTCGAAAGGAGAAACACGATGACGATGTGGCCAAGTTGCGCGATTCGCTCGCTCGACTCACACACGACGTTGACGAGGCCGATGCTCACACTCATCCCAAGACTCCAGCCGCTCCCAAGAGCAAGAAGGGCAAGAAAGGAGGCAAAGGAGAACAACAGCCAACTGTTGCCGAACCGACAACCGACGAACTGAAACAAGTGGTTGCTCAACTCGATGGACAAGTGCTTCCAGCTCTCGCTCAACTCAACGAGCAAGCCGCAAAGGTTGAGGGTTTGGAACCCGAGAAAGAGAATGCCCACAATTTGACTGTCCGAGCTCAATCACTGCTTGACGAGGCACAGAAACAACTTGACGCGAAGATTGCCGCTGATGAGAAAGCTGCTCGTGTTGAAGCAAAATTGCTTGAGATCAAAGTCGTGCCCGAGAGTGTCACCGCTCTTGCACAAGCTCCACAACAAGAAATCCCACAAGACGATCAGGATGAGCTGAAGAGACAAGAAGATGCCACTGAAGTCGACATTGGAAAGCTTCAAGAGAAACTCGGTGAAATCGACGAGCTGCTTGCTCAAGGAGATCTCACACCCGAGCAACAGAAAGAACTCGAAAATGCTCGAGCAAACACAGAAAGCTATCTGGATAAACTTCGTCGTCTCCGAGATGCACTTCTCGACAAACTCGCCAATCTAGCCAAATATGGTCGAGACAAAGAAGCTCTTGATGCTGCAACCGAACCTGTCTCTGAAGCACTGACCACAGTCTTCGACAAGTATTCCACTCAAGCTCCACAACCATTTGCCGTCGGCAAAGAAGATCTTGGAAAAGCCGATGATGTGAGAGCTCGTGTTGCTGCTTTGGCCAATCAACTTGCCGAGACAAAAGCCTGGTTGCACGACAATCTACCATCTCGCGAAGCAGATCTCGATGCACAAATCGACGACATCAACTGGAAGACCGACAACTTGAATTCACTCATCAATGAGTTGGCAAACGAGGTGCAAGCTGGCGACCAAATAATCGCCGCTCACAACGACCTTTTCCCATTGGTTGCTGAAATCGAGAACAGAGCGGTTGAAGTACGCTCAACATCACCCGGAGAGGTGGCTGACCCTCAAGTGCTCAACGCAATCAAAGAACAACTTGCTCAAGTGCTCGCTCGAGTTGATGATCTTGAAAGCAAAATCAACGCGAAACCGTCACGACTCACCGGACAACCAGAGGGAGTGAACCCAGAAGCTCTGCGCAGCCGACTCCGCAACGTCGACAACTTGTTGAACGAAGAGGAGAAGAATGTGCAAGCCAAGCTCGAGCTTGTGGCTCTTGCTAACGATGTGGCTGCTCGTTCACAAGATCTCGATGAGTTGCTCGCAAAAGCACACGAAGTTCAGGGTCGACCAGATGCCACCATCGACGAGTTACGCAAAGCCGCCGATGATTTGCAGGGTGGAAAGGCGTTGCTTGATGCGCTCAACGACGACTACGAAAAGATCAAGAAAATCGATCAAGATCAAGAGAAGTCACCGGAGGGTGCTCAACTTGCTGCCACCACTCTTGATCGACTTGAGAAAGCAAACGAAGCTTTGAACAACACTCGATCCTCATTGGAAGACCGTGCTGATGCTCTTGAAGATCTGCACAGAAGAGCCGACGGAGCCGGAACTAGACTCGCTGAACTCGTTGATGAGGCGAATCGTTTGTTGTGCGACGCTGAAGCAATTCCAACCAAATTCGACTCGACGGCCGCTGAGATGAGAGAAGAAATCTCGGTTGCACGAAACATCCTTGCCACCGCTCCAACAGCTGCCGACGAACACGCACACTCGCTTTCAAGCACAGTCGATGCCGCACAGGCTCTTCTGCCAGTGCTCGACGACCGCAACACCTACTGGAACGAGTTTGTGGCAGCACGAGATGCCGCCGATCAGCTTCTCGAGGAAGTTCGACGACCACTTGATGCTCTCACTGCAAAACCACCTTGCTCCCTTGATGAGGCTCGTGGTGACTTGGAGGATGCCAAGCGTGCCAAAGAAGAGAACCTCGAACGTCTGAAGGATGCTGTCCGTGAGATGCAAAGACTTTCCGAACTGCTCGATCCGTTGGAGAGTGCCTACGCAGATGTGCGTTTCCTCGATGCTGACGTCGATCAAACAGCAGCACACTACGATGATTTGCTAACCGAGCTTCATGCTGAGATCGAGGATGAAGCCGTTTGCGATGATTCGGCAAAACAACTCAATAACGAGCTCTCGAGATTGCTTGCCGACATTCCACAAATCAACGACCCGCAAAGCCTGGCTCTCATCGAAGAACAACAAATTCCAGCACTCAACGCTCAAATGGATTTGTTGAAGGAAAAGCTCGCAAAAGCAGAAGACACTCGTCGGCACGTCGTTCCAGACACAGCCCGCTATGTGCAGCCATTGGAAGAGAAGATCGCTGAAACCGAGGCTGCTCTTGCGAAATCCAAGCAAGCTGCTAAAGATGCCGACAAAGAACGCCTCGTCCTGCTGCTCAATGTGCAACTCGAACAAGCCGAGCAACTGCCACTCGAAAATGTGTCGGTTGATGAGTTGAATGCTCTCGAGAAACAACTTCAATCCCTCGGACAACCAGAAGAGCCTCAAGTGCAACAACAGCTCGAGAAGATCGCCGAATTGAAGGCTCGAAAGGAGAAACACGATGACGATGTGGCCAAGTTGCGCGATTCGCTCGCTCGACTCACACACGACGTTGACGAGGCCGATGCTCACACTCATCCCAAGACTCCAGCCGCTCCCAAGAGCAAGAAGGGCAAGAAAGGAGGCAAAGGAGAACAACAGCCAACTGTTGCCGAACCGACAACCGACGAACTGAAACAAGTGGTTGCTCAACTCGATGGACAAGTGCTTCCAGCTCTCGCTCAACTCAACGAGCAAGCCGCAAAGGTTGAGGGTTTGGAACCCGAGAAAGAGAATGCCCACAATTTGACTGTCCGAGCTCAATCACTGCTTGACGAGGCACAGAAACAACTTGACGCGAAGATTGCCGCTGATGAGAAAGCTGCTCGTGTTGAAGCAAAATTGCTTGAGATCAAAGTCGTGCCCGAGAGTGTCACCGCTCTTGCACAAGCTCCACAACAAGAAATCCCACAAGACGATCAGGATGAGCTGAAGAGACAAGAAGATGCCACTGAAGTCGACATTGGAAAGCTTCAAGAGAAACTCGGTGAAATCGACGAGCTGCTTGCTCAAGGAGATCTCACACCCGAGCAACAGAAAGAACTCGAAAATGCTCGAGCAAACACAGAAAGCTATCTGGATAAACTTCGTCGTCTCCGAGATGCACTTCTCGACAAACTCGCCAATCTAGCCAAATATGGTCGAGACAAAGAAGCTCTTGATGCTGCAACCGAACCTGTCTCTGAAGCACTGACCACAGTCTTCGACAAGTATTCCACTCAAGCTCCACAACCATTTGCCGTCGGCAAAGAAGATCTTGGAAAAGCCGATGATGTGAGAGCTCGTGTTGCTGCTTTGGCCAATCAACTTGCCGAGACAAAAGCCTGGTTGCACGACAATCTACCATCTCGCGAAGCAGATCTCGATGCACAAATCGACGACATCAACTGGAAGACCGACAACTTGAATTCACTCATCAATGAGTTGGCAAACGAGGTGCAAGCTGGCGACCAAATAATCGCCGCTCACAACGACCTTTTCCCATTGGTTGCTGAAATCGAGAACAGAGCGGTTGAAGTACGCTCAACATCACCCGGAGAGGTGGCTGACCCTCAAGTGCTCAACGCAATCAAAGAACAACTTGCTCAAGTGCTCGCTCGAGTTGATGATCTTGAAAGCAAAATCAACGCGAAACCGTCACGACTCACCGGACAACCAGAGGGAGTGAACCCAGAAGCTCTGCGCAGCCGACTCCGCAACGTCGACAACTTGTTGAACGAAGAGGAGAAGAATGTGCAAGCCAAGCTCGAGCTTGTGGCTCTTGCTAACGATGTGGCTGCTCGTTCACAAGATCTCGATGAGTTGCTCGCAAAAGCACACGAAGTTCAGGGTCGACCAGATGCCACCATCGACGAGTTACGCAAAGCCGCCGATGATTTGCAGGGTGGAAAGGCGTTGCTTGATGCGCTCAACGACGACTACGAAAAAGATCAAGAAAATCGATCAAGATCAAGAGAAGTCACCGGAGGGTGCTCAACTTGCTGCCACCACTCTTGATCGACTTGAGAAAGCAAACGAAGCTTTGAACAACACTCGATCCTCATTGGAAGACCGTGCTGATGCTCTTGAAGATCTGCACAGAAGAGCCGACGGAGCCGGAACTAGACTCGCTGAACTCGTTGATGAGGCGAATCGTTTGTTGTGCGACGCTGAAGCAATTCCAACCAAATTCGACTCGACGGCCGCTGAGATGAGAGAAGAAATCTCGGTTGCACGAAACATCCTTGCCACCGCTCCAACAGCTGCCGACGAACACGCACACTCGCTTTCAAGCACAGTCGATGCCGCACAGGCTCTTCTGCCAGTGCTCGACGACCGCAACACCTACTGGAACGAGTTTGTGGCAGCACGAGATGCCGCCGATCAGCTTCTCGAGGAAGTTCGACGACCACTTGATGCTCTCACTGCAAAACCACCTTGCTCCCTTGATGAGGCTCGTGGTGACTTGGAGGATGCCAAGCGTGCCAAAGAAGAGAACCTCGAACGTCTGAAGGATGCTGTCCGTGAGATGCAAAGACTTTCCGAACTGCTCGATCCGTTGGAGAGTGCCTACGCAGATGTGCGTTTCCTCGATGCTGACGTCGATCAAACAGCAGCACACTACGATGATTTGCTAACCGAGCTTCATGCTGAGATCGAGGATGAAGCCGTTTGCGATGATTCGGCAAAACAACTCAATAACGAGCTCTCGAGATTGCTTGCCGACATTCCACAAATCAACGACCCGCAAAGCCTGGCTCTCATCGAAGAACAACAAATTCCAGCACTCAACGCTCAAATGGATTTGTTGAAGGAAAAGCTCGCAAAAGCAGAAGACACTCGTCGGCACGTCGTTCCAGACACAGCCCGCTATGTGCAGCCATTGGAAGAGAAGATCGCTGAAACCGAGGCTGCTCTTGCGAAATCCAAGCAAGCTGCTAAAGATGCCGACAAAGAACGCCTCGTCCTGCTGCTCAATGTGCAACTCGAACAAGCCGAGCAACTGCCACTCGAAAATGTGTCGGTTGATGAGTTGAATGCTCTCGAGAAACAACTTCAATCCCTCGGACAACCAGAAGAGCCTCAAGTGCAACAACAGCTCGAGAAGATCGCCGAATTGAAGGCTCGAAAGGAGAAACACGATGACGATGTGGCCAAGTTGCGCGATTCGCTCGCTCGACTCACACACGACGTTGACGAGGCCGATGCTCACACTCATCCCAAGACTCCAGCCGCTCCCAAGAGCAAGAAGGGCAAGAAAGGAGGCAAAGGAGAACAACAGCCAACTGTTGCCGAACCGACAACCGACGAACTGAAACAAGTGGTTGCTCAACTCGATGGACAAGTGCTTCCAGCTCTCGCTCAACTCAACGAGCAAGCCGCAAAGGTTGAGGGTTTGGAACCCGAGAAAGAGAATGCCCACAATTTGACTGTCCGAGCTCAATCACTGCTTGACGAGGCACAGAAACAACTTGACGCGAAGATTGCCGCTGATGAGAAAGCTGCTCGTGTTGAAGCAAAATTGCTTGAGATCAAAGTCGTGCCCGAGAGTGTCACCGCTCTTGCACAAGCTCCACAACAAGAAATCCCACAAGACGATCAGGATGAGCTGAAGAGACAAGAAGATGCCACTGAAGTCGACATTGGAAAGCTTCAAGAGAAACTCGGTGAAATCGACGAGCTGCTTGCTCAAGGAGATCTCACACCCGAGCAACAGAAAGAACTCGAAAATGCTCGAGCAAACACAGAAAGCTATCTGGATAAACTTCGTCGTCTCCGAGATGCACTTCTCGACAAACTCGCCAATCTAGCCAAATATGGTCGAGACAAAGAAGCTCTTGATGCTGCAACCGAACCTGTCTCTGAAGCACTGACCACAGTCTTCGACAAGTATTCCACTCAAGCTCCACAACCATTTGCCGTCGGCAAAGAAGATCTTGGAAAAGCCGATGATGTGAGAGCTCGTGTTGCTGCTTTGGCCAATCAACTTGCCGAGACAAAAGCCTGGTTGCACGACAATCTACCATCTCGCGAAGCAGATCTCGATGCACAAATCGACGACATCAACTGGAAGACCGACAACTTGAATTCACTCATCAATGAGTTGGCAAACGAGGTGCAAGCTGGCGACCAAATAATCGCCGCTCACAACGACCTTTTCCCATTGGTTGCTGAAATCGAGAACAGAGCGGTTGAAGTACGCTCAACATCACCCGGAGAGGTGGCTGACCCTCAAGTGCTCAACGCAATCAAAGAACAACTTGCTCAAGTGCTCGCTCGAGTTGATGATCTTGAAAGCAAAATCAACGCGAAACCGTCACGACTCACCGGACAACCAGAGGGAGTGAACCCAGAAGCTCTGCGCAGCCGACTCCGCAACGTCGACAACTTGTTGAACGAAGAGGAGAAGAATGTGCAAGCCAAGCTCGAGCTTGTGGCTCTTGCTAACGATGTGGCTGCTCGTTCACAAGATCTCGATGAGTTGCTCGCAAAAGCACACGAAGTTCAGGGTCGACCAGATGCCACCATCGACGAGTTACGCAAAGCCGCCGATGATTTGCAGGGTGGAAAGGCGTTGCTTGATGCGCTCAACGACGACTACGAAAAGATCAAGAAAATCGATCAAGATCAAGAGAAGTCACCGGAGGGTGCTCAACTTGCTGCCACCACTCTTGATCGACTTGAGAAAGCAAACGAAGCTTTGAACAACACTCGATCCTCATTGGAAGACCGTGCTGATGCTCTTGAAGATCTGCACAGAAGAGCCGACGGAGCCGGAACTAGACTCGCTGAACTCGTTGATGAGGCGAATCGTTTGTTGTGCGACGCTGAAGCAATTCCAACCAAATTCGACTCGACGGCCGCTGAGATGAGAGAAGAAATCTCGGTTGCACGAAACATCCTTGCCACCGCTCCAACAGCTGCCGACGAACACGCACACTCGCTTTCAAGCACAGTCGATGCCGCACAGGCTCTTCTGCCAGTGCTCGACGACCGCAACACCTACTGGAACGAGTTTGTGGCAGCACGAGATGCCGCCGATCAGCTTCTCGAGGAAGTTCGACGACCACTTGATGCTCTCACTGCAAAACCACCTTGCTCCCTTGATGAGGCTCGTGGTGACTTGGAGGATGCCAAGCGTGCCAAAGAAGAGAACCTCGAACGTCTGAAGGATGCTGTCCGTGAGATGCAAAGACTTTCCGAACTGCTCGATCCGTTGGAGAGTGCCTACGCAGATGTGCGTTTCCTCGATGCTGACGTCGATCAAACAGCAGCACACTACGATGATTTGCTAACCGAGCTTCATGCTGAGATCGAGGATGAAGCCGTTTGCGATGATTCGGCAAAACAACTCAATAACGAGCTCTCGAGATTGCTTGCCGACATTCCACAAATCAACGACCCGCAAAGCCTGGCTCTCATCGAAGAACAACAAATTCCAGCACTCAACGCTCAAATGGATTTGTTGAAGGAAAAGCTCGCAAAAGCAGAAGACACTCGTCGGCACGTCGTTCCAGACACAGCCCGCTATGTGCAGCCATTGGAAGAGAAGATCGCTGAAACCGAGGCTGCTCTTGCGAAATCCAAGCAAGCTGCTAAAGATGCCGACAAAGAACGCCTCGTCCTGCTGCTCAATGTGCAACTCGAACAAGCCGAGCAACTGCCACTCGAAAATGTGTCGGTTGATGAGTTGAATGCTCTCGAGAAACAACTTCAATCCCTCGGACAACCAGAAGAGCCTCAAGTGCAACAACAGCTCGAGAAGATCGCCGAATTGAAGGCTCGAAAGGAGAAACACGATGACGATGTGGCCAAGTTGCGCGATTCGCTCGCTCGACTCACACACGACGTTGACGAGGCCGATGCTCACACTCATCCCAAGACTCCAGCCGCTCCCAAGAGCAAGAAGGGCAAGAAAGGAGGCAAAGGAGAACAACAGCCAACTGTTGCCGAACCGACAACCGACGAACTGAAACAAGTGGTTGCTCAACTCGATGGACAAGTGCTTCCAGCTCTCGCTCAACTCAACGAGCAAGCCGCAAAGGTTGAGGGTTTGGAACCCGAGAAAGAGAATGCCCACAATTTGACTGTCCGAGCTCAATCACTGCTTGACGAGGCACAGAAACAACTTGACGCGAAGATTGCCGCTGATGAGAAAGCTGCTCGTGTTGAAGCAAAATTGCTTGAGATCAAAGTCGTGCCCGAGAGTGTCACCGCTCTTGCACAAGCTCCACAACAAGAAATCCCACAAGACGATCAGGATGAGCTGAAGAGACAAGAAGATGCCACTGAAGTCGACATTGGAAAGCTTCAAGAGAAACTCGGTGAAATCGACGAGCTGCTTGCTCAAGGAGATCTCACACCCGAGCAACAGAAAGAACTCGAAAATGCTCGAGCAAACACAGAAAGCTATCTGGATAAACTTCGTCGTCTCCGAGATGCACTTCTCGACAAACTCGCCAATCTAGCCAAATATGGTCGAGACAAAGAAGCTCTTGATGCTGCAACCGAACCTGTCTCTGAAGCACTGACCACAGTCTTCGACAAGTATTCCACTCAAGCTCCACAACCATTTGCCGTCGGCAAAGAAGATCTTGGAAAAGCCGATGATGTGAGAGCTCGTGTTGCTGCTTTGGCCAATCAACTTGCCGAGACAAAAGCCTGGTTGCACGACAATCTACCATCTCGCGAAGCAGATCTCGATGCACAAATCGACGACATCAACTGGAAGACCGACAACTTGAATTCACTCATCAATGAGTTGGCAAACGAGGTGCAAGCTGGCGACCAAATAATCGCCGCTCACAACGACCTTTTCCCATTGGTTGCTGAAATCGAGAACAGAGCGGTTGAAGTACGCTCAACATCACCCGGAGAGGTGGCTGACCCTCAAGTGCTCAACGCAATCAAAGAACAACTTGCTCAAGTGCTCGCTCGAGTTGATGATCTTGAAAGCAAAATCAACGCGAAACCGTCACGACTCACCGGACAACCAGAGGGAGTGAACCCAGAAGCTCTGCGCAGCCGACTCCGCAACGTCGACAACTTGTTGAACGAAGAGGAGAAGAATGTGCAAGCCAAGCTCGAGCTTGTGGCTCTTGCTAACGATGTGGCTGCTCGTTCACAAGATCTCGATGAGTTGCTCGCAAAAGCACACGAAGTTCAGGGTCGACCAGATGCCACCATCGACGAGTTACGCAAAGCCGCCGATGATTTGCAGGGTGGAAAGGCGTTGCTTGATGCGCTCAACGACGACTACGAAAAGATCAAGAAAATCGATCAAGATCAAGAGAAGTCACCGGAGGGTGCTCAACTTGCTGCCACCACTCTTGATCGATTGACCAACTACAGTGATGGTTTGAACGCAGCCAGTCATGATTTGGAGGATTTGATTGCCGGCTTGGAGTCCTATTTGAGATCCGTTGACGAGATTCATGCAGCATTGGACGATTCAGAGAATGCTCTGGCTTCATCTGATATTACTGCGATTAACCATGCTCTTGAGATCATTACAGACATTAAGCCACAATTAACCGAGTTAAACCATCAAGCAAAAGCCCTCACTGAAATGGCTCATCCACCGGCTGAAGCCGAGAAATTGGAAATTCATGCCAGGCAATTAGAGGAAGAACTGGAAAGGCATTTGGAGAAAACAGCGTCAACCAAGAGACAAGCTGAAGATCTATCAAAACTACACTTTGAAATTGAAGATCAAAGCAAGGCGCTAGTTTTGCTAATAGATGAGGCCAACTCTCTACTGCAAGATTCCGAAGCATTGCCTTCAAGCTTCGAAGTGTTATCAAGTGCCTTGAGTCAGGAGATTGAAAGAGGCGAGTCCCTGATCGATCAAGGATCAATGAGTGATCCCCGTGTGATTTCCCTTTCACATATCGTTGATGCGGCTAAAGAAGTATTTGATGCTTTGAATGCAAAGATTGCTTTGCTGAAGAAGTTCGATACTTTGCTTGACAGTCTCAATGATCAGATCGATCAATTGCGGGAAAATCTCAATGAGGGAGAATTGATGAAAGTCAACGACGCCGATGTGCTCCTGGACAAAATGAAGGTGAGTTGGTGTTGATTTACTAAAAGTTCAAATTTAAGGAAAGAATTAAAGCTTGTATATTTGAATTATTTTAGGATGACATTCCCACTCGAATTGTCAGGCTGAAAGACACGGAAAGTGACCTTTTCGATATTGCGACAAGAGTCGAACCATTAACACAACCAGGTGATGCGATTCGATTCGCTTCTGTTGACGTGGAAAATGTCGAGCGAACGATGGAGGTAGGGGTTTAAAACCAAAATATTAAGTATGACATGTTGTTTACAATGTGATTAGTACCAAATTTCAGGACACTCTGGAGCGTCTTTCCGCCGAGATCGCTGCCGAGCACGAGCTCCGCCGAACGCTCGACATTTTGCACAACGAGGTCGAACAGACGAAAGAAGAACTCGAGCACGACCCAAGCAGTCAAGCAACACTTGTCGTACCAAGGGTAAGTCGTTTGCATGTTATATAGAAATCCTTCGTCACTATTTCTTTCAGAACAAAGAACCATTGCTCTCCGACATTTTGGCCCATCTCGAACACCAACGGGATATCGTTTCCGCTAGTGCCACCCATCGGTTATTCGTCTTGTCGGAAACCGATGACGAGCTGGCGGCACTGATTTTGGAGGTTTGTCAAGAACAGGATATATTATATTATGACATGATACGCTTCTTTTTCGATCGAAACAGATTTCGGGCAAATTTTGTACTCAATATGTAAACCCATGTTGTTTGGTACACTCAATTTCCATTCTCTTGCGGCAGTCACTATTCTTGCATGTTTGCAATCTTGAGCCTTTAGTCAGCTCATAATACCAGAACAATTCGTTTAAAACCACCCAATTACTTTCAACTTTCAGGTGCGTGACTTACACGAGCGTGCTTTACAAGGGCCAGATGAGGACGAGGATGAGACAACGACTCAAGAAGACGAAATGGGACCCGGGCCAAGCACAAGTCGAGCCACACAACAAGTCGGCGACTATCGCCGAGCCGCCGCCGAGGTGTTGGCTCGTCTGTATCCCGATGACAATCCACTGGACGTTTGCAGGGAAAGGGGTAAGCTGGGGCTTCAAAAATCCAAAGACAGTACAGGAAAACCAATTGCTTATCGAATTATCTAAACCTAGTTATTTTAGGCATCGAATTGAGCGTCCCCTACGATTTTGAAGATTCACAGAGCGAGCTGAGCTCCTTTGGGGAAAGCTCCGCATCGACCTGCTTGAGTCCTGTACCCGACGATCCGACTGGCACAGAGGTATTTTGAAAGGAATAATTTGATAAAGATATAGATTAGGGAAGATAATACTAAGGATTGTAAAAAATTTAAACAAATTTTAGGCTGCTGCCCACTACCGTAGACAGAGATCCCGATGGAGGCGAGTGTTGAAGACTGCATTACCGCTACAGGTAAATCTTGATATTTAGCTAGTTCTCGATGATCTGATTGAAATAAAACAGTTCTATCAGTTCTATTGAGAGAATACAATAGTGTGCCCAATTTACATACCTGATTTGCATATATGTTACTTCCGATCTAGAAATCCGTCCGATCTATACTGATTCTAGATCGGAAGTCCGATCTAAAGTGAAGGTCAAACGATCGATCTAGAATCAAGCCGATCACTCCAAATCAGACGTCCGATCCAGACTTAGATTTAGAGTGGTCGGCTTGATTCTAGATCTGACGATCTGACGGCATGGCCGAGTATTTCTTAGAAATAGACTTCGTCAGCGTTAAAAACAAATTGGTTGTTCCAATAAAACAACAGGCATCAAAGTCAAGCATGTATCAAACCATTCTTTCAAAGATCTAGCTATTGTAATCCCCAAACAATTGCAGGCGATGCTCGTTCTGCTCCTCGGTGCCGCGTGTCTCGTGCCACATTGTGACGATGAATACTGTTGTCAGCTATTGAATAATTTCGCTCGTTCTCTCGATCCAACTCTCGAGTTCATCAATGGACCGCCACCATTCTAAACTCGTTGAGAGACATTTTATAGAACCCGTTTCTAGCCTAAAATTTTATTCTCATTTTTTGCAATTGATGCTACACGTGTGCTCAAAAGGAACCTTTTTAGCTTGAATTTATTTTTTATATTTGAATTTCTCTTATAAAAGTCACCGCCGGGCTTTTTTTTGAGAACATTTTTTTGACCAAAATCTAGGTTTTCGGTTTTGAGATGAAACTTTTGAGGGTTTATTTTTATTGCAGCAATCTCAGAGTTGGTTTTTACTTTTTGAACTCAAAATTTTGCTACCAAGCTTGGTTTAAAAGGTCGAAATGACCAGTATACAGCCGATCTTTCGTCCATTATACTGCCGATCTGTCGCTCCACGTAAACGCACAGACTCTGGTGCACTGATTTCTGCAAGGATGATCCTAAATAACAGACTAATGATCTACAAAATGGCCAGATTGTTCCAATTTGGTCCAATATTCAAATCCAATATCCAATTTGGTCTAATATTTAATATCAATTTTACTGAGCTCAAAGAGAAACCGATTCAAAAACGGTACTTTAACTCGGACATATTCTGATTATCATTCGAAAATTTTTAAAAACATGCCTCTAGCTTGTTTACTGTGACTTGTGTACTGTAAATGAGTAATCTGCTTGAGCACTGTAGCCTGAGTACGGTAGCTCAAAAACAAACCAACTTATAGTCTCAAAAACCCAAAAAAAACCCTCAAAATCCTCAGAAATCCCTTAAATCTAGACCTTTTGCTAGGTTCGAATTTGTCATTTCTCAAATTTTTGTGAAAAAATCTTTCATGGCAATTTCCCCCCACATTTTTGCCCACATACGTGTACCTGGAAATCGTGTTTTTTTTTTTAATTTTTCTGTTTTTGTGCTTTTCTCTTCGAGACGAACCAAAATTTTTGCTTAGCCTTATGATTTTAATTTTATCAATTATTTTTACATTGTTTAGTGCAGTTTAGTGATTTAGTGTTAGTGATTTTCCCCTTTTTCGTTGAAGTTTTCTCATTCCTTCCCGAAAACCCAGTTAACATTTTTGTAATAAAGATTTTTATTTGATTTGACTTATGAAATGCAGTGTAAATGAAAAAAAAAAAAGTTAAAATACATCGATTTAAATATTCAGAGTAATTTTTTCTTGGCATACTCATCAGCTTTATCGAAAAATTTATTCAGAAATGATCAGGTGCATAAAATGTTTACACAGTGAGTCAAAACGAAACACAAAGCACTTATTCATGCAACACACACACACACACACACTTTCTGGCGCATTCAATTCTTCGTTTTCTTCGCGGAGCCTAATCGTTATCTCAAAAAAAAGAACCTGGTGCACCAGAGAGGGTGTCTTTGTATTTTTTGAGCACAAAGTACACACGGTTTTATTCTAGGTAAAACAACTCGTTCTGAGCTTGAAACTTGTAGGATTAGATAATACGAAACCAAAGTTAAAGTTCAACAACACAGGGTCTTCAAAAAAAAGTCAGTTCGGCTAGATTTTCCTCAGAATTTCCAGTGGCTGGGGGTAACAACCCCAGGAAAGTGAATGTGGTACTAAAATAAATATTTTGGGCGGGCAAATCACTTTCTCCCGATTTCATGACTCCCTACCACATTGATGACGGCGCATCTTTTGTGAAACGGCCGATTTGAACCAGGGATCAAAGTGAATAACCAAATCCCAGAAATTTGCAAATGAGAGCTTAAAAGACTCTAGAATCCGAATCCGGCCTTAAATTTCGGCCAACAAATTCCACAAATTTTTCTCTAAAGATGCCATGAAAAATTGCACTACGAGGAAAACAATGGATTGTGATGTCCTCAAAACTAAAATTGATGTTGCGACCCAAGTTGATGAAGAGGCTATCGAAATCGCCGCAGACAAAAGGAATTTAGCCCCGTGCAACTCAGTCATCTCCGGTTCCGAGAAGAAACGAGGAAGGCCAAAAGGATCTGGGACGAATGAGAAAAGAAAACAGTCTTGAAGTAGCCAATGGAGTGAAAAATGGCCAAGGATCATTTGTGAAGCGCAAAATTGTATCCAAAAATGGGACCGGAGGAGCGATCATCGCAAAGTTGCCTACCACGGACACGCCGAACACGAGCCCAGCAGCAAAGTTTACCAGGATGGATTCACAAGACTTGCCGCTCCCTCTAGAAATCGACTCGCCCACTCCAGGATAAGCTCATTTCCCCCCGTAACGTCTGTTTCGTTTCTCTTTGCCAATGTTCACTCAATAATTTCACAAAAACGTCTTAGTTACGTGCAATTTTTGTCCAGATCTCTCTCTTACGATGTTCTTGCCTTTTGTGAGACCTGGCTGACTGAAAACACTACATCTTCTATCTTAGACCCCGCCTCTAACTATTCCATAATTCGTTGTGACCGTATCTTTAATGATATCAAAGTTCGAGGTGGTGGTGTTATCCTATTCATTCGCCGTGCTTATAACTTTATCCCTGTTACTAATCAATCAGTCTCAGGTTGCGAGATAATCATTGTTGATATATTCGCTCATTCAGATTCCCCCTCGCGTATCTTTATTGTTTATCGTCCCCCACATGTCAACAACCAGGGTTCTTTCCATCTTTTTACATTTCTTGAAGATTACTTGCTACCAAATCATCCAAATTTCCTTCTTGGCGATTTTAATTTTCCTTTAACTGTTTCTCTAGGACATTTACCTAATTTATCGCGTTTTCCACATTTAGAAAACTTCCTGTCAGCCAACAGCTTAGAAATTTTAAACAAATTCCCTACTTTCAGGAAAAGTTCGCATATTTTAGACCTAGTTTTAACCGACTCTCCTCATTTAATTTCAGCTATTTCACCATGTCCTCCCATTGGTGGTGCCGACCATTTTTCTATGTCTTTTAATTTAATTCTGCATCATTTTACCTCTCTAAAAGGACCGGATGAAGGTAACTGTGCCTTTTGGAGAGGTAATTTCGGTGCTGTCTGTCTTTCTTTAGCGCTCTTCAATGCAAGGTTTCTTCCCCGATTAGAGATGGACATCAACGAGTGTTATGCCGACTTCTTTGAAGAGATGAAACCGCTGTTGGACGAAAATGTACCTATTTCAACCAGGTTTCAACCTTTTCTTACCCCAGTCACATATCTCGAGCTAGGCAAAGGTTAGAAGCAGCTTGGCGTTATCGCGATTCCCCCCATTACGCATATCTAGAAAACCAGCTAACTAAGTTTGTCAAGAAATTTGAGGCCAATATTGAACGGAAAGCCGTTTTTAGTCCTAGTCCCAAAGCTTTTTACTCATACGTCTATTCTAAGATCAATCCAAGCCACGAGTCCTCTATTAAATGTATAATTGATCCCCTTCGCAACTCGTTGATTTTCGAAAATCACAAAATTGCTAATTCCTTTGCTCAATATTTCTCCAGCGTTTTTGCAGTTGACGATGGTAGTTGCATCCCTGTTCTTCCCGCCCCAGCACATACTTGCGCAGCCCTAATCGTCACACCAAGACTGGTCGAAACAGCAATTAGTAAGCTTAGCAATAAGATTTCTTACACCCCAGACGGAATTCCCTCTTTTGTTATACGGAAAACTAAGTTTCAAATATCACCACTACTTGCTAAACTTTTTAATCTGTCACTTCTAATGGCTAAGATCCCTAAATTTTGGAAAGACTCAACGATTTCGCCACTTTTTAAGAAAGGAGATCGGAACGCGCTTGCAAATTATAGACGCATCGCGCTCACCTCCTCCATTTGTAAAGTCTTAGAAATAATTATTCGCGACCACATTATTCACTATCTAAATGAACATAATCTAATTGATAAAAATCAATTCGGCTTTCTCAAAAACCGCTCTACCTCCGACCAGCTAGTTCTCTGTGCGCATGACTGGCTTCTAGCTAAAGCCAAAAACGATCAAACTAGCTGCGTTTTCATTGATTTTTCCAAAGCATTCGATTCTGTTAATCATAGATTTTTAATCGCCAAACTAAATTCACTAGGTCTCCCCATATCCATCACTAATTGGATTGCAAATTGGCTTACCGAAAGGACTTTTCGCGTCCACTTAGGCTCTACCTTTTCGGATGACTTCCCCATTAGTAGCGGAGTACCCCAAGGGAGCGTTCTTGGTCCTCTTCTTTTCCTTATCTATATTAATGACGTTAACAGTTCGATCTCCCCAGGCACAAAAGTCCGACTCTACGCCGATGATCTTAAAATTTATAGAGTACTTCCGTCCCAGAGCTCCATCCCTGATTTTACTCTTCTCCAGAAGGATCTTGATTCGATCCTTTTGTGAAGTAAATTTTGGAAACTTAACATTGCGCCGGACAAATGGAAACACGTTACATTTGGTTCATTACATATCCCTTTAAAATTGGGGGACCTACAATTACCACAAGGGTTGACCGATGATCCTGTAAAAGATCTTGGTATACTGTTAGTTCCCTCTCTAAAATTTGATCCTCACATAAACTACATTTCCAAAAAAGCTTCTAGAATTTCTAACATAATTCTTCGCGCCATTTGTTTCCCTAAAATCGCGACTTATCGCAAGGCTTTTATAACCTATTGCCGACCTTTGCTCGAGTATGCCACCATCGTATGGTCACCTTCCATTAAGAAACTTATCACCTTGGTTGAAAATGTCCAACGACGTTTCACTAAAAAGCATACACTCGTTGTTTCCCTTCTTCTCTTATTCCAAATTATGAGACTAGACTTATAGTTTTTGATTTAAAACCCCTTTTATATCGCCGTATTTACTTTGATCTTATTTTTTGCTATAAAATTCTTTTCCACCCTAAGTCACATCCAGAATTTCAAAGCCTCTTGAAAATTGTAGAAATTTATAGAAGTTCACGTAGTCATCTTTATCAAATTTCGGTCGGTTCTCATCCCCATCATCTTTCCCTTTATCATTCTTTTGCGAATCGTATTAGTAGGGTTTGGAATAAGCTCCCGTCTGGTATCTTCTCGTCTGTAGGAAAATTCAAAGTATCTGTGAACGAATTAGATCTTATTGCCATGTCAAATCTGCCCTATATTTAATCTTTTTGTATCTGTGTTTCCCAACTGTACTCTTACTGTACTATCTTTAGTTTTCTCTTTTTTTTCGGTGAGAGTATTGTAACAATATGTTATATGCAGTTATGATTATCTGATTCGCTTCTATTCACCCCATGGATAAAGCATATATATATATATAGTTTATTTTCACAGTTTTAATTATTTTATTTTATACGCTGATTTCTAGTAGTTAACTTCTCGATAAATGTATGTCCGGGTCAGAATTCCCTTTAGAATTGTTTGAGCCTTCAAAAATTATTGGTTACCTTAGAAAAACGCGATTTTTTGAAGTCGTTTTAATTACCCAAGTCCCGACCCCATGTCCGGGGCAGTGTGCCAGATTTTTCCTACGAGTGACACGAAAAGAACGTACAAAATTTCCTTTATAAGACGCCTTTTTTAGAAAATTTAAAAATATTCATTTTAAAACTCTTTTTGAGTCCTAACACTTGATGTTTATAGCTACCTCATTAAATTAAATGTAATGAATAGTGTTTGGCTAGAAATGTTAGTTTATATATTCCTCTTTCCGAATCCGACATTAGCTTTATTAGGAAATTGTGTGATTTTTCGTAAAAAGTGGAAAAGCCGGGTCTTACCTCGGATTCCCTGGCCAAGTGTTCTAAGGCGCGCGAGGCCAATCTGAGGCTCCAATAGGCCGTTGTTGGTTCGACTCAGCGAGAACGTTTTGCAAAAAAGATTTTCTAATAATTATATACTAATCTGCCGAAAATATAAGATTTTCAACTCGCCTTTTTTAAAGAAGTGTCCTATTTTTTCAAGGAAACGCTGATCAATAAAGTGTATGGTTTAAATTTGCAGTTATCCTAATAGTGTTTATTATGCACCATGATGTCAGTACAAAGCTTTAATTTTATGGCAAAGGTCTCATGGTGATGACCATGGTGGTTCAAAAATTTCATGTATAGCACACAGACGATCGCGTGACTCAATGCTTTATTCTCTGATATGGAATTGATCGATTGGTTAAATCAGACCTGGACAAAAAGGATCTTAATTTTGATTTCGAGAAATTTCCGGATACCCCAATCGATGAGGGTTTCATTGATGAGGCAAAAACTGCGGCAAGCATTTTCATCTGTATAAACCTCAAAGTTAGAGATACCGTAAGATTACCATATATTTTTTTCATTTAGGCTTTATTCAAGAAAAAGCAAAAATCTGTCGCATATTTGGAAATCGAGAAATCAAATGTAGGACATATTGAAGCTTCTCACTGTTTGAACTGTTTCTCGACCTTCTCGTACTTCTCCTCGGCCCAGCCCTTGGCGTTCTCCTTCTGAAAATAAGTTAAATGATTGGATTTGAGAAAAGATATGATGAAATTGAGCTCATTTTAGCAAAATTCAAGCTTGTTGATCAAAAATTTGAAGAAATTAGGTAGTCAGTTCAAGTTGACTTCTCAAACTAAGGCACGGAGTTGGCTGACTTTCTTGACTTTCTTGAATTTTGGGTTTCTTAGATAGCTAAATCTTAAAAAAGGTTGATCTAATAGTTAGTTCTAGCGTAACGTTAAAGTTCAGGGACAGTCAGGACTAAAGAGTAGATTCTAGCCCAATGTTGGCTTGGACTTAAGCTAATTTGATTCTGTTTTCTTTAACTAAGTAACTGTATATACAACGATTCTTGAATCTCTAGTTTAAATGAACAACTTATTCTTTAGTATCAAAGATTATCCCTTTCCAAAACTACGAACCGCCTCGCCGGCCTTCTCCTTGGTCTCATCCCAGGCTGATTGAGCGCTGTCACGGGCGCGGTCCTCGTGCGACTGGCCGGTCATGTCTTTGAACTTGTCCTTCACCTGAAAAGCATTTTAATAACCTTTTTTCACTTCTGTTAGAGTTGTATGAACGCAGAAGTAGAGGTGAGGCAAAGTGACCGATAAAGTGAGGTTCAAGACTGCTTTGATTACCTAACAACCAGTTTCAGCCGCTATGGACAGTAATTCGACCTCAAAACTACACATTTTTCACTGAAATTTAAGTTTTTAAACTCTAGAAGTTGAAGTTCACTGAAGTTTTTAAACTCTTGAAGTTTAAAATCTTGGTGCTTTCTTGGAAAACCCACAGCTTCGGCGGCGTTTGAGACGGCGTCCTTGGCTTTGTCGTAGATTCCGGACATTTTGACTGTTTGTTGAAAGGAGAATTTGAAGTCTCTGAAAATAGAACTCTTAAAAATTGCAAACCAGCTTTTTAAAACATCAGAACAAAACATAGTACGATCGTTTGAAAGCGGAGAATTTGAAGTTGAAAAAAGATGAGGTGAAAATCGCAATGAGTGGTAGGTTAAAGTGAAAGATTCCCCCTAACTAGGGATCGTTGTCCTAATCTAGCCTATTTTGTGGCAAATTTTTCGCTGACTCCACTTATCTAGGTCGTTTGTGTGTAATGGGTTCAAATTTTCGGTTTAAATCCGTTTGAAATTTGTGTGTAAAAAAGCAGTTTTTACGTGTTGCGCTACTCTGACCGCGCGAGTATAAGGCGATCTTGTGTTATGGAAAGAGTGACCGAGTGGTATGTGCGCTAGGATTTCTCCCTGTTCGCCCTGGTTCGAGCCCTGACTTGGGCAAAACTTTTGCTCTTTGCAAATGCAAAAACATCGGTCTACCTTTGGTTTCTTTTCTTTTCCTGCTTGCTTTTTGTTTGTTGAAATAAATAGCCTTTAAATTATCACAGAAGGCCATAAAATAAAATTGTCCAAACTTAAACTACATAAAGTTGCATAAATTAGTCTTTATACGGCTATTTATTGTTTGCGAGATTTCACATTTATGTCTTTAACAAGAATTTTTTATAAAAAGCAAAGTTTTACCCCAGTCGGGGCTCGAAACAGGGTCGACAAGCCTAACGACTAGTTTCAGAGCCCAGACTAGCACTTACCACTCGCCCACGACAACATACCTTCTAGGAACACAAGATCGCTTGATACTCGCGCAACAAATCACAACAAAAAACGGGCAGACAAAAACGGCTTCTTTTACACACAAACTTCAAAAGGATTTAAATCGAAAATTTAAACGCCTTACACACAAACGACCTAGATATTCGAAATCAGCGAAAAATTTGCTACAAAATAGGCTGGATCACACCCGGTGGTAAATAAACAATAATCCCTAGTAAGAGTCCGCCCATAAAAAATTTAAATGTAGTAAAGTGAATTTAAATGTTTAAATCTATAAACTTAATTTCAATCTTCAAAAGTTTAAATTTCTGAACCAAGCTTAACCTGAGGCTTTTAAAGTTTTAAAAAAAGACAATCTTTAGAAGAAAAATCTCTAAGAAGGAGTCGTTCATTTGATTGGTTGCTTTCCCATTTGCCCCACTGTCCTTAAATACGCAAATTTCTCGCAAAATATGCTCCCAAGTGCACGCAAAACAACAAATTTGAATAAACAAGATCCGCTATCTCCCAAAAATTCCCCGAAAAACAGCTGCGGTTTGACGAATGGCACCCGTTTTCTTGCAGATCTTGAGATCATTGGGATGTTGATGAATTTTTCGAAAATTTTCCAAATTTTTCGCAGCTTTTTCTTTAATCAGACAAGAGGAAAAGGTCTAGAAGATTTGATCGTCAAATGGTTTTTGATTTTTGAAAACGCTGCAGGAGTACACGTACAGTGCATCATTTTACAGTATCAAAAAGGCTTCAAGGTACAGTCCAACTTAATAATGGTATTCCAGTTATAACGACACCTATTTTCGGTTTCTTGATAGTGGTTTTTATTAAACCGTATCTCCAACTGTATCTCCAATAGCTTGTACCGATTTTGTTGAGTGAGATTTACGCAAACTCCCAAAGATAAAATCCTCCAGTTCAACCATTCAATCCTTATTGTTTTACTACTGGCCCACTAAAGCCTATCACAATGAGGTTGAGGTTTGAGCTTGTCTACACGTCAAGACATAAAAAGCAATGATAGAGATCTCCAAGGTAAACCTTTTGATATACAGGGTCATTTATGTAGGGCAAAGGGCCATTGGGTAACTGAAGGGCTTGAGAATTGTCAGTCAGACTAAAAGCTTTACTAGATTTATCCTTTTTTCTTTTCAAATGGCCTTTAGACATTTGAAGTACAGCCACTTGAGTCGCACTCCCGACGTCCAAGCATCCTTGTTTGTGAAGGGAAACTCGCGAATTACTCTCGGTTTCTTTAGAAACCCAATTTGTAACAACCAGTGGTTGTTGCAACGCCTCGATAGCTCAGTTTGGGAGAGCGTTAGACTGAAGTCGCTCAGTAATCTAAAGGTCACCGGTTCGATCCCGGTTCGGGGCAATTTTTTGTTTTGCTTTGGAAAACTTTTCATGACCTTTTCATGACTCTAGAAATTCACAGAACAAATTCGGGGCAGTGGCTTCAAATAGCTTTTGTTCAAGAGTTGTTTTTCTATTTTGTAACTGTCAATCCTGAATAGAGTCTGTTGATCTCGGATAATGCAATTCTAACTTGAAATTCTAAAACGTGGTAAAGAAATGCAAATTTTCTTCTTTAATTACCTTTAACGCATAGATTTCTTCGAAACACACTAAAAAAGTTTTTCTTTTGGAAAGCTATTGGAAAGCTTTCACGGATTTACTAATGAGGCTTAATCGTTGAAGTTTTTGTGCTTGGGATTTCCTTTTTCTCAAATCTGTCAACCTTTTATTCTTTAAATAAGCAAAAAATGTAATAGGTTGATGCATAAGTGTTTTTGTTCCTTTTCGTCTGCCGTTTCAAGCCAACAAATGCACGAATTAAACTACGGTTGATTTCATTAGAAAAACCAATTATTTTTCTGCAAAATAACATTAAAACGGGTTTAAAAATATTTTATGCCTGGATTTTCTTGAGAGTATGAAGTCGGGTAGTCAAAAAGGGCTAACTCGATGATGCGGTTTAGACACCTTAGCTAAAGAAAACCTATCTTCGTGTCAATAGATAAAAGATAGAGAAAAAAAACGTTTGATATTTCGCCAAAATTTCAGAGAAATTCATTCAGCCAATTTTTCCGTAGAGTTTTTTATAGATTTTTACGAAAAAGGCGTTTTTCACTCTCGAATTTGCTTGAAAGTGAACCGAAATTCATTTAAAAAGATGGAAATTGAACAAGAAAACACTTTTTTTATAGAGCAAACTATAGATTAATTGGTGAATTTGTTACTTTTTAACAAAAAAAACAAAAAAAAACACAAAAAAACGAAAAGACTTATGCATCAACCTAATATTTTGTAAATGTCAACCTGAATAGAGTCTGTTGATCTCGGATAATGAATTCTAAAGAGTGCAATTCTAACTTGAGATTCCAAAACGTGGTAAAGAAATGCAAATTTTCTTCTTTAATTACATTTAACGCATAGATTTCTTCGAAACACGTTAAAAAAGTTTTTCGTTTGGAAAGCTATTCAGGATTCTTTCGAGGATTTACTAATGACGCTTAATCGTTGAAGTTTTTGTGCTTGGGATTTCCTTTTTCTCAAATCTGTCAACCTTTTATTCTTTAAACAAGCAAAAATGTATAAACTAATAAAAATATGTGCACATTATGCAAAGTCTAATCGATTTTCGAAGCTCTTTTCATTCTATTGTTCATTCAGCCTCGATCCAGGCTCTTGTGGCTCTTTGTGATGGAATCGAACCGTCTTCTCGTCTTCGATTCGTTCCTGAAATGGCTCAAAAATATTGAAAATTCAGTAATTTATAACTTAAACTTTGAAGTTTACATAAAAACTGGAGATAACAACATTAACTTTTAGATTTTTAATTAGGAATGAGTTGTAAAATTTCGTCGGAAGTTTTTTGATAAGTTCATCGGCAAATCGTTAACTACAGGCATATGCCCAGCTGTTCTTTGTGCTCACTGGCACACTTAGGTCTTTATTTTGCTGAAACAAAATCAAAATAACAAAAAAATACACAAAGCACAAAGACAACATCAGATGACAAAGACAAAAAATGCACAGCACAAAGAACACAAGGAAAAGGCTTGTGACCGTTAACAGAAGAGCCGAATCGTTAAGAACTTAGCATCAAAACCTATTGATTGAATCATTTTAACATCAAGAACATTTTGTTTTTGTTCTTAGATCTCAGATTTTCATTTCTTGGCTCACCTTGTTCGAAGCCGGATCCATCTCGAATTCGTGTTCGGCCCTCTCGAGCGCGTGCTCGCCCGGTTCGCTCTCTTTGCTGGGCAAATCGTTCAATTTCTGAAAAATGTGGTATTATTTTAGGCTTAGACTGCTTAATCAACTAGCTTTTTTCAGCCTAAAAACCGTCATTGTAAAAGGCATTTAGTATTTCCGAAGGGAAAAATCAAGTAGGCATCAGGTTTGGAGCTGTATAACACCGTTAACCGTTGCCTGGTTCAGTTATTGTACTTGAATTTTAGAGCTTGATCTTAATTTAGCTATTCAAACACTACTTTTACATCAAGGTCCAAGGTTTGAGAGTCTTCTTTGATCGACTTTTTGAAAAACCTACCCCAGTAATCGCATTTGTGAGCCCCTCTTCAATCTTCTCCATCAACGGGGTGTCCATGATTTTGGGGACTCGTCGCACAACGGGTTTTAACGCTTTCGTTTTTGCTGAGAATTGAATGAATCAATAAAACAGTTCAACAAACAGGCTTTTTGGCAAATCAATAAAACAGTCTGGATTTAGAAGAATTCTGGCATCACAGGAAAAACGAAGAAATTCAGTTGAAGATTGAACTCAACTTAAAGACAATCACTCCAAATCGATTACTTCAAATAAAGGAGATTGAAAGATGACAGGTTTTCTTCAATTTTCAATTTTCTGTTGTCTGTTTTTCTCACAAAGTACACGACGTTATTTTTAGGGGTAAAATGTGCGGCAGCTAAGAGAAAAGAGAGAGCTGAGAAAGCCGCTTTTGCCTTTTCTCCCCACACTCCCCGCCTTCTCCCAAGTGCCCTTTCTGTGCACTTTTGGGTCAACGGAACCCCTCAAAATAGTCTCTTTGTTGGTTTCACAACAAGTTTTGTCTAGTCAACGTAAAAAACTCAATAACTCACACTTGTGATTGAATTTAGAATTGGCTACGTAGGAAATAGAATAAAAATGCTTGCACCACTGGCGCTTGCATTTTATATCATCATCATCATCATTTTACATTTACATAATCTTTTTGAGCAGTACTGTATGACTAGTTGCTAAAATGATCCAGTTGCGGAAGTTGGCCCGTCCCACAGTGCGGTTTTTATTGAATTGACTCGAACTTTGAAATCCGTTTCTTGAAAACATCGTTCCACAAATGCGGGCAACGAGTTCATCGCGAAAAAAGCATCGACATCAAGTCTAAACAAGGCATTTTTTGTTTTTGAGTTGAACACACACAAAAATAATGCGATGATTTTGCCATGAATAAAAGATCAATCGATGCTAACATCATCAAATCAATGCGGTAAGAATTATTGAAATAAAATTGAGTGTTCAGTTCAAAAACTATGATATTTAAAATATTTAGAGAAGAGTGGAAAGTGATTGCTCATGAAAAAATGATAAAATGAAAAACCCCTCTTTTTACTTGATCATCCCATGCCAATGAAAGAGATCCCGCGAAAAAGAGATAAATTTCTAATCATTCCTACAACCAAAAGAACTTTGTTTATTTGAGAAATGTGGAAGTGAAAATTGAAAAAAGAGTTCATCGAGAACGCGGCTTGCAAAATTTCACATGGTTTTTTGCATCTTTCTACAGTTTGCAGCTTTTTTCGTATTTCTGTGTGTCAGTATTTTTTTGAGCATTTTGAGAAAAATTCATCAACATCACGTATTTTTGAGGGTGATCTGTCCAGGTGATTAGGCGATAAGATTGTTTATTTGGAACATCTATCCAACAGAAATGAAACCGAACCCCAAACGCAAAGTCACGAGAATAACTTCAGTTAGGAGCTTCAAATAGTTTAGCTTCAAACAACTGGGAAGAAATCACAAAAAGAAAAGCTCGAGATCAACAAAATTCTAGTCAAATGCCAAATCATCGATTTGGTAAATAGAACAAAAGTTAAATGAAATGACGAACTCAATGGGGTCTTTATTCTCCTTAAATATCTCAATTTTAAAAAATTTTAAACTTCAAAGAAATGACGTGCCAGAGGATATTTTGGAGCGTGCTGCGGAAAGGACATAACTAAGAAACTCTAAGGCCTTTTCAAAAATTATAATAAAGTTTTATAAACTATAAGACATTAACTACATTTTGGTTAGGGTTTCAAGCATATTAGACAACTCTAACGCATTTTATGAACAAAAGACCGACGACAATATTTAAATCTCTGATTTTAAGCCCTTTGATACTAGAAAAAGGATAATAAAAGACCAAAAATAAGATTTGAATGGTTAGATAAATTAGAATTTGGTAACTACCAAATTCTAATTTATCTAACCATTCAACACAACAAAATTGGTAGTAAAAAACACGACAGAGCCTTAGTTATAAAAAAGTCATGAAACCCAATAAAAGCTTATGGAATAAAACGTCGACCAAAACAATCAGGATTGTGCCAAAAGGCAAGGCAAGGTAGAGCTGAGAAGTGCAGGGAGCTCTTCCAGTCCAAATGAACAAAAGAGGCATCTGATCGATCTTTAGAATGCAAATCCCAAGTTTTTTAATTGGAAATGGTCTAGATACAAATATTCAAAAAGATGGTTGTTTTGGTAAGATTAAAGAAGAAATTCCCCTTATCTTTCCCCTGAATGACCCCCAAAAAGAAGATCTTCTCTAGCTTCCAATCAGCATTCGCATTTCTTTATTCCTCATTGGCAAACAAAGTCATAAACTTACAAACCGGCGACAGCTCTACTACTGTTGCAGACAAAGTTTGCATCATGTTAACCTGCCAACCAACAAACAGTACGTCTAACTCTTGTTTACCGGGTGTTACTACTGTCTCTGATTTGGCCAATGATGAAAATTGCAGCAGCCACTCATTGAGAAACAAAGACCAAAACAAAAACAGTTAGCAATCAGTTCGATCCAGTATCGGCATCTACTATATATAAAGCTGAAGAGAAGTCTGTCCGTGCGTCTGTGCGCAATCATTGGCAAAAAGGTTCTTTCAAAGTCCCAAGTTGATTTCCAAAGTTTTAAACTTGTTCTTTAAAGTTTTAACAATTAGACATAGTTGCTTTTTTCTGTATTAAAGAGACTTTCATTTATGCTTTATTCAAGAAAAAGACAAGAGCAATCATTGAATCTGTTACATATTTGAAAATCGAGAAATCAAATGTTTGACATAGTGGAGCGTCTCACTGTTTGAACTGTTTCTCGACCTTCTCGTACTTCTCCTTCGCGTTCTCCTTCTGAAAATAAGTGAAATGATTGGATTTGAGAAAAGATATGATGAAATTGAGCTAACTTCAGCAATTAGGAAAATTTGAGGAAATTAGGGAGTCAGTCAAACTTCTCAAACTAAAAGCATGGAATTGACCGACCTTTTTTTGCCTTACTTGAATTTTCGGTTTCTTAGATAGCTAAATCTGAAAAAGGTTGATCTAATAGTTAGATCTAGTAGATCTAATTGTAAAACCAATAGTAGTGCTCTAAAAATTTAAGTTTTAAGTTTAACAAAAGTTGAGAATTTCTGGTTAAAGTTCAAGGACAGTCAGGACTAAAGATCACATTCCACCCCAAAGCCCTGCTGTCTTGGACTTGAGCTAATTGTCTCTATTTTCTTTGACTAACTAACTGAATATACAACTATTCTTGGATCTCTAGATTCAATAAATAATTAATTCTTTAGTGTCAAAGATTATTCCCTGTCAAAACCACGAACCGCCTCGCCGGCCTTCTCCTTGGTCTCATCCCAGGCTGATTTAGCGCTGTCACGGGCACGGTCCTCGTGCGACTGACCGGTCATGTCTTTAAACTTGTCCTTCACCTGAAAAGCATTTTAATTACTTCTTTTCACTTGCGTTAGAGTTTTAGGTTAGGCAAAGTGACCGATAAAGTGATGTTCAAGAGTGCTTTGACTACCTAACAACCCGTTTTGGCCGCTATGGACAGTAATTCGACCTCAAAACTACACATTTTTCACTGAAATTTAAGTTTTTAAAATCTAGAAGTTGAAGTTCACTGAAGTTTTTAAACTCTTGAAGTCTAAAATCTTTGTGCGTTCTTGGAAAACCCACAGCTTCGGCGGCGTTTGTGACGGCGTCCTTGGCTTTGTCGTAGATTCCGGACATTTTGATTGTTTGTTGAAGGGAGAATTGGAAGTCTCTGAAAATGGAACTCTTAAAAACTGCAAACCAGATTTTTAAAACATCAGAACAAAAAGTGGTTACGGTCGTTTGAAAGTAAGGTTAGGGGTGAAAGAGATAACGCGAGAATCTCAATGGTCAAAGTAAAAGAACCCCCTAAGAGTCTACTCATGAAAGCTTTAAATGTAGTAAAATAAATTTAAATGTATAAAGTTTTTAAAGTTTCCAAAAAGGCAATCTTTTAGAAAAAAATCTCCGAGAAGGAGTCAATCGGTTGATTGATTGCTTTCCCACTTGCCCAACTGTCCTTAAATACGCAAATTTCTCGCAAAATATGCTCTGAAGTGCACACAAAACAACAAATTTGAATAAACAAGATCCGCTATCTCCAAAAAATTCCCCGAAAAACAGCTGCGGTTTGACGAATGGCATCCGTTTTCTTGCAGAGATCATTGGGATGTTGATGAATTTTTCGCAGCTTTTTCTTTAAGCAGACAAGAGGAAAAGGTCTAGAAGATTTGATCGTCAAATGGTTTTTGGTTTTTTGAAAACGCTGCAGAAGTACACGTACAGTACACCATCTTACAGTACCAAAAAGGCTTCAAGGTACATTCCAACTTAATAATGGTATTCCAGTTATAACGACACCTATTTTCGGTTTCTTGATAGTGGTTTTTATTAAAGTCCCAAAGACAAAGCCGCCGGTTTGCCAGCTTTAGTTTGGCAATTCATGCAATTGACAAAATACAAGGGATTGATTGGCCACCTTGATTTCGTGATCTTTCTTGGTTAGAATATGCTTCTATTATTTGGTCTCCCTGTTCACAAGTTTCCATTAAACGTCGTTAATCGCCGTTAATTTTCCATGAATCGAAATAAGACCTAGACCATCCGATGCAGAATTTTACGCTGATTTTGAATCTGCTGCCCGTTTTTGCTAAATGGTTCGGAATCGCAAGGAATTTGGCAAACAAGTTTTTGGCCTCTCTTTTAACGCTTGCGCGCGCGACGAAAAAAATGGTTGCGTAGTGTAGCGGATAATGTGGCGGAATTCAAAGCTATAGGTCCAGGCTTCGGCTTTCTTTAGTTTTTTTGAACAGTTATTTTATAATGTTTTATTCCATTTGAAAAACCCGTTGACATTTGCTTCAAAGTGGACAATCGAATGTACGAAGCTATGAATTGCAGCTCATACGCGTTTATGTGTTGTGCTTTTGCTCTTTCTATTTAAGTGTTCAACAACAAATAATATAAATATCATAGCAAACAATTTAACAAACATGACAACAATCGATGAAATGAATAAAGCATATTGCATTTAACTCCCCCAAAAAACCACCGCTTTTCCCGCGTTTTCTGAAATGGAGGGCCCAGCAGTGCACTCTGAAATATTATCATAGATATTAGGATATGTTGATCTCGAACAAATAGTGATTTGGATAATTTTGAGCAAATAATTCTTTATCCAAATAAATGGGTTGATAATTGTTGGATAATGACGTTCTAAAATGCACTATCTTTTTGCTTGCGGATATACAGACGAACATCATTATTTTGCAACCACTTTCATTTTCGTTTTAATTTTTCCAGTCGATATGTAATTAATAGTAAGTCATTGTTTTGTTTTTGTTTTACCATAAGCTTTTCGTTTTCTATGTTTTGCATATCTTTTCTTTACATTTAACTACATTAGATGCAACTAACTAAATGCAACTACATTGAGCTATTTTTTTTTGGATTTCCCTTGTATTTTGTCAATTGCCAACTGCCAATTGTCAATTGCATGAATTGCCAAACTAAAACTGGCAAACCGGCGGCTTTGTCTTTGGGACTTTAATAAAAACCACTATCAAGAAACCGCAAAATAGGTGTCCTTATAACTGGAAGATCATTATTAAGTTGGACTGTACCTTGAAGTCTTTTTGATACTGTAAGCTGGTGTACTGTACGTGTACTTCTGCAGCGTTTTCAAAAACCAAAAACCATTTGACGATCAAATCTTCTAGGCCTTTTCCTCTTGTCTGTTTAAAGAAAAAGCTGCGAAAAATTTGGAAAATTTTCGAAAAATTCATCAACATCCCAATGATCTCTGCAAGAAAACGGGTGCCATTCGTCAAACCGCAGCTGTTTTTCGGGGAATTTTTTGGAGATAGCGGATCTTGTTTATTCAAATTTGTTGTTTTGTGTGCACTTCGGAGCATATTTTGCGAGAAATTTGCGTATTTAAGGACAGTTGGGCAAGTGGGAAAGCAGTCAATCAAATGAACGACTCCTGCTTGGAGATTTTTCTTCTAAGGGTTGTCTTTTTTGAAACTTTAAAAGTTTTATGTTTATCTGGCTTCGGGAAGATTTAAGAGTTCCATTTTCAGAGACTTCAAATTCTCCTTTCAACAAACAGTCAAAATGTCCGGAATCTACGACAAAGCCAAGGACGCCGTCTCAAACGCCGCCGAAGCTGTGGGTTTTCCAAGAAAGCACCAAGATTTTAAACTTTAAGAATTTAAAAACTTAAATTTCAGTGAAAAATGTAGTTTTGAGGCCGAATTACTGTCCATAGCAGCTAAAACTGGTTGTTAGGTAATCAAAGCAGTCTTGAATCTCACCTCCGTCTTTGCCTAACCTCTACTTCTACGTCCATAAAACTCTAACACAAGTGTAAAAAGTAATTAAAATGCTTTTCAGGTGAAGGACAAGTTCAAAGACATGACCGGTCAGTCGCACGAGGACCGTGCCCGTGACAGCGCTCAATCAGCCTGGGATGAGACCAAGGAGAAGGCCGGCGAGGCGGTTCGTGGTTTTGGAAAGGGATAATCTTTGATACTAAAGAATAAGTTATCCGTTTAATCTAGAGATTCAAGAATAGTTGTATATACAGTTACTTAGTTAAAGAAAACAAAACCAAATTAGCTTAAGTACAAGACAGCAGGGCTTTGGGGTGGAATGTGATCTTTAGTCCTGACTGTCCTTGAACTTTAACCAGAAAATTCCTACTTTTGTTAAACTTAAAACTTAAATTTTTAGAGCACTACTATTAGGTTTACTATTAAATCAACCTTTTTCAGATTTAGCCATCTAAGAAACCGAAAATTCAGTAAGGCAAGAAAGTCGGTTAACTCCATGCTTTTAGTTTGAGAAGTTTGACTGACTACCTAATTTCATCAAATCTTACGTTTGCGATTAGATCTACTATTAGTAACTATTAGATTAACCTTTCTCAGATTTAGCTATCTAAGAAGCCCAAGATTCAAGAAAGTCAAGAAAGTCGGCCAACTCCATGCTTTTATTAGGTTGATGCATAAGTCTTTTCGTTTTTTTCGTACTTCTGTTAAAAAGTAACAAATTCACCAATTAATCTATAGTTTGCTCTATAAAAAAGTGTTTTTTTGTTCAATTTGCATCTTTTTAAATCAATTTCGGTTCACTTTCAAGCAAATTCGAGAGTGAAAAACGCCTTTTTCGTAAAAATCTATAAAAAACTCTACGGAAAAATTGGCTGAATGAATTTCTCTGAAATTTTGGCGAAATATCAAACGTTTTTTTCTCTATCTTTTATCTATTGACACGAAGATAGGTTTTCTTTAGCTAAGGTGTCTAAACCGCATCATCGAGTTAGCCCTTTTTGACTACCCGACTTCATACTCTCAAGAAAATCCAGGCATAAAATATTTTTAAACCCGTTTTAATGTTATTTTGCAGAAAAATAATTGGTTTTTCTAATGAAATCAACCGTAGTTTAATTGGTGCATTTGTTGGCTTGAAACGGCAGACGAAAAAAATGAAAAAGACTTTTGCATCAACCTAATAGTTTGAGAAGTTTGACTGACTACCTAATTTCCTCACATTTTTGATCAACAAACTTGAAATTCGCTAAAGTTAGCCCAGTTTCATCAAATCTCTTCTCAAATCCAATCATTTCACTTATTTTCAGAAGGAGAACGCCAAGGAGAAGTACGAGAAGGTCGAGAAAGAGTTCAAACAGTGAGAAGCTCCACTATGTCAAACATTTGATTTCTCGATTTTCAAATATGTGACAGATTCTATGATTGCTCTTGTCTTTTTCTTGAATAAAGCATAAATGAAAGTCTCTTTAATACAGAAAAAAGGAACTATGTCTAATTATTAAAACTTTAAAGAACAAGTTTAAAACTTTCGAAATCAACTTGGGACTTTGAAAAAACTTTGACGAAAAACCTTTGGGACAGGGACCTGAAAGAAAAGCCAACGTTAGATTGAAGCTGAAGATTAGACTTAGATAGAGCCAAAAAGCCTTCAAAACTAGGGTCTTTGTTCTAAAAAGTCAACTGGACGGTCCCCAAAACCAACAACAACTTTTCAGCTAAACTTGAGCTATTGAAGAACAGCAGAAAACGTTCACTAACGTTCGCGTTTTCCACCCAATCTAAGCCTCGCTCCTTTTTGCCAATGACTGCGCACAGACGGACGGACAGACATCTCTTCTGTTTTAGATATCGTAGATGCCGATGCTGGATCGAACTGATTGTTAACTGTTTTTTGTTTTGGTCTTTGTTTCTCAATGAGTGGCTGCCGCGATTTTCATCATTGGCCAAATCAGAGACAGTAGTAGAGCTGACGCCCGGTAAGCAAAAGTTAGACGTACTGTTTGTTGGTTGGCAGGTTAACATGATGCAAACTTTGTCTGTAACAGTAGTAGAGCGGTCACCCGTTTGTAAGTTTATAACTTTGTTTGCCAATGAGGAATAAAGAAATGCGAATGCTGATTGGAAGGCAGCTAGAGAAGATCTTCTTTTTGGGGACCATTCAGGAGAAAGATAAAGGGAATTTCTTCTTTAATCTTACCAAAACAACCATCCTTTTGTACATTTATTTGTATCTAGACCATTTCCAATTAAAAAATTTGAGATTTGCATCGATCAAATGCCTCTTTTTTTCATTTGGACTGGAAGAGCTCCCTGTACTTCTCAGCTCTACCTTGCCTTGCCTTGCTTTTTGGCACAATCCTGATTGTTTTGGTCGACGTTTTATTCCATAAGCTTTTATTGGGTTTCATAACTTTTTTATAACTAAGGTTCTGTTGTGTTTTTTACTACCAATTTTGTTGTGTATCTACCAAATTCTAATTTATCTAACCATTCAAATCTTATTTTTGGTCTTTTATTATCCTTTTTCTAATATCAAATGGCTTAAAATCAGCGATTTAAATATTGTCGTCGGTCTTTTGTTCATAAAAAACGTTAGAGTTGTCTAATATGCTTGAAACCCTAACCAAAATGTGGTTAATGTTTTATAGTTTATAAAACTTTATTATAATTTTTGAAAAGGCCTGCTAGTTTTTTAGTTATGTCCTTTCCGCACGCTCCAAAATATCCTCTAGGACGTGATTTCTTTGAAGTTTAAATTTTTTTACAATTGAGATATTTGAGTAGGGACAATAAAGACCCCATTGAGTTTATCATTTCATTTAACTTTTGTTCTATTTACCAAATCGATGATTTGGCATTTGACTAGAATTTTGTTGATCTCGAGCTTTTCTTTTTGTGATTTCTTCCCAGTTGTTTGAAGCTAAACTATTTGAAGCTCCTAACTGAAGTTATTCTCGTGACTTTGCGTTTGGAGTTCGGTTTCATTTCTGTTGGATAGATGTTCCAAATAAACAATCTTATCGGCTAATCACCTGGACTGATCACCCTCAAAAGCACGGCCACACAGAAATACGAAAAAAGCTGCAAACCGTAGAAAGATGCTAAAAACCATGTGAAAATTTGCAAGCCGCGTTCTCGATGAACTCTTTTTTCAATTATCACTTCCAGATTTCTCAAATAGACAAAGTTCTTTTCGTTGTAGAAATGATTAGAAATGTATCTCTTTTTCATTTCATATCTTTCATTGGCATGGGATGATCAAGTAAAAAGAGGGGTTTTTCATTTTATCATTTTTTCATGAGCAATCAATTTCCACTCTTCTCTAAATATTTTAAGTATCATAGTTTTTGAACTGGACACTCAATTTTATTTCAATAATTCTTACCGCATTCATTTGATGATGTTAGCATCGATTGATCTTTTATTCATGGCAAAATCATCGCATTATTTTTGTGTGTGTTCAACTCAAAACAAAAAATTCCTTGTTTAGACTTGACGTCGATGCTTTTGTAGCGATGAGCTCGTTGCCCGCATTTGTGGAACGATGTTTTCGAGAAACGGATTTCAAAGTTCGAGTCAATTCAATAAAAACCGCACTGTGGGACGGGCCAGCTTCCGCAACTGGATCATTTTAGCAACTCGTCATACAGTACTGCTCAAAAAGATTATGTAAATGTAAGATGATGATGATGATGATATAAAATGCAAACGCCAGTGGTGCAAGCATTTTTAAGCTATTTCCTACACAAATTTAAGCTTTTCTCATTGGGAATTTCTCATTTTTCCTCATAATTCGCCTCTGATAAATCCGAATCTGACCTCGAAATTAGACAAAATATGTTTGCTTTGCTACAATAATCAAATATGATATCTTTTCGAGCGGTACTGTAACTCGTTGATCAATTTCTATGATTTTGGTACCAATTTGTAGATCAAGTGCAACGAATTGATATCAAAAAAATCGGAGACATGAGTTATGACGCGTTGCGTGAATTCGCCCGTCCCGCATTTGTTTTTGTTTCGCTTCTCAGCCTCTCTGCCATTTTTAGAACGCCTCACTGTCGCTCTACGATGTGCACTGCCCGGAACTCTTCGCTTTCGCCATCTTTCCATACGTCCTCTTTCTTTTACTCTTCCCCATTCAAGCCTTCATGCTTTATGGAAAGAGAAAAAATGAGAAATATTCGATAAATGTTTGGATGCTAGCGAGAATGGTGAGTGGAAACAGAACGGTGAAGAATGGTGTGGGAATCTACCGTATTGCTTCTAATAAACTTCTAATAAACCATGGCTTTCATTTTTCGATCAAATCTCAGGCTTTTATTAGGAGTGATACGATTTTCTTTCGAGTTATTGCGAAACCTTTAATAAGCACACCGCCTCGTCCAAGTTTAGCTGCCCAGTTCTTACAAGGGAATGGTCCGAAGTGAATGTGACCGTTTGGGCTGAGTCATTCGATAGATCTCATGATGAATATTAATGACCAAAAAAATTAGCTGCTCAAAGTAACTCTACAACTAGAAATGGGGCCGACAAGAAGCAAAAATGACGTTTTTGCCCTTCCTTGACGGGGCTGGAACTTTTTAATGAATCAAAATTTTTGTATAATCTTTTTTGCATGTAATGGAACTTGAATGAAACTAAAAAAATAGTAAAATTTGATTCCCAAAGTATTTATAAAATTTTACATTTCAAAGCTATTGAGTTTAGCCAAGCTGGGCCAGCTATTTTTATAGGAACATCTTAAGTTTCTATAATTAATGATTTCTTAATGATTAAAAGTTTCTTTAATAGTTTATTTTTTAGTTTCATTCAAGTTCTATTACATGCAATAAAAAATTATTTAAAAATTGATTCAGTAAAAAGTTCTGGTCAAGGAGGGTTAAAAACGTCATTTTTGCTTCTTGTCGGCCCCATTTCTTGTTGTAGAGTTACTTTGGGCTAATTTTTTTGGTCATCGATATTTATCATGAGATCTATCGAATGAGGTATCACTCATCCCAAACGGTCACATTTACTTCGGACCATTCTTTTGTTAGTCATATGGTATGCTACAGGGTGCGCCAGAATTACGGCTACACCTTTTTGCATGTCGCAATTGGTTCAAAAACCCTAGGCTTTATATAGAGAATTAAAGCCTACATTTCTGTACCAAAAGATCTTTGATTGGAGTTTTGCAGCCCATTTTTCAGACGCTCAAATGAGCCCAATCCGACCAGTCTCCGGCACGCTTCCATTTTTAGCTTTTTTCTAACTAAAAAGAAATATATGTAGGAAGAATTTTGGTACAGATGATGATGCAAATGTGGGCAAGAATCCAGGCTTTAATTCTCTATATAACACTTAGGATTTTTGGATTGATTGCAGCGTTTGGCATGCAATCTTCTGAAAAGGTCTAGGAAAAGGTGAAAAGGGTAATTTTGGCGCACCCTGTATTAAAAAAGTTTAAAAATCAAATCGAGCGATGGTACTAACTGATTTACAGTAGATTTACCGAAATACTTTTTTAACTATTCTTTTCAATGACTCTTACTTAGATTATTTTCTCTTCGTTGGCCTTTTTGAGTGTTATCGAGATGTTGTTGTGTTATATGAAAGAAATCGAAGTTTTTGAGATTATTTACAACGGAATCGTGGCTACGAGTATGGTTGGTTTCTGTTGATGTTTTTTTTGCAAAGATCGCTTATTTGTTGACTTTGAAATGGCTTGGGGAAACCCGAAGAGTAGTTGCCTTTGCATATAAACATTTACCTCACCGTTTTCTTCAGCTAGTGAGCGTCGTCTCCATCACTTTATCAGCCCAAGCTGGCCGCCGCTACAATGGCCTTCTCATCTCATTTTCGATCGCCTTTCTCCTCTTCGAGGCGTGCTTTTTGATGCAAGCGGTTAGTTTCATTGTAATCGAAGACAATACATTTCAACTAGACTTGGCTATGATACTCGTTAATGGCCATAACGAAATAAAACTGGATACTTTTGAGAATCTTTCAAAAAATCCAGCTAATTATTTGCTCGTTTTATTATCATTATTTTGTTATTACTCGTTAACCAAGTGAGATTTCAACCACGTGTTCAGTACCTCAAACATCCATTGATGGTCCCACCAATGGCCAATGTTCAACGTGTCCTGTTGCTCGTCGCTTTAAATGGCCTTTTTTTCGTACGCGATCGAGCTGTTCCGATAAGCGGCGTTCGTTTCGAAAGGGATTCACCAAATTTCATCATTTTTAAGGAGAACACTAAAAAAACTTTAGCGAAGAAGTCCGATCAATTTGGCCGGCTTCCACTCGATTCTTTTCATCTCATGGTTCACAAAGCAGGTCTCATTGGGAAAGAAGAAGGTACAAGAAAATAAAGATAATCTGCTAAAAAGTAAAAACCTAATCAAATAAGTGATTCTAGTTTCTTGAAATGCGAGATCTCTTCGCTTTGCCAACGCAAGCCACCTCAGCGTTTCTTCATCCAAAATGGAGAGATGCATGGGAAATCGAGAGAAGTCGGCTGCCATGTTGTCTCTAATACCGTTGACTTTCAGCAAACGCAAAATCTCCATCAATCGTTCGTGCTATTCTCCGTTGTCATGGCCCCAAGATTTGCTTTATTTCAACTATTCAGGTGGTCAGTGATGTGACGAGCAAGTTGATGAATCCATTATTGATCAAGTGAGGACAGAGAGCTTGAAAAAGAGAGATATGAATGTTTTTGAAAGTATATTGAAAAAATGAACGAGAAAAAAGATACACGCAAAAAAAAGCATAAAGCAATACTTTTGCACCGTAAGTCAAACTTTTGTCTAAAAAGTTCCAATGGTATACTATCCAATGCCGTCATAGCCAATTGGCTAGGAGTCTTGTCCCCCAGTCGGAAGGTCAAGATTTCAATCATGGCAAAAATTGTTAGATTCAGTAACTCCTTGGATCTAGATGGCTAATCGCATCGGTTCACTCATCCGCCACTCCCCTCTCCTTTATGGTCCTTTGTGCAATTGGGATCTTTTTGGGGGCCGAGATGAAATCACTTCTCAGCGGTTATTACACCTATGGAATGTATCAAATCTCTACGTATGTGCAGACAATTTTGTCGGGCGCTGTTTTAGAAAAGGTGAGAGCAATGGAGAAAGAAAGAGAAAGTGCCAAACAAAAAAGGATTCAGAGTCTGAAACTGAGCAACGAGGTTCGTGGACGGTACGATGTCGGCTATTTGGTCAATTTGATTGCCGTCGATGTGGAGAGAATCTGTAGCTTCATCCCGTTCTCCACGGAGTTGTTCACCACTCCAATACAAGTTGGTGATTCTTTGAAGTTCGACAATAACATTATATGACGCGGCAGATATAGTATTGCGCTCTTTTGTATGTTTTTCAAAAGTATGATTTTCTCAAAAACCAAAAGAGTTGGCAGTTTTTTCGTTTAGATATTTAAGTGTAAAAAGTTTATGAGCTTGTGTAAAAATTTAAAGCTTCATTCGTTTCATATAAGATTTTAAACGCGATTTCCATAAAACCCAACTGTGAATGTCTTCAACGAAATCTTTCTAGCTGCTATTCTCGATGCTGATGCTTACGTGGCTCCTGGGCATCTATGCTCTTTCCGGCTTTCTCGTCATCGTCTTTGTGATTATCTTCAATATTCTCTCGGCTAGTTTCATCAGAAACTACCAAGCAAAGCAGATGAAACTGAAAGATGAACGAGCCAAAATGTGCAATGAGGTCAGAATTTGCAAGCTACAATGAAAAAGCGATAGGAATGCTTTAAAACAGTGTATCCACCATTAGAACGTTTGGATACTATCATCTTTACCTTTTGTGCCATATTATTTTTACACATTTAGGTTCTCAACGGGATCAAACTCATCAAAATGTACGCTTGGGAGGAAGCGTTTGAGGCAAAAGTGCAACAACTCCGCGAAAAAGAGGTCTCGTGTATCCAGGGCTTAAAATACATGGTGGCTAATAAGTATTGTCGCGTGCTTGAACACCTGTTCCTCCTCGAGGTTAGTTCCAAATCTCATGAGTAACATACCAAAATGTTGCTAAGAGTCTAGCGAATCTAGATACCATAAATGCTGTATTAGAACGACATGTCGTTCTATTTTTAAATACCCCCACCGGGTTTTGTTCTATTAGAAGGTGTCATTCTATTTTTCACTCGAATGGCCAATGCGGATCACAAAAAAATAGTATCCATTTCAAAAAAGCGTATTTCATTTAATAAGCATTTTATTAAAAACCTCAATTTTAACAAGTCAAAACGTTATAATTTAGCCCATAAAATCTAGCGGAATAGCAAAGTCGAAAAGATTCAAGTCACCACTTTCTTCGCCTACATCTTCAGCTGGCGCATCAGCACGTGTATCCAATCCTGGTCACAATTCGGCGATTTCTTTATCCAAACGAACATCCTTCAATTTGGTATTTCTTAAAAACAGAAACAAATAAATTGCAACAAAACTACCTAAGCAACATGTTGGAATTGCTCCTTCTGACTTAAAGCATTGGATGAGGTGATCTTCGGATCCACGCGTTTCCTTAGAAGAAGGACACATGGTTCGAGCTTTTTACCATCCGACCTGGCACTCAACATTACCAAATGCGCACCTCGTCATTCCCCGTAGTCAATACTCCGACCTCCTCTTTGCGTGTTTCCTTCACGTTATCCTCATTTTCATCTATTGCCTCATTTGAGTCCTTCTCGGCTGTTTCTCGTAGATCCTCAAGTTGTTCATCATCCCTGTTTTTGAAGAATTCTTCTCGTTCATCGTTTTTCCGTTGAGCTCGAAATTCTTCAAATCTATCGAGAGAGATCTCGTCGATTGGTCTCGTTCCTAAAAAGAATAAATATTGAAATATAATCGCAATAAAAAGTGAGAGAGATAAATGTAATAAATTTTTGGCGCGAAAATGAAAAGAATGAGCTTTCGAAAATGAATTTTAAACGTTGCCTAGCTGCCAAGTTTGAGTACAAGTTTAGAATGTAAATGGCCTGTCGTTCTATTTTTCAATACCCCCTCCGGGTGTCGTTCTTTTATAGGGTGTCGTTCTTTTATAGGGTGTCGTTCTAATACAGCATTTATGGTATATGCATGGATTTTTGGGACAATGACTATGAAAAATTTCATTACGGTTCGTGTGCATTTCAAAAAAGGCACTTTTTCCGCTGCTCGTTCTGTTAAAATTTAGTGCGAAATATTTTTGTGAAGGATGCTCAGAAGAACTCACAAAAGCAAAAATACTTAAAATTTTGGTCCCATTTTTTTAAAGTTAAAAACCGGGCGTGTAAGATCAGATTTGATTGACACCAGTTTTTTGCTTTTTTAAGAGAGAAAAATGAGAGCCACAAAGAACATTACAGTTTTTTTAAATCGTTACTTTGAGCCAAATTCCAAATTATTTCAGCAAGAAAACATTTTAAAGCAAAATTTAAAAAGTTAGCTGAATGAAATTAATTCGATTTGTATGAGAAGCTTAGAATTGACCTCAGGCAAAGTGGAATGCTCCCGAATCGCAATAAAATCTTTCATAGTCATTGTCCCAAAAAGCCTCTAGACTAGATCCCCTAGACTCTTAGCAACCTTTTGTTATGTTACTCATGAGATTTGGCTAACCTCGAGAAGGAACAGGCGTTCAAGCACGCTACAATACTTATTAGCCACCCTGTAGGCTATATCGGAGTACAAAAGTTAATGATTGTTCAAGCGGTGGAACACGCAAAAACGATAACACCTACGTGTTTCAGGTGAAAATGATCAAAAGCATTAATTTGATTGCCCGTTCCGTCGATATCATCAATCAAGCCTCCACTTTTTTGGTGAACATTTGCTAAAAATGAACATGAATATAGAACTTTTTTTCTTGAACAATGTTGTATTCGTTTTTTTCTGCAGATAGCTTTTGTGGTTTTCGGTCTTGTCGTGCTCGTCGCCAATGAGGAGCTTTTGACACCAGAGGTTGGATTTTGTTTTTTTGATTTAAAAAACCCTACGATTTAAATGAATTAATAGGCATTGCAAAGACTAAAATCATTTCTAAATCCACCAAATTTTCGGTGGTTTTTGTGGGCTTGACGTTGTTTGCACAACTTCGTCTACCTATGCGACTTCTCGCGCTCACTCTACTCCAACTTGGACAGGTTTGTGAAACATGAAATAATGATGATTTTCTTCCTCAGAGATCACAGATAAATTATAAATCTTTTTAACAAAATTGTGGCATGAAAAGACTTATGAAAAGGCTTCAGACGAAGGTCTCCGTGGAGCGCATCAAGTGCTTCTTATTGGACAAGGAGATGGAGAATCAAAACACGGAATCGAGCATCGAATCAGATAATGCAATACAAATTGAAAACGTGTGAAAAATGTATGTGTGTAGAAAAAAGATGAGCTCAGGGCTGCTTTAAATGGTCGGAAGACGATGAGAGCGCTTGTCTATCGGTGGTGAATTTGAGTGTGAAAAGGGGCGAGCTCGTGGCTGTCGTCGGAGCGGTCGCCTCGGGGAAAAGCAGCTTGCTTGCGGCGATTTTGGGTAACTTTTCGTCACTGAAATAGTATTTTATATAATTCTTGTGTTTACCAAAAATTCACCTGAAACATAATAATGATTGCTAGACAAAGCAACACTCTTTGAAGCTTGTGACTATTTTGGCGGCCACTATGGGAGTACTCGACCCCAAATGAAATTTCGGCGACTTTTTGAGGCAATATCTCAAGATAGGCAAGATCTCAAGAAGGCAATATCTTCAGTATGTGCATTCCTGTAGAGATCGAACCATCCAGTTTGAAAGAGTGTATCAAGTGATCTTCATTTCCATTCGAAGCGATTCCGATTTCACATGTTTTGAAAGATTTTAGGATGGTTTCCTCGCTGACTGTTTTCCAAGCATTCACAATCCAGCTCAAGTAGGAGCTTTGGATTGCCACCACACGAGACCGATCAAATTTTGAAGAAGTTTACAGCCGAGTGAAAAAATTCGTTCCCAAGCCATATAAAAACCATTGAGTTTCGTCAAGCTGTCGATCGAAAACTTCTACCAAACCATTGTGCTTTCAATCAAGTCTGCATCCTGAACATTCGGCTATCTACCTAATTTTTTCCACTCAAATCGTCATCTTGGGATATCCACTCAAGCTCCCGGCGGTCGCGGAACTCCTCCAATCCGTCGCCAAGATTGTCCATGTCGGCCTAAAAACAGTTAGAATGCGTCTCGGAATTTGTAACGCCTTGAAAAGTTCAATGTTCTAGCCGACTACCCCCATAAAAAACCTTAGAAAAAACCTTAGACAAAACATTTTCATAAGATTCGAACTTTATTTTGTAGGAAAATAGTAGGCCTTTCCAATGGAGCCAATTATAGGTCAATTGGCCAATTTGTCATTTATAAACGCTAGTAGAAAAAAGTGTCTAAAGTCTTGTGGGCCAACCTAATAAATCCAATTTGAGTAATTTGCATTTAAATTTAAAAAATTAAACAGTTGAAGCCAGAAAAATAAACGCAAGTATTTACTCGTCTACTTTAGATGAGACCTCCCAATATTTACTTTAGATGAGATGATTCTATCGACGGGCCAAGTGGCAAAGAACGGCTCTCTTTCCTTCTGCCCCCAGCAACCATGGGTGATCAACGCGACAATTCGAGAGAATATTCTGCTCGGAAAAGTGATTATTCAACTTTCTCATTGAATTAAATGTATTGATCCAAAACGTATTCTTGTTGCAGCCGTTCGAGGCGGAACGTTTCAAACGTATCATCAATGCCACTCAGTTGAGCACGGACTTGCAGGGCTTCGAGCACCGAGATCTCACCGAGCTTGGGGAAAACGTGAGGAAATTTTTTTAGAAAAGAAATCCATCGTCAACAAATGTATAGTGTTCACCTTTCATTCTCATTCTTTGCAGGGTGTCACACTGTCCGGCGGTCAAAAGGCGCGCATCGGCTTGGCGAGAGCTCTCTATCAGGTAGTAGGAGCACAAAAACATTCTCTTTTATCTCAAGTCTCATTTATTTCAAGTAAATAGGAAGACTAAGCTTGTAGGACTGTGAAATCATTCTTCTCGACGACGTGCTCGCAGCAGTCGACGTTCATGTGGGCACCACGATTTTCCAAAAAGTCATCGGATCGACTGGGCTGCTGGGGGAAAGACGAGAATTCTTGTCACTCACGGTGGGCTATTGATAATAAATGATAATAAATATTACATTTTAATAAAATAAATAACAAAAAAGCTCTTTTAAAAAGTTTTTTTATAAAGAAAATCGTCAAAAATGGCAGCCTGCCGGAGGGATGCCGCGTTGAGCTCATTCGAGAGGTTGTTAAATGCGTTGTATGCATCCAATTCGAAAGCTTTTAGTAGATAAATTTAGCCTAGAATTAGGACTTCAAACCTCTATATAACAATTACCACTTTTGAAGTAAGTTAGACATTTGCTAGCCGCTTTTACAAAAAGTTTTGCGGGAACTTTTTGATCACGCTGTGTATTACTGCTGGAAAATGTTGTACTTTTTAGGACTTCACTATGCAAAGTTTTGCGATCGTGTGATTGTGATGGATGGGCGAGGGATACATCGAATCGGCACCTATCAGGAGTTGACGGTTTGTAATACAAAAACTGAAAAAAGTAACACTTAGTTGTCTCGATTTTCAAATTTTCAGTCAGATCCCCTCTTCCAAAGGCTTCTCGCTGAGAACAAGAAAGAGGAAGAAGAAGAAGAAGAAAGTATTGCGGATAAATGGGAAAACGGTGGGCAAATCTTAGAGTGCCTTTAAAGGGGTATTCCGGCCCCAAAAGTGATTTCCTAGAACCACGACTATTTGTATACCAATCGACGCGTTTCAGTCTCCTCTACAAGGATTGCATAAAGAAAAACCTTGAAAACACTAAAAATCCCGGAAAAACTATGAAAAACTGTCAAAAAATGCGTTTGGAAGTCTAAAATGCAATGTGACGGAACCTTTATATACCAGAATTAATTCTACCATAGTTTTTGTCTAGACTACGATAACAATTTCTCGCCCGAGAACAATCATCAAAAGACCGTTAAAGAGATTCAGCTAAGCAACTGAAATTTAATTAGCGGTTTTGTTTTGGGGTATTTAACGAGTTTTTTCTTTCTTTTCTCACTTTTGTCACCTTTTATTAAGTTTTTCGCCTTTTTCTACCCCTTCTTTACATCTTTTTTTTCTTTTAACACTCTCTAGCACACGTAATAATGAGTTCCGAAGAAAAAGTTTCCAGTTGACGGTTTATTAGTTGTGCTTGAAAGGTATTTAAGAAAATCGTTTTTTGGTTTCAATGTTCTATATCTACAGATCAACAAGTTGTTTAAAAAGTATTAAGAAAATTACACTTTCTAGTCAATTCGAATCAAAATTTCCGCAATTTTCAATGATTTCTAAAAGGCAGAACCATGGGAAGGTATTAATCAAAAACTTGGTTTTTTCCTTAGCTTTCGTTAATGAAAGGGTGATAATTCTACATATCCGTAAGGACTTTGGCCTCAGCGAATCGCTTCTTGAAAAATCTAATGAAAAACAAAAAAACCAAAAGCCAAATGAAAACGTGCGGGGTTGGCCCCTTTGGCATGAACACTAACCACTCGGCCAAATCGGTAATGGGCGCGGGTCGCTGAGAACGCCTTATAATGGTTTGAAGCAAAAATCGGATTTCGCTGGTCGCTGAGAACCGGAATACCCCTTTAAGAAAAACTACAGGGTGCATCATATATTACCCGGAATCATTTTTTGCAAGACCAGGTAGATGCGGTAATGCAATGGATCTACATAAGGTAAATACTGCAATAGATCCCCATGGGGTACTATTTTCCCCCCCCTCCTCTAGGGTGGGGTACATTAGAGGGTGGGGCACTATTAGAGGGTGGGTTCTATTTTACAACTATTGAGTTACCAAATCAGGAAAAACCAAAAAAATTTTTAAAAAACAAATTTTTTTTTTAATTTTATTGTTAAAATTTAAAAAAAAAAAAAAAAAACAAAAAAAGAGAAATAAAAATAGTAATTATAACTAAAAGAATTATTATTTTTATAATAATAATTCCTTAATTTTATAAAATTTTTTTGTGAGGGGTAGGGGGTTCTTAATTTTTTTTTTTTTTTTTTTTTTTTTTTTTTCTTCTTTTAATAAAAAAAAAAAAAAAAAATTTAAAAAAGATATTAAAGGGTCAAATTTTAATTCTAATCTTTTTATTTTTTGCGAAAATGGAAAATATATGAAAATTTTCCGCTTTAAAAGAGTTGTTTGTAGTTACGCGTTAGGTGGGGGTGGGGTACTGTTAGAGGGGGGGGGCACTATTAGAGGGTTGGGGTATTATTTTTCCCTCCCCCCTCTGGGTGGGGTACTATTAGAGGGGGTGGGTGGGGTCCATTTAAGGTATTTACTGGTAATTTCTTCTGAAATAAATCTTTGACATGGTCTTTGGCAGCGGTGCCCATTATCTAAGCGATTGATGCTCTCAACTTTTTTATAGGAGCTACCAAAGTTGGAGTCTCACCGGTCGGCTCGCAACTCGTTTCTGGGGTTCTGGGTCATCAAATATACCAAAATTTTTTTAAATTTTTTTTTTTTTAAAAAAAATTTTTAAAAAATTTTTAATTTTTTTTTTTTTTTTTTTTTTTTTTTTTTTTTTTTTTTAAAAAAAAAAAAAAAAAAAAAATTAAATTTTTTTTTTTTTTAAAAAAATTTTTTTTTTAAAACTTTTTTTTAAAAATTTTTTTTTTTTTTTTTTTTTTTTTTTTTTTTTTTTTTTTTTAATTTAAAATAATATTTTTAAAATAAAATTTAAAATTTTTATTTTTTTTAAAAAATTTTTTTTTTTTTATTTTTTTAAAAATTAAAAATTTTTTTTAAATTTTTTTTTTTTTTTTTTTTTTTTTTTTTAAAAAAAAAAAAATTAAAAAAATTTTTAAAAAATTTTTTTTTTTTAAAAAATATTTTAAAATAAAAAAAAATATAAAAAATTTTTTATTTTTTAAAATTTTTTTAAATTTTTTATTTTATAATTATTTTTTTTTTTTTTTTTTTTAAAATTTTTTTTAAAAAAAAAATAAAATTAAAAAATTTTTTAAAATTTTATAAAAAATTTTTTTTTTTTTTTTTTTTTTTTTTTTTTTTTTTTTTTTTTTTTTTTTTTTTTTTTTTTTTTTTTTTTTTTTTTTTTTTTTTTTTTTTTTTTTTTTTTTTATATAATAAAAAAAAAAACAAAAAAAAAAAAAAATTATTAATCCTTGATACCTTATTTTGTAAAAGAAAACCAATTTGAAGCAATTTTGGCATATTTGATGACCAAGAACCCCAGAAACGAGTTGCGAGCCGACCGATGTGAGACTCCGAACTTTGGTAGCTCCTATAAAAAAGTTGAGAGCCTCAATCGCTTAGATAATGGGCACCGCTGCAGGAAACCATGTCCAAAATTTAATCCAGAAGAAATTATGGAGATCGGTTACATTAATGCATCTATAGTCTCGCAAAAGTGATTCCGGGTAATTATGACGCTGTATTGTAAAAGATCTACAGCCGAGCCGTCGGTTGGAGACGGCGACGCTTTCGAGTGTGGAGACGAGGAGAAGACAAGGCAGGCGATCATGCAGAAGGAAAAACTCGAAACCGGAAGGGTACTCATCGTGATTTTAGCCGTTTTAATTGCACTTGAAATGTTTCAAACGTTTAACTTTAAGGTAAAAACTTCAACGTATATGGTCTATTTCTCCAATTTGCCCCTTTTCCTTTCGATTCTCATCGGTTTGGCACAAATTCTTGGAATAGGAATGGGTGAGAGTTGAGGGATTTTCAAGCAATCAAACACTCAAACGAATAATTTTGAAAAGTTGTCTTTTTGTGCTTTTGGGCTTAGGGCTTAGGGCGCCAAAAAATGTCTGATCGCCAGATTTTTATCCATAACTTTTGCCTGGGATGGGCAGATCAAATTAAATTTGGTGCCATTCGATTCAAAATTCAATTTTACACAAGATAGGAGAAGCTTTTTGAGAAAGTTCGACAAATTTTTCACAGGCATCTGGAAGAATTTGTGGCTAGCGAAATGGACGAGCGAGACGTCGCCGGGGAACATGACGGCGGAGAAAAGTGAAACGATCGAGCGTTTCCTTGTTTTCACCGGGCTGGGATTGGCCGAATGTAAGCGAAAATTTTGGATTTCTTGCGCAAATTGAGACAATTGTTAATTTTCGGAGGAAAACGTTTGGAATGTAGCATCTGGCTCTAGAAGCGAATGTAAACATTTGTTACGTGAACAAACCATAAGACCAAAGCTCACCTTGAGTTCGTGCCTTTCCCTAATAAGTTGCCAACGTGATCGACATGAATTCCAGGTTTTTTCTTACTCCTCTCGACTTTAACTCTGATGATTGGCTGTGAGAGGGCGTCTCTTCGTCTCCACTCTCCTTTACTACACTCGATTCTGCGCTCACCGATCGAGTTCTTCGACACGACCCCGATCGGGCGAATACTCAATCGATTGTCAAGGGTTGGCAGAAGAAAAAACTTTCATGCCCTTCCCTATTGTTTTAAAAAACGTGATCAAAACGAGCATCGTCTCAATTTAGGACTTTGAAGTGATTGACTCGCAACTCCCTCGAACACTCTCCGATCTGTCGGTCAACGTGGCACAGGTAAAATTAAAACAAGTTCTGCAAAATCTTTGGCTCTATTCCGACAACGAAGTCCTCTCAAAATAATTCTTTTTGAGAGCCGCTTTTATCCATCGAAAAAACTTTTTCTCAGAAACTTTTTACACCAAAACGTTGCTGGAATTCTTGGTGGCCACTTGGAAAGCTTGATAAATTCGAGCAAATTGTTCACCGAGCTTGGGGAAAACGTGAGGAAATTTTTTTGAAAAGAAGCACACCAATCCTGAACTTTGCGAGCTTTGTGCGCAGGTGCCGTCTTGCTGAAACGCCCAATGACGTGCCCCAAAGTGAGAATTTGCCCACGAAAGTAAATCATTTTTGAGAACATTCAAATACACGTCACTGATTGATCTTAACTTCAGCACCCACGAAAACAAGTGACATTTCTCCATCTGATGTCGCAGCTGCAAAAACCATCACCGATTGTGGATGAGAAAGTCGCCGAATTCGAGAATTCGGCTTAATCTATCGCGATTATTCTGCTTGTTAAGGTACTCTTCAACAGTAAATATCTTTTCATCACTGAACAGGATGCCGGTTGTTTCCGAAACGTCTCAGTAGGACCATTGAGCTTGCTAATCGTTTAACTTGTGTAGCCATCGACAACAATTGGACTTCGTTCTGCTTGTAGGCGTTAGAATTTAAGGTCGTCAACAATGATTCTTCGAAGAGAAGATCGAGAGAAACCAATCCCTTTCGCCATTTTGCACACGGAACGACGACCGTTTTTGTGGATCCTGTCCCGAACTTTTGTGATTGGGTCCTTAGTTCTGGCTGTGCGCCTACGACCTCTTCCAATTCGATCCTCATTTGTTCCCCAGACTTTCAACCTTTGACATTCGATAAACAACGGTCTTGTTGATCTTCAGTTGCTTGGCGATGTCGGTCGCCGCCACTTTTGTGGAAGACTATGATCGAATCGCGATGAATAGTTTTCTTGATCATTCCTAAAATTAGCAAAGTTTTTGAGTAATAATATAAAATACAATCAAATAACGAGAAAATACAGGAAAAAAGTGGACAAAGCTTTAAGAATGTGAATCAACGGCACTTTAATTGAAGCTCGAGTTGCTATAATTTTGGGCCACCCTGTAGTTGAAATTTCTGAGAAAAAGTTATTTTTGATGGATAAAAACGGTTCTTCACAAGGGTCAATTTGGAATAGAGCCAGATCTTCTCAAAGCAACATTCCAGTTTCTATTGAGCGGGATTATGGTTTGCATCGCGATCCCGGCATTTCTGATTGTCATCGTTCCCTTTCTGCTCATAAACTATTTTATTTTGGTAAAAGACTTTGGAGAGATTTGTTCTTAAAAGTGAAAGAAGTTGAAAAAGTTGAAAAGAAGTTAAACACTGTATAGTGTTTCTACATCTCGACGGCTCGCCAACTGAGACGCCTCGAAGGAGTGCATCGGTCGCCGATTCTCGCCAAGTTTCGCGAGTCGATTCAGGGATCCGCGAGCATTCGCGCCTACAAAATGGTCAGCTTTTGTACCTTTTCTGCAAACAAATCACAAATCGAAAGCGTTTCTGATAATAATTTTTCTCAGTGTTATTCAAGTTCCAGAATAGACTTACTTTTTGGATTTTTACAATCTGTAATTGATGAAACCTAGTGCTTTCATGTTTTCTGTAAATATTTCACAGAGAATTTCACTCTAAATTTTTAAACAGATCTCTCGACAAGTCGACTCGTTTTCTCGCGACGTGGACGCATTTGCACGCTGTCGTTTCCTCGCTTACACCTCGAATAGATGGCTCGGATTACGGTAGAACATTTTTTGAGAGCTTTTTCGGTACTAGATCAATATTCCTCTTGTTGGCTAATTTTTCCCCTGTCATAAATCTGTTATACATCCACTAACAAGAATATATGCAAATTTGTAGATGTATAGCCCATAAGTACCGCTTTTTTTGTATTTCTTACTATTATTAGGTTATCCAGAATGAAAATACCCTTTTAATGAAAAACAAATTTATCACCACAAAAAGAAAATGCACTTTAATCCAAAAGATATTCTCCATTGTTGGCAATAGTATTTCTCCATTTTTCTTTCAAGTCTCGGATCCCTTTGCTGAAGAAATCCTGAGGCTGCGAGTTGAAGTATTGGGCTACCCAAATTCGGACTTCGTCGTGATCCTTGAAGTGTTTCTCGGTCAGGAAGTGCTGCATAGATCGAAATAAGTGGTAGTCTAAGGGTGCCAGATGTGGACTATACGGCGGATGCGGGAGACATTCCTCAAAGTCCCAAACCCAAACCTCAAAGTGTATAAGACCACGGGAATTCCACCAAACAGATAAAATGGCCTTTCTTCTATCTGGATCACGTTGTGACCTCGTTTTTGGCTCTTCTCCTAGACTTAACCACTGCTGTTTTCGGGATGGGTTATCCTAGTAAATCCATTTTTCATCGGCCGTCACAATAGTGTCCCAAAAACCTCGATTTTTTGATTGACGAAGAAGAATGCCGGCCATAGTCACTCGAGTAGCTTTATTAGCGTCACTAAGTTGATGGGGTACCCATTTTCCGACGAGATTCGCTTTACCCAAACGATGTAAATGGTCCCCAATGGTTGTTTGGCCTACGGCAAACATCGTTGCAAGTTCCCGAGTCGACAAGGTTGGACCATCTTCTATGGCTTCTCGAAGATCGTCATCGTTGAGCGCTGGAGGGGGGTGACCACGTCCTTGATCCTGTAGAGTTTCGTATCCTTCTCTAAATCGTTGAAACCAATTTTTATAAGCTTCCTCTAAATAAGCAGCTTCTCCAAAAATTTTCAAGATTGAGCTATGGCTCTACCGGACACTTTTTCCTTGTTTGAAGTCGTAGAGCAAGCACACCCGAATTCGGTACTTCTGATCTTCCATTCTAAAAAAAGTCAAAATTATAAGTCAGTAAATTTTTATAAAAACATAGAATTAGAAAAGATATATAACTTTATAACAAAACAAAAATCAGACGCGAAACTGTTCGCTACACCGGAAAAATTGCAATCGAAGTTGAGGGTATTTTCATTCCGGGCACCCTAATAGGTTGACAAAAAAGTCTTTGGAACGATTTGAACAGAAATTTCTTAAAAACGAATCTACCAATTCCAGAACACTTTTATCTATTATTTGTAATTCGACTTCAAGAAATTACTCGTAAAAAAAGGAGTGCAGATTTGCCTTAAAATTTTAGAGATTTTTGAAAAAGTATTAGTAGTATGAGTAATTCAGCTCACTTTTACACCATAAAAACGATTCCCTATGAGATAAAAAATGATTTAGTAAAAATTTTTTGCGACTACGCGATTATACGGGGGGCTAGTATTTTTCTGCAATTTTCCAAGTATTGAGCTTCTTTGCAACATGACCGTCTTCCTGGCGGCTCTCTTCGGCATCGTTGCCTCGAGGCTCGACTCGATCTCTCCGTCAATACTCGGGTTGTGCATCTCGTCGGCAGTGCTCGTTTGTTTTTTTGAACATCTCTTCGGCAATGCTAATACTCTACTAAGCTCAATTTTATTGTTTATTTCCAGATTTCCCAGACAAATTATTGTGTTGATGCATAATTATCCGGACTTCTTTTATAAATGATTTTATTTAACAAAAATAACATAAATAGAGAAAAATATGTTAATTGATATTCTGGAGCATATCACCGCCTACATCAATAACTGATTGCCATTTGCTTGGAAGACGATCGATTCCACGAGCGAAGAATAAACGACTTTGAGGCAACCACGCTTAACACGTCTATCAAGTCATCAAATCGGTAGATCTTATTTGTTTGCCAATTTTTGAGCGATCGATTGACGTGGTAGTCCGTTGGGGCTTCTCCAGTTCTTTGAGATCGCGAAACGACTCTGCGGCAGACCATCCCTTTTCGAAGTGGTAGAGCATGATATGGCGAAGATGGATATGATTGTCGACACGCATTTTGTTCACTAAAGAAACGAATATTTAAAAAAGACAAAAGCTCAAAAAAGATACACACGCAAAGACCGGATAATTATGCATCAACCCAATAATTTCCAGATTTACATTTGTTGTTTTCCGCTAGACAAATCTGTTAACGGTACGTTTTGCATTGTTCCATTTTCAGATCTCCGAAGTTCTCTACTATGGACTGAGAATGGTGAGCGAGTTGGAGACACAAGCAATTTCTGTTGAGCGAATCGAAGAGTATTTGAACTTGGCTTCGGAAGTAAGTTGAAATCAGTGATGTTTGAGAAAAAGGCTGGCTTCGTGTTGATTTTAGAGTTAGAGAAGAAATCTAATCAATTTTCTTGCAAGTAAAATTTGAATGTGAAAATTTGAGTGCAACGTGTAAGTGTTTAGAAAGAATGGCGATCCCCAAATAAGCCACCCGAAAATTGGCCAACAAGCGGGCAAGTCACTTGGACGGATTACTCGCTGAGATACAGGTTTGGTGCAAGAGATGAGATGTTGAGCAAGAAAAACACACTGTAATGCTAAAAAGCTTTTCTGTGCATTTAGAAAAGCCCTACCACTTGTTCTTAAAGAAATCACAGCAGAGAGTCGAGAAATGGAAAAAGTCGCCGTTGTGGGAAGGACTGGATCGGGTAGGAGATAATCTTTTTGCAGATCTTCTTAAAAAGGCCACTCTCAGGTAAAAGCTCTCTCGCCGTGGGCTTTTATCGTTTGGTGGAAGCGGCAAATGGTACGTTGACAATAGATGGAGTGAATGTCGCCGATATTGGGCTGCACGATCTGAGAGAAAAGTTAACGATCATTCCTCAGGTGAGTGACAAAAAATCGTTAAGTAAAGGGCCTCGTAAAGTATCATTAAGTTTTTAGAGTACTATTTGAAAGAATGTTGAGTACTAAATGTATCTGAAAAAGATTACGGCGCTAGAAACAGATCTGCCTGGTCGAGCATGAGGCACTTTCGCTTTCAGGAACCGGTACTCTTCTCGGGAACACTTCGTTTCAATCTCGATCCATTCGATGCTTTTGGTGACGAGAATTTATGGAATGTACTCGAGGAATGCCAATTGAAGACCCGTTTCGCGAACACTCAAAACGGATTGAATTACGAGATTTTGGAGGGAGGATCGAATATTAGCATGGGACAGCGACAGTTGATCTGTTTGGGAAGGGCTCTACTGCGAAAGACGAAAATACTGATACTTGATGAGGTCGGAGAAAAAATGATTGTAGGGAGAAAGTTTTTCGAAGAGAAATTCTTTTTAGATATTAGGGCCTACATCGAAAGCTGATATTGAAAAAAAACTTGATAGAATAGAGGGTGTTCAATATTTACGGGCACTCGTTTGTTTGAGGAGTGCTCGGCGTGCAATTGACCAATATTCACAAATCACAAACCTTTTTTGGTTAGATTTTTGATATAATTTCCTGCGCCCAATTTCAATATTTTGAACAGAAACTCAAAAGTTGCATTTCTCTAGAGCTTAAAACATATGGTTCCAATACGGAGCCGTATTGGAACCGTATTGGAACCGTATTGGAACCGTATTGGAACCGTATTGGAGCCAGATTGGATCTAAAAAAGAACCGTATTGGAACTGTATTGGAACTGTATTGCATTTGTAACACAAGCATTTGCTTGCAAGTTCGCAAAGCAGAGTCGCGCACACTTTCTGTCAAAATTGATTATTTGCATGCATGTGTTTTCAAAGTTAATTGAACTTGTTTAAAATAAAAGCAAACAAAAACTTCGAAATTCTAGCTAGGAAAGCTTGAAGATTCTATAAAAACAGCTGAGTGCTGTATAAAAACAACTGAGTGCCCGTAATTATTGAAAACCCTGTACATTGTTGACAAAAAAAGGAAAAATATAGTCTGAGAAGTAAATTTTGAGCACTTGAACTGTGGCCATCACTGTAAAACTCAAAATTTGTTTTCCCCAAGCAGAATTCAGGCGACGGCCTCCTGCGATTCGCACACTGACACGATCGTCCAATCGGTCATCCGTCGACATTTCAAAGCGTCCACCGTTTTTGCTATCGCCCATCGATTGGACACAATCAGTGACTATGATCGGTGAGGGGATCTACGATCTTATAATTTTGAAAAGTTGTCTGTGTGTGTCTGTCTGTTACCACGTTTTAAGCTCACCAGGTGGGTATTTTAGTTTCCGAGACATGCAACTAGAGGTAATCGGGGTTGGCGAAACCGGAAGAGTAATTAAATTTTTGATCCGACAACGTTTTTTAGGACAAAAATATAATTTTGTGAAATTTAAACAATTAATTGACATTTTGGCAAGCGTGAGAAAAGAGCTAATTTTTCCAAGTGAGTTTTCTATGCAAATTCACCAAAACCTTGCCACGGTGGTTGACATGCTAGTTTTATTGAAAGTGTTTAAAATCTTTTCAGAATCCTGGTGCTTTCCGATGGGGAAATCGTCGAGTTCGACTCGCCGCAAGCGCTCGAAGCGAATCAGAACTCTCATTACTCTCAGCTACGACGACGAATCAACAGAAAACTCGACCAATAAATGATGCTAGTTGTTGATAAATTGTTATGCAAATTTTTTTACAGGTTGTTGATGGGAAAATTAAAAAGGAGGTGGTCATTTTCGACAGGAGAGTGGATCTCTTTGTGAATCTCTTCTGAATCTCTAGAGTTAGAGTCCACCATTTAATCTCGAAACTTTAGCCGCAAAAACTTTTTTCATCGCCAAAACCAGCGATCAAGAAGAGTTCTCAAAAAATCTCATATCACATTAAAAGAAGAGTCTTCCCGGTACATTTTTTTCCATTTATCATTGAAAAACGGGGTTTTTCAGAAAATCGAAGAGAAAAACGGCGTGTGTGTGTGCCTGCTGTGTGTGCTCTGCTGACCAAACCAAAATTGCTAAACTGACATCGTATCCATCAATGCCAAGGCCAATTTCTCTAATCAGATGCCTTTGCTTGCGCTTTGATCACTTTGAAACATCGACACTTTAGGGAAAACGTGGTCGCGAGTGGGGGAAACGACATTTTATTTGATAAGTGGAAAGTGATAAAATAAAAAGTGAACGGATGATAGACTTGAATGATAGCCGGCCAAGAATTTCTCTCTCTTCATTTCACCTCTGACCGTGTTTCGCTCGAAAAAACTTAGTTTTTTTGGTTACTCAGTGTTTCCTGTTCGTTTTTGTCATATTTTTCAAAACACAACACTTTTCAATCTTTCCAATAACGTACTTATATCAAAATCTCTGGTAAATGTTGATTTTCATTTTTTTTCTGGTTCGAGATTGGTTCGGTCCTTTAGGCAATGTGCAAAGCAAAAATTTCGACGAAGATTCTCGAGACGCCGATAACCTGGGAAATGCTCGAAGGAGACTTTCAGAGGCAATTCAAAACGATGGCCCGCATAGGCGACAAGAGAACGGTGCAAGTGATCGGCAGGGGAATGGTTGGTGACGGGTTGGCGAACATGGAATGTGAACATGGAATCATCTAGCAAATAAGAAACGAGGGTACCTTACCGTCATACCTCCCCGTTTTATGGAGACATATTGAGCCGAAGAGTTATTAGTAATTTCCTGAATTAAATAGAAAAACCCACATCAAGCACTAACCTTGAGCTTTGCATGATAGGATTCCAGCGAAGAACTCACAATTTGTTAATTTTGTAATATTGAGGCAAATGAGTTCCAGGTTTCAATAGGATGTAGAGATAGAACATAACGACATTGAGCAACGTGATCTCACACTCTTGTGTGAGGTCTATCTTGGAACTATCTAAAGAAAAGGTGTAGAGGACTAACATCAAATTTTGAACATTCAATAGAAATCTCATACCTGTCAACTGATTAGAAGGTATTGAATTTAGCCCTTCATTTAGTAAGGAATGAAAATAGGCTTTCACATCAATAGGGCGCATAAACGTTAGAGCCATTAATCCTTGTATGCAAGCCTTCAACGAATGATCCTTGTAAACGTACGTAGATTGTACTTCTAGACTACCATAGTAAAAAGTAGATTGGGGAGGTACAGCGGTATTGATGCATAGGAAAAAGTAGGGAGGTATAACGGTAAAGTACCGAAACGAGTTGTAGTGACTCGAGTGTTTTTTTCGAAAGCCGTTTTTGCGGTGAAGTCCCGATCATAACGCCACGTTCCCTTGAAAGACCCTCTTCTAGGGCTATGTCTCGAAGTTGTTGCTGATCCATTTCGATTGGACTTCCGTAGAGACATTCACAAGGCATCTACCCGAATGTGCTGTCGTGAAGATCACCATTGATCCGCCCGAGTTAAAACCCCCAACGACTCCTCCGTCTCCAAACGATCCGATGATTCTTTTCGAACAAATGGTTCATTTTAGAAGAGACTTTAAACTTTCACTATTCAATGAGCTTAAGCCAAAAATAGAAACTTATTGGTTCATGAAAAACTCCTTTTTCAGATGCACGACACTGAGCTTTTCTTTTATGAAAACTCGATAGATCCGACAAAAATCCCGGCCGATCTAAAGATTCCCAAATTTTATTGTGGTCGCAAGTACGGCGTCGAGGAAGTCGATGCTGGTTTTCGAACATTTTCAATTTGTAGACATTTTTATGTAGGCTATATCGCGCTAGAATACATAAGAAACACGGTGGATCGTCATTTCTATCACAACATTCCGCGAAATGGTGTCATCGATGCACTTGATGAGCTGGTGAAACTGGCCGTGTTTTGTGGGTTTAAAAGGAAAATTTTTTTATTTCAGTCTTCTTAAACCTTTCTTGTTACCATTTCATCGAGTTCTTTTCCAGCTGTGAAAAGCCCGGATTCGCTCAAAATCTGGCCAAAGAGCTGTCATTCGTTGATGAGCAACGTGCTTGCCTACTGTAAATTCTATGATCCGGTTAGTCGGAGAAGTTGTGAGCTAATCAAAATCAGCTTTGAGAATCTCGAGGAAAGATTGCGACGTGTAATGGAGAGATTTCCCGAGCTTGTCCCCGAACTCGCCACCATCATCGAATATCTTCCACGCAACTTTTTGGACTTTCAAAATTTCCTTCGCTTACAACGTTCAACATGTATGTTTGAGATTGACGCGAAAGAAAAAGGCTGCCCAAAATGAATAACTTTCACGGTTTAAGCTACTATAAAAGTTATTAGGTTAAGGAAAAAATATCTCTCCTCTTCTGCCCTGATAAACTGTTTCAGAAGCAGAAAGTAATCTGAAGTAAGGCGCATGAGAAAGCAACTTTCAGCCCAGTCCGTCAATTTTTTTTGTGATTGACTCTTGCAGTGTGGGGTTTTGCGTTATCGTGCAAAAATCGAATCTGTGATGGATTAAGCCCCAATTTCTTTAAAGCATCGTTAACTCTAGTCAATAGGATAGGGGTCAACATCAATATGAAGAGATTATCATCAAGTTTTCTCATGGATTAGCTAACTCATAGCGCACCAAACCTTTTGAGTTCTACCAGCAACAGAGCATTATTTTCTTTCCATGAATATCAGGTTTGGTGGTGGTTTGCGGGGTTTGTCCTCTAGATAGCCATCGGTTTTTCCTTTTGACATTCTCGTAATTAGCCCAAGTTTTATCAGATGTCAAAATCGAATCCCAAAAACCACCAGCGTTGCATTTATGGAGCAAAAAAGAACTGACGTTGGCACGCGTTGTTTTGTGGTCTTGGGTTAGTTCGTGCAAGACCTATTTTCCACAGGGAATTTTTTATGAGTTGGTGCAAATGGCTGTCGATCGTCTTCTGACCAACATCAAACATTTCTGCAAGTTCCTTGCAAACATCGCGTAAGCACACCCCCTTGTTACAGGGTTTGTGCTCGAAAGTCAAAACACGCATTATTTTTTCTCAACCTAATAGTATCCTAACCCCTCCTCATAGTAACTTTGGTGACCTTGACTTCACTAAAATAAATAAAATAGTTTATGCTGTTTTTTTGGCTTTAATCCATGGATATAGACTACTTATGCTTAGTAATGACAGTAAAATTCAAACCCAGGTTTTTTCAACTTTAATTCACTGGCTTGTTAAGGGAAACTTTTGGTAAGAAGTCTGTCACTTTCTGTTACTATCACAGTCTGTCAAACTTTTTGAATTCCTGTCACGAAAGCTTTTGTCTGAAAGAGACATCAGCTGCAATAAAAGAACCAAATTTTAGGTACAAAACCAATGCTTTGCCAGGGTGACATTTGGTCGCCGAACATTCTCTGGATACGAGATGAAAACGATGATTATCGCGTTGGAGGGATCATCGATTGGCAAGTAAGGAATCTGTGAAGGCTTGAAGATACTCTTCCAGTCTCTACCGGACTCATGCTATTCCTCAAATTCCCTGCCGCTGTTTTCTTAAGTCAAGCTTAATAGCCCAAAAGAATTTTCTGTTTTTAGATTGCTCAAATTGGCTCGCCTCTGGAAGATCTTGTCTTCCTCTTCCACAGCTGCCTTTCCGCTGATGAGTACGAGAAAAAGTTCGTTTAAATAGAATTTTCTCAAATCAAATCACAAAACTTTCAGCACAAACAACTATCTTGAGTATTATTTTGAGCAACTGCAAAAATCAACAAAGTTTCACGAGCTGCCATGGGGAAATTTGGATGAGGTGAGGACGTTGATGAAAAAAGGATGAAACTTTTGATGAAATGGACTTTGATAAAGTTGAACAAAGAATATAAAATGATGGTGAATAATCTAGCCGTTCAGCTGATCAAAAGTTACGAGATTGCCTACGCGTATATGATTCCGGTTCTGCTTCCGTTGACGGTGCTCTTGGTGGATTTTGAGAAAACTTGCTCAGGTTAACTTTTCGAACAAAGATTTACGAGGTTTGAAGCTTCTTTTGCTAGGCGTAGTAAATCAACACATAATCAACTTTACAGAAAACGTCATCGAGCAGTGCATAGACACATGGCGCACAAAGGTAATCCTAATGGGAAAAGAAGCGGTGCGGTGCCTAGAAAAACATTTGATCAAATGAATAAACGGACTTTCTCACAAACGAGTCGGAAAGCTTAGTGCATAAATAGAGGGAAAATATTTCTCGTTTCACATTAAAACGCAAAATCTTCCTTACTGAAAGGAGCTACACAAGCATGCTGCAACATTGTTATGCATATGTTGTGTTTGGCCCACGTGGTTTTGTGGTAGTGCTGCCAGATCTGCAACTCAGTTTTTGGGTCCCTTGTTCCGACTACGACTTTTGTTTTTGCTTTTTTGTTTTTGTTTGTTCAAAAATTCAAAGAAAAGATTTATTTGGTTTTGCATACATAATCAATGCAACTTTATTTTCCCGCACACGGCTGTGGATTTATTGGATAGAGGGCGCCCACGGGACAACAAGTCACTCCACCCATTTCATCAATAGCTTTCATCGTATCGGATGGACAAGGCACACCGGGGATAAAAGCTGAAAATGACGTGAGACTATAAAAACGTCAGGTAAAGAAATTCTTAGGCATTTTTGGAAAAGTAGATTTGAGGGTTTAAATGTAAATGAGAAGTCAATTGCAGATGTAAGTCAAATGCACAGTGTGATGGTCGAGGTCGAAAATAATCACAAGTACCAAATGCAAACTCAAAACAAAAAAGGCATACGTCCGCCTGTTTGCGTATCAGTACATTTGAACTCGGTGACGCCGTTGCCGTTTTCTTTCACGCTTGTGCTATCACAGAAGCCACCCGTTGTGCACATAAGATCGACCGATTGGAGGGGCAAACAGCTACCGAGAATACACACTGAACTTTGTTTTTACTTGCTTTTAAATGACTAAAAGTGAGTAAAAACAAAGTGGGTTTGCTTGATTTTAGAAGATCATAACGGTGAATAACTTTGAAGCAAAAAAATTCCAAGTTTTCGAAAACAAAAATCTTTTTTCTCTTACTAGAACAGAATTTAAGTAGTGACAGGTTGCTGTGCCGAAATCAATGTTGGTTGCTTCATTTACAGAGTCTCTTGTAAGACTACTTTATTTTGAACAAAGAAAGAACAAACCACTCACACAATTTAAAAGTCATTTAGTCATGCATATTGTTTGAACATCCAATTAGAAAATTCAGAACTCGAAAACTCAAAAGGTCACTTTGAGGTCAATCAAAGGTTACTTTTGTGGGCGTCAGCTAAAATAATAAAAGACACGGCTATTTAAAGGGTCAATGCTTTTTTAAAAATCACTCAAAATAATGCACAAATCATCTTATTTTCTCCCTCTAATCGCTGCTCTCATGCACCAGACAGCAGCCGTTTTTGAGTGTCTCGGAGCTTCAACGGGACGTGCGTTTTTTATGATATTGAGCAAAATAAACATTAAATGAGGTGAATTTTCAGTTGTACTTGTAGAACTCGATGAACTGAATTGAATAGTACCAAAATTGTCCCGATTGGTTATTGGTATTGTACCGGCTAGGTGTTTTCTCGATTGCGCATAGTAATAACGAAAATACTTGTAGATTGAAGCCGATGAATCAATCAGATCAATCTGACCGAAGCTCTAGCGATTCTCTTAAAAACACCGAAATCCTGGTTACGGGTCTGCTTCTGGCCTACAAATTCTCGCCTACGGGCCTACAAATATTTAACTAGAGTACGAAACATTTGAAATTCAAAACAAAAACTCCAAAAGTTCCGATTTAGCGTGTATTCTCGGTAGCTGTTTGCCCCTCCAACCGGCCGGTCTTATGTGCACAACGGGTGGCTGCTGTGATAGCACAAGCGTGAAAGAAAACGGCAACGGCGTCACCGAGTTCAAATGTACTGATACGCAAACAGGCGGACGTATGCCTTTTTTGTTTTGAGTTTGCATTTGGTACTTGTGATTATTTTCGACCTCGACCATCACACTGTGCATTTGACTTACATCTGCAATTGACTTCTCATTTACATTTAAACCCTCAAATCTACTTTTCCAAAAATGCCTAAGAATTTCTTTACCTGACGTTTTTATAGTCTCACGTCATTTTCAGCTTTTATCCCCGGTGTGCCTTGTCCATCCGATACGATGAAAGCTATTGATGAAATGGGTGGAGTGACTTGTTGTCCCGTGGGCGCCCTCTATCCAATAAATCCACAGCCGTGTGCGGGAAAATAAAGTTGCATTGATTATGTATGCAAAACCAAATAAATCTTTTCTTTGAATTTTTGAACAAACAAAAACAAAAAAGCAAAAACAAAAGTCGTAGTCGGAACAAGGGACCCAAAAACTGAGTTGCAGATCTGGCAGCACTACCACAAAACCACGTGGGCCAAACAACAACACCGGTGCTGAGCGAGTGCCGATTGAAGTTGGGGGAAAGATGAGAGATGAATTGATGAGAAAATTCATTGATTTGGAGAATTCATTGATTACAAGGGAGGTTCGCCAACTTACCCCCGGCTATCAAAACGAGACCTAACACATCTTGTGCCGTTTTTTTGCGGTAATTCCGAATCTGTGGACAAATCTACCCCGGAGGCCCTTTAAAGCTGAAAGATCCTTTATGTTAACTTTAATGAACAAACAAACTAGTTCCGACTTTTTGCAAAAAAAAGCACGACTTGTTCGAGGGAAAAGTTTGATTAAAACTTCAAATATAAAACAAACCAATTGCAAGGTGATCAACCTTTTATAGATCTTGGTGGCTGGAGATTTCTTTCGGATGAGAAGAAAAAGAGTGACAAAGTAGAAAATAGTGGAATCGAAGAGATTTACGGTGAATAGCAACGAGTAAAGAGATAGGAAAAAAGGATTCGGGAAGAACATTTCGGAAATTGATGAGAGAATTCGAGTTTCCTCTAAAAGGTATGACATTTGTGTGGGCTTTTTTTGAAAAGACAGGTGATTCGGGGAAATTTCCGGGGACGGTTAATTCGCCTTGTGCTGTGTAGCTACAAAAATTTGAAATTACATAACAAGGAAGGGTTTTTCGAAGTTTTCGAGTTTCTCGTTTAGCCGCTGATAAAATACAGTTGCATGTGTTTCTGGCAACTTCACTCAAACACATGACTGACTTTGTTTTGGTCATAGCTAAAGACTAAAATTGATTTGAATGATCTATGATAAAGAAAAATCGCCCTGAAAAGCACGCAAATTTTTACCTCTGATTCAAGCCATTAAAACCCGTCTCAAATTTTTGTATTCTTAAAAGTCGTATAGTGCATCTTTGCTTTTTTTTGCAAAAAGTCGGAACTAGTTTGTTTGTTCATTAAAGTTAAACGGGTAATTTTGCGCCACACTGTAAAATCTATAAGCCCAGTCAGTGAGGTGACAGAACTTTCGGCGCACCCGGTATTTGTCAATCAGAGCAACAGTTTTTCAGTTAGCTGAATAAAAAATAAGTGTCTCAAGTAGTGAAGCTCTTAGATCAGCCAAAAACTGAACATCACCTTCTCGTCCACTCTTCCAACGATGTTGCCGTGTCAGTTTACATCAACCACCTATACCTATATTGCACTTATGGTTGTTGATGCAATTTTCTGTGGGATTGGTGGCATCATTTTGGGTTTTATCGTCATAAAGGACGCTTTTCGATTGAATCCGTCGACGAGTCAACGAACGAGAGAGATGCAACGATATTTCTCGATGATTCTCTTCTTACAGGTGAACTTTTTAAGTCGGAAATGTGATAAAGAAATGAATGAACAATTTTCAGGCCATCATTCTTGTCGGTTGTGTCTTTGACCCCGTTGACCATCTATGCCATTGTGGCTTTTCGTTTAATCGTTCACGATTTGTTCGCAGCAGGTCTTTCGCTCTTTGAGTTTTGAAACGATTTCAAGCAAACATCCCCAAATTGCTTTTAAAATCTTGAAATTTTTAATGAAAAAAGCAAATACATCAACAATAAAATCTAGTGGGCGGCTCGGTGAATCTGTTTGTTTCTTTTCACTCGACGTGCACGAGTCTCATCGTGGTTTTCGCGACAAAAACCTATCGAGATGCAATCATCGATTGGACCAAATCGGCTTTTCGGCTTAAAAGTGATCAAAAAATCCCATCAAATACGAGGCGTACCTCGAAAATTCGTGTACAAATCGTCAAAGAGTGGAATAAAAGTTGACATCGATTTTAATGTATTTTCTTGTTTTCTTGAAATTTTTATAGAAACCAGCTACTACAATAGCAATGATTCACAAGAGAATAAAATGACAATAAATTTTTTTACAGTTTTTCTGAATGAGAGAACGAAATTCAATTTGGTTTACTCCCATAGTTGTGTCTAGGGAATATGCATGTTATGACAAAGTTTTAGAGATTTTAGTTGGAAACTCGCAAGTTTGTGCAACTTTTGATCGTTTAGCTGAGAGACTTCATCATTTTTTGTGACTCCTATTAGGGAAAATCTCGTATACGCTCTTTACGCTCCTGTTTACGCCAAACGAATCGATTTTCTATAAAAGTTGTACCAAGCCGGAGTCTCCTCAACAAGCTAGTAGTAGCTAGTCTATAATAGTTAGTAAAATTATTTCATTTGGATAAATGTCTCTTTTATGATATTTCCTCTAACTTTCCTATAAGTGTTCCTGGAGAGTTGGCTAACTTTCCAATTGGAAGCTAATTTATACTAAAGCAGATTTTTATATTTAAAATAACTACAGTCGACTCTCTCTATAACGGAACTCTATATAATGGAGTAGAATTTTGGTCCCTGCCGACACTAAGCTACCGTATTTATTCTAATAGAAGCACATTTGCTCCTATTTTTCAACCACCCCCCCCCCTTCTAAAATTGCTTATATGGGAGACAGTGCTTCAATTAGAGGCTGTGCTTCTATTTTTCAACCGCGCCCCAAAATGGATCAAATAGCTTACAAGAAGTTACCATTTTCAAATCATAGATATTTATGATTAATTTATTCATTTCAGTAAAGCAACATTTAAACCTAAGCAACAATCAATTAACAAAATGAAAAGCATTTTCAAGCACACATCATTTAAATCATCATCAAATTATTTTCGTTAGCATCGCCGACTTCAATAGAGACATCACTGTCTTAGCACTTGTTCTCTTCATCCTCGCCAAGATCAATTTCCTCGATTGGTGGGACCTTGATATTTCCTCCTTTCGTAAGCTCCTGATCTCTATGCATAATCCAATCGTCATAGCAGGTCCTGATGACTTGAAAGGATGGTTTCAAATCACGTCAGGAGCCTGAATGAATTTTGTCCAGCGTCCAGGCACAACAGCTGAATCGAATTTGATTGTTTTGAGCACCTTTTTAGATAACCAATTGAAAAGGCCCACATGGCTAAAAGTCCTCTTGAGAAAAACAGCCATTAAAGCATCATTCATCCACGTTGATCCTTCTTATACAAGATCCAATTTACTCCCAAATCAGCCATAGCACTATCAGACCTAAAATAAACACATTAGCAATTTTATAAAAACAACCTATTTTATGAAGAAATAAGGGAAAAAGGTTTAATAAACGTAAAAAATAAACAGAGGATTATAGAAGAATTTTGCAAGAAAAATGCATGAAATGGTGGGCGGTAGCAAAGTAGCGCATTTAAAAAATGTGTTGCTTCTATTAGAGACAGTGCTCCTATTTTTCAACCTCTTCCTAAACTTGCTTCTATTGGAGACTGTGCTTGAATTAGAATAAATACGGTATTTTAAATATAAAAAAACCATATAACGGAAACTCTCTATAACGGCGGAAAAATTTGGAACCGCTTGTATAACGGCCTCTCTATATAACGAAATAGTTAAGATATCCAGTCATAAAATTGACTAATTTACTGCTAACAAGGGAACCACATATACTTACGGACGCCGATTGCCCCCAAAATTGGTAGGTAGGTAGAATCGACACTGGGGAACAGCAATTCAGCTGCAAAGCTCCAAGATTACCGTAGTTATAACGATCATAAACATTTCGCTTTCTATCGAGAAAATCGTCTCTGGTCTATTTGACCAAATACCCTTTCGAGTTTCGATTTGATTGCCAACCATCAAAAGAGCACGTGTAGCGAAGGACGAAACTTTAGAAGAGGCAATTCTACCATGGTTCAAGGAGCAGCGCAGCCGAAATACTCCGATTAACGGCCAAATTCTTCGTGAGAGGACCCTTTCTCTTGCAAAATTCTTTGGAAATACCGCTATTTTGGTGGCTTTAGCATTTAAAGGCGATAAGTGTTCCAAGATTAAAAAATCAAAGGATCAATTGACAGTAGTCCTATGTACTAATATGGATGGATCCGAAAAGCTTCCGGTTTTGGTTATTGGAAATTCTCAAAAGCCGCTTTGCTTGAAAAACAGAAATTTCCGATTGATTATGTGTGAAACACTTATGTGAATAAAATTTGCATTGAAAAACTATAAGGGAAAACATTTTGGACTTGAAATTCTCTCTCTACATAACGGAAACTTCATATAACGGAAAGCTCAATAAAGTCCCTTTAGGAAATGTAACTCGCAATATCGAGGAAAATATAATGAATTACTACTGGAAAGACAACGAACTGGAAACCTACATTCAATAGTTTGTTACTCAGATATTTTTAGAACTGATATCTTTACAGCAAGAGTACGTATGAGATGGAAAGTTACGACTATGAACTGCGTCAAATTTCAAATGAATCCTACTTCTTGCGATCGATGATGCGTCAATTCCAATGCGAAGAGACGAAATGGGTGGAGAACTATAGTGTGTTGTTATGATCCCCGGAATGGAAGTGAGTCTTCTTTACTCGTTTCCTAAAACGTGTCAACTTCTTTGACTACCGTGATCTTTTCTCTACTTTTACCCAATCTATCCCATTTTGTATCTTTCGATATTCTTTGTGAACCCTGGCAAAATCAGACAAAATAGGATTGGATCAAATTAGAGACAAGATTACGGTAGGAGAGAAAGGAAACACGTTTTAGGAAAGTACATTATCTAATTTAAAACACACTAAGTCAACCAAACACTTACTTTTTCCAGCTGCGTGTGCTAGTCAGCGCCAGAACAACGATTGGATGCTGATTCCCGGATTTTTCTATCGAGTTTCTCAAAAAGAATGGACAGGTGGGCTTATGAATATGGATAGAACAATTTGGCATCCGATAAAATATTGTTGTAATTATAACTTTAGGATTATCTCATTGCTCAAGAACGTTTCAACACGATGCCCTATCTGATGGATCGAATGGGAGTAAATATTTCGATTGAGACACACGAATGTGGCGACGCGTATAATTTGTGTGTTTTTAAACTTTTGGATTTTATTCTCAACATCAAAAGTTAGTATTATACTGTTAGATTTCCTCAAAGTTATTCTTTTGGCAGAAAATGGCTTAAAATCAGAGTTTCTATATACCCTGTAAAGCAAGCCAGCCCTGGTCTGATTCAGAGATGGATTCTGGCAAACTCAGGAACTTAAAGTCTGCTGGAAATCAGACCAGCTCCAAGCCTGATTTCCAGGGCAGCCCTGTAGCAAAGATAAGCCAGGACAGCTTGTTTTTTTGACCGGGTCAAGCTTCTGATCTGAGCCGAACCCAGCGAAATTACCATCTGTTGTGTATATCTATATCTGTTGTGAGTTTAAATGTGCTAAACTCAAATCAAAGTTGGTTTTGAGCGGTAAGCGTTCCCAAATACGTATTTCTGTTACTGAACCATTAAAGCATTGGAATTTTTCTTGATCCGGTCGTTTTAAGCTACCATTTTGCGTTTGTTGATTATATTCAAGCAAACATAGATTTTCCAGCGTTTTGACATCACAGACGAGAAAATCGCCATTGTTTCCGAAAAGGAGCTCAGCAAAGACAAAAACTTCACCCGATCCCTATTGCTGATTGATCCATTTGATGAGAATGATCACAAATGTTTTCAAGGAAAGGGACCATCTTTGGGTAATAGTTTGAAAGCTAACTAAAATAGAGCAACATCTTCAGACAAATTGTACGGGATTTGGGTGGACCGAGACGTGGTTTGGATGCTGTTTTGCCGTTCTAGGTCGTGAGTTTTTGAAAGTAGAAAATTATTGACTCTACCACCAGAAGGAGGGAAATTTTCATTCCTAATACAAGAGTTGTCAATTCTTAGTTTGACAAGTGACGGAATTGAGGGTTAAAAAGATAAGCGAGAACTCTTCAACAACTTGGGAATTTGTGATTTAAGAATTTTCACCCCGAAGTAACGTACGTTTGCCGTATAGAAAAGACTGCCGTAACCTAGAAAAGACTGCCGTAACCGGAAAAAGCGACTATTACCGGAAAGGTTACCTATCGTAAGCTACCGGACAACCTAAATCAATCATCCATTAGTGCTTTGGCTCAAGATTTTGACTCTGTTCTGATTTCAATTTAAAATTTCAGTTGTTCTGTTCGTCTTCTCACCCTCGAAGGTCTCCAACCCATCTACTACTACCCGGATTTCCCAACACGGGGATTTCACCGTGGTTTCTTTTTATTTTAATCCAGTTTTGAAGAAAGCTACGGTCAAGCGCAGTAAAAACTACAACCAAGATTATTGATTATTTCTCATCATGCAATCTTTTTAAAAATTCTCTGTAATCGAGATTTTTCATCACCATTTTATGCACCGATCTCCTCATTTATTCTATGAATTTATACATCATCTACTTTTTCTAAATTGCGCGTAATACGGGTTTGATTTCTGTGAAATTTTAGTTATGAAGAAGTTTCGTGTAACTAAACTTTGATTCTTTTCAATAAAACATAAAAATTCACGGTTTTACACACAAGTAATGGATTTCTTTTTTCTTTCTTTTTCTGGAACCGATTTCCGCCCCAACCCCGGCTACACCCTTGCCTCAATTAAAACAGTAGCTATACTGGGAGAACTTTTTTCAGGACTATGTGTTCCAATCAAATAGAATTTGGGAGTATTGGGTTGGGGAGAATGAGTCGGCGCCGAAAATCAAAAAAATGTCTGAAACTTCTAGCAGACTTCGTCAAATAATATGCGTTTGATATCAGTAGAATGGTTAACTAATTCTCTACAAAATGACATTTAAAAGAAAATTCAAACAGCGCCTCCGCTCAAGAAAAAGCCATTTTTTCACAAAAACTACAAACTGTCATCTAGAAAAAACCATTGGTGGGATCTTCCTGCAAATTTGGCAACTTAAGTAATTGAATGTGCTCTATCTTTTTTATATAAACACCAAAGAAGGTTTATGTGAAAGAAACTGTTCAAATGATGAGTCGGACTCTTTGCCATTTTAACCAGCTGCGTTTGGAAGTTCATAAACTCCACGAAAGAAAAGCTTTGTGGAATCTCTCAAAAGTCATTTTTTAGAGAAATAGTGGATCCTTTTGATGAAACCAAACGTATGTTTAAAGAAGGCTTTATGTGTGCAAAAAGTCCCTTTAAAGTTTGGCGCCGACTCATTCTCCCCAACCCAATACTTTGGTAGCATTCTATCATGTAAAGAGACGGTAATTTTTTTATTTGAAATGCTTTTCTTTATAACAAGTCCAGAAATACAACTTTATACATTAAATTATTAATCAAAATTGTTTAAAAGTATATGAATTTCGGTCAAAGATACGAATTTGGACACTAAAAGACATCTAGACTTGCTTATTTACGGTTATGGTAAAGAACTCCAGTAATCCAATTTCTTTACGGATTACGGTAACCTGTCTGTGCTTTCTATTTGGCACTAACTTGACTAATAAGCAAGTCTATGGAAATCACACAATAAAACAATCAACATGTTATGCATCTCGTAATAATCCAAATGAACACAATTCGAGGAAAAGAGATCAAAAAGAGAATGAAAAAGAATCAACTGATCAAGCTACCGATAAAATTAACCTCTTCTTCGGAATCAAAATTTTTGAAAAAAACAAAAAGAAACTTCTTTGGGTGTAGATTGGGCTTCGGAAAGGGGTTCGATGGTTATCCTTTATCTAGCCATTCGGCTTTGCGTTTTCGGTTATCGTAGAGGACCCATTTTTCATCACAAGTTACAATTCGATCTAGAAATGACTCCTTTTGGTTACGAAACAGCAATGAATACGATGTGAGGTAACGGTGCAATTTTCGATATTCGTTCAACTGATCAGGCACCCAATTTTTCAACTTTTTTACTTTTCCGATTTCCTTGAGATGGTTCCCAATTGTGTGTGGAGTGACTCCAAAGTGCGTTACTAATTCTGCCTCCGCTGTTCTGGGATCCGCTTCTACCAGCTACCAGCTCCTTTAATTCGTCATTGTCGAGACTATCATGGCGTTTTCGGCCTTCCTTGTCATTTAGATCATCGTCACCTTCCCGTAATCGTTTGAACCAGCGCTGAACCGCTCGAACTTCAGCTTTTTTTCCCCAAAAACTTGATTGATGTTTTGGGTCGCTTCTGACGCATTGTGGCCAAGCTTGAACTCATACAAAAAGAGAAGGCGAAAGTCTCGATTTTCCATCGGTGTAAAACAACCTGAAAAAAACCATTAAGGAAGGTCTAAGCAAAAGTGTTAAACAGAAAAGAAAATTGAGAAAAAAATACTCAAATACATAAAAAGACCCAAGGCCAATAAGCATTTGCAGCCGCGTAGGCAACGCCGGAATGTGAGACCCACAAATACGACATTAATTTTTTCCGTACCTAATAAATGTTGGTATCTTATGATTCTACTCCCCAGAGTTTCTTCTAATTTGTTGATGCCTCGGTTTGAATGCTTTAGCTTTTACCATGTAATCCTTTTCTAGTGGTAGCCACGGAGATCTTTTGTGATGAAATACAAAAACAGATGAGTGGCTTTCTTTTTGAAACGGTTTCGAAATCTATTTGCTTTTTCGGTGAGTCACCACAAAAAAGGACCTCTTTTTCTTTTGCGATAAAAGCCTTTTGAGAATTTTCGAAACTCAAAAGAATAGCTTGCCTTGAAAATACGCAAACTAATTCTCATTATTCATTTGCTATCAGAAATATGATTGAGATGTCTATCAGTGATGAGCACAAACAGGAGAAGACATCGGTCAAACGACGAGAAGCGGTGAGTCTCTCAAAGATATTCAAAGCTTTTAAAATGCCATTGGACGGGCAGAGGAGAATAATGTTTCTTAATAGTTTCCTGTTGTGAAACATTCATCTGCTTTTGATCCAAACAATAGTTACATCTGCCCTTTCAGTCACTCGATGAACTTTTTAGTGAAAAAAATTTAACACTTTCAAAGGTTATTTAAAATAGCATCAGCTAGAGTTGATATCATCGATTCGTTTTTAGAATGATCGATTTTGAAAAGGAAAACCCTTCAAGTTTCAGAGTGATCTGGACAAAGATTGGCAGATGATCGATGGGGGCACTGAGTCGAGGCAAAAAAAAGCGGAAAAGGGAAACTCCGGCAATAAAGTGATCGATCAAATTGATGTGAGTGTAGCTTTTAGCTATAAAAACTATTCCTTGAGAAATCGGAAACAATTTCTTTTTTCAATTCAACAATTTCTTCTAGATCAAAACTTGAAATTAATGAAGCACAAAATGCAAAACGATCCTATTTAGATAGCTGCTGCGAGTTTCAAGGGCAATTGCGGGAGTGTCGATTTGTGTTTCCTCATCGATGCCACCGGCAGCATGCAACCGCACATCGACGGGGTGAAGGCTCAAATCAAGAAGATCGTCCACAACTTGACATCGGAAGCTGCAACGAAACAACACGTTCAACGGTTACGCCTCGCCCTTGTAGCCTACAGAGATCACGGCGATGCCCGGGTCAAACCGAACTCCCAGGGCTCCAAAAAGACCTTTGGCAAGGTGTTTTTCACCTCGAAATCTTCACCAGAAGCCATTGAAGGCGATCAGTTCGAGATTTTCCCCTTCTCCACATCGGAGCACGAGTTTGAGGCATTTTGCACGAAAGTTCGCGCTCAAGGCGGCGACGACCAACCGGAAGATGTGTTTGGCGGACTAGAGAAAGCGGTTAATCTGAGCTGGTCGAAAGATTCAGAGACAAAGATGATTTTTCATATCTGCGATGCTCCGTGCCATGGCACAGAATTTCACGTGGGTCACATGGGCGACAACTATCCACAGGGAGACCCGAAGGGACGAACGCATACGGCGCTTTTCGGGCGGCTAAACGAGATGGAGATTCAGTACTATTTTGGGAAGATCAACTCGTCGACCAACAGAATGGTCGAGAAATTCGCCGAAGCTTACGATGGCCAAGTCTATCAGTTCAACGTCGGCCAAGTGAACGAGATCAGAGAGTCGGTGGTGCAGGCGGTCCACCAGGCGGCTTATGTGCAGCGGTCTCGAGTGGCGACGCGAATGAACAAGGGTGAATGAAAGCAGTACCGACTCTTGAATTGAACATATTTTTTTGTTTTTTTTTGTTGTTGTTCTAACTTTGTGCGAATCATAAACAGACTTCAAAACAGAGCCCCGGTTGTGTGATTTTTTGGCACATTTGTATGCCTGCTTTTATCAGATTAACGACAAACGTACAAAATTTAATGTATCAAAGCACAAGCAAAGGCTGTCACAAATCAGTTTTGATGATATTGGGTTGGGGAGAAGCGACGCCGAAAATCAAAGAAATTTCTAAAACTTCTAGCAAACTTTGTCAAATGACATGTGTCTAATGATATCATGTCAAGTGACATGATATCATTAGAAAGGCTAACTAATTCTCTACAAAATGACATTTAAAAGGGAGCTGAATGGAACAAAATGAATTTGAAATGAATTTGAAGAGCTCGTCTAGAGGGACACTTTCTCTTATCAGAACTTATCAATGTGGGGTGGGAAAATGTCGTTGACGATATGATCCTGTGGGGATTTTTGTATCGAGCTTTTGTGAAAACTTGGAAACTGTAAAATAGTCATCAACTCCACTTTTCTTTGCATAGTATTCAAAATAATTTCTGCAAAAAATTTTTCAAAAATTGAAATTATGAAAGTAAATAACAGATTTATTGAATCACAACAACGATTAACTAGTTTTCAACATAGTTGTTAGCTTGGAGAGCCGTTATAAAGCCAGTCATATGCTGACTGTCGCCGAATTCAATATATAGATCGGCCGGAAAGAGATCCGCGTATTGTTGGTTTCGGGGCGGCAAGCCCTGAAAATAAAATAAGTGCATTTAATTGCCAAAAAAAGAGAAATCTTAATATATAAAGAATAACCTGTAGCACCACGCCTGGGACGAGGCAATTGTAACATTTGCCCTTTGGAAGAGTTCTACCCAATCCACCTCGTCCGAATTCACGGCGTTGACGACCAGGTCGATGTGCAAAACGATGTGTTTGTCCATCGACAACGAGCCCGATATACCGTTGAGTCACAGTCACTGCAGTGTAGTCTTGCAAGATGCTGAATCGAGGCAACATTGAGCTAAAAATAATCCATTACTCCTATATGCCATGAATAATATACGAAAAACAATCGAACTTTTGATCAAATCGAGCTATATTAGGCAAGCAAATCTACTCAGTTTTGATAAATTTATGCATGCAAAATTTTATTCCAAGCAACAAACAATACAACTAACATGTTTTCATCCGATCCATCACTTTGAGAATCGTCTTCAAACTCTTCTTGCTCGAAAACGTCGGGATCCTGTTCCATTTTTGGGGATGCATTGCCATTTGACACAATCAACTAAATATTCTGCTTTATGCATCATTAGGCATAGCTAATTTTTTAAAAACCTAGTTAACTCCAAAATTAATAAATATTATGAATAAATATCTTTATTAGATAAAAATAAAATAAAACCTGCTGATAGCCGGCAATATTGGACAACTTTGTGAGAATGGCAGCAAATTTCACCATGTCGATGAATTGAAGAAAATTTCAGAAAAAAATGAAAAACCGAAATCAAAAAGACGAATTGAAGTGAATTTAGTCATTCCTAGACAAGGAAATGGAAGATTTTGAATATAATTGCAATATAATAAGGAATTTGCAGTTGGCACTGCGACTCACTGCGTGGCTGCCCAAATTGACCGACGTTACACAGAGATTCGACTGTATATCATTAGTAAACCCAGTTTAAAAATTCAAGCCAATATAAATTTGATAAAAAATCAAGTGTTACTTTTTCTTATATTTTTGAAGCTTTTTGTCTAAATCTAGAGTATTAGGAAGATGTTTTGTGTAAATAATAATTGACTTGGTGAAGTTGGTCTAAAATCTTCGAATTTTTGACAGATAAATAAAGAATAAAAATTCCTTTTCGGAGAGTAGGAGAGGAGAGAGGAAAGGAACATTTTGTGATTATCAATTTCATTTGCCAACTTGATGTGTAAGGATTCGATTCTTTTCTTGGCGGTAGAGCCAATTAATCAATGTTTCCATATACAGTACCGGTTAAAATCATATCCCCTCCGAAAAAGTGTCCCCTCTTTGGAGACTTGTAACATTTTGGTCTAGTCATCGTACAAGCATGTGCCATGGAGATTCTGCAAGCTCTTTTTTAGCTCTACAAGATGCACTATACGACTTTTAAGAATACAAAAATTTGAGACTGTTTTTAATGGCTTGAATCAGAGGTAAAAATTAGTGTGCTTTTCAGAGCGATTTTTCTTTATCGTAGATCCTTCAAATCAATTTTAGTCTTTAGCTATAACCAAAACAAAGTCAGTCATGTGTTTGAGTGAAGTTGTCAGAAACACATACAACTGTATTTTATCAGCGGCTAAACGAGAAACTTCAAAACTTCGAAAAACCCTTCCTTGTCATGCAATTTCAAATTTTTGTGTAACAGTACGCCAACCAAGTAAAAGACCTTGTCTCGTTATTCACAGAAAAGAAAGCTCAACGATAAAAAAAGTAGCTACACAGCACAAGACGAATTAACCGTTCTCGGAAATTTCCGCGAATCACCTGTCTTTTGAAAAAAAACCCACACAAATGTTACACCTTTTAGAAGAAACTCCAATTCTCTCATCAATTTCCGAAATGTTCTTCCCGAATCCTCTTTTCCTATCTCTTTACTCGTTGCTATTCACCCTAAATTTCTTCGATTCCACTATTTTCTACTTTGTCACTCTTTTTCTTCTCATCCGAAAGAAATCTCCAGCCACCAAGATCTATAAAAGGTTGATCACTTTGCAATTGGTTTGTTTTATACTTGAAGTTTCAAACAAACTTTTCCCTCGAACAGAACAAGTCGTTCTTAAATAGAAGCACAACAAATAACAGAATAAGCAAAAAAAAGACTGAATCCTCTTCATTTTGTGAGATTAAATAGTGATATTTATATAGGAAATCATCACATTAAATAAACATAGAAAAAGAAAGAAATAGTATTAAAATCAATTTTGTTTCTTCTTCTAAGTGAGACTCATTGCAGACCCTATCGTACCTTTGTGATATCGGTCTCTCGACTTTTCGTCCTTTTGTGATCGCTTCACCCGTTGTTATTCTATTTCAATTCGCGTGGATCCCTTCAATATATGTTGCCATTTTTCTCTTTGTACGCATAAAAAACCTGCAACAATGTTTCTCTTTCCTTTTAGACACTTTATGCGACGGCTATCGGTTCTGTGTTCGCTTTATGGATCGGCGCTTTTGTCTACAAAATCACCCTCTTTCACGTGTATTCAAAAAAAGTGAAATGGACTCTGTATTTGTATTTCTTCATGGGGATTCTCATCGGATTCGTTCTTTTTTTTTGTGCTTGCGTGGATTTTGCGTTGGAGAAAGCGTGGAACTTCGATCAGCTAGAGGTGATTTTAGCTAGTTTTTTGAGGAGATTGACGTGTCGCAGCTGCTTATGCTTTCCAGCCGATTGCGCCGCAGTGAGTATAAGAGAGGTTCGTTTGACTTTTAGCTTAGTGACGAGTCTACCAAAAAGTTCTTGTCTTAATACTAGTGTGTTTGGGAAAAGACCTTCAGTCTTTTGCACTTTATCATACGAACAATCACAATTGATCCGTTATTTGTACTTTTACTTCGATCCTACGGGTTATTTGCACGAATTCAATAACGAGGCTAAAATGCGAAAGGATTCGAGCAAAATGAACCAAGATTCATCCGCAACAGGATGAAAGCAACAATTTAACTGATTTAACTTCTATTTAACACTGACTTAACAGTGAGGAAATGAACCTTTATATTAAACAATGTATAACAAAATTGGGGGAAAAAGGTATTCAGGCGAGACAACAATTGAGCGGAATTAGTGCTTTTCCGTAGTCGTTTCACGCTCTCTTACTTTGAAACTACTTTTGGATGTAAATTCGTAATTTTGAATGTAAATCGCAGCGGCGGTGCTAATTATTTAGCACAACGTGTGACAGCATAATATGTTAGTTTTTCGAGCGAATAAAACGAAATGAGTTATAATTTGTTTTACAATTACGAAATCGACTATTTTGCGTCGAATGGCACCACACACATACCAACGCCCACTGCGGTACAATCGGTTGAACAGCATAATCGTTGTGTCGCAAAAGCTCTTGCGCTCGCAGTTTTTTTGCTGTGTTCATTAAAATACTACCATTTTGCAGAGAATTTAACTCTCTACAAAATGCTACAATATTGTCTGTCTAAATCGTCTAAATCGTCTAATATTGTCTAAAACAGCTGAACGATTCGCGTGCATTAGCGCGGGCTCGAAAAAATCTCTGGCGTAATCGGCTCCGATATATACAGGGTACACCAAAAGTTCTGTCATCTCTCTAAAAACCAAAAGTTCTGTCATCTCGGAATTTTCAAAATTTTACTTTGCCAAAAATGAATATTAAAATAATATTTTTTGATGCTAGCCCCCTGGAAAACTCATATAACATAGAAACGGATGTTGGCTCGGGTAATTTTGGGGCACCTTGTATTAGGTTGTCCGGAAATAAATGAGCGTTTTGTATTGTTTATTATTTGGGTACATTTTTCTCAATAAAGTATGCTCTGTACCTTGTAATGTTATAAACCATTAGAAAGCTGAGTTCGCGCTCTCTTTAACCATGCTTTTAAATTTTGCTGAAAATAAAATTTTTTGCGAATTTTAAGCTTCGCCGTTTTAGATGTCCGAAACCAACTTTCGCCAGATTTTCTTTTATGAGTTCAAACTCGGTCGCAGTGCAGCTGAAACGGCTCGTAACATTAACGAAGTTTGGGGCCAAGGCAGTGTCGGCGAGTCAACAGTGGGAACTTGGTTTCGAAAATTCCGAGTTGGTGATTTTGATCTCGAAGATCAAGAAGGCTGTGGCTGTCCTGTTGAACTCGATGACGACGAACTGAAGACCCTGGTGGAAGCAAATCCACGTACGACTATTCGAGAGCTTGCGGAGAAGCTTGGCGTGGACAAGACGACCATTTCTGAGCACTTGAAACGGATTGGAAAGTCAAAAAAGCTCGATAAAAGGGTGCCGCACGAATTGAACGAAAATCAAAAAAATCGTCGTTTTGAGGTGTCGTTTGCTCTTCTTCAGCGCAACAAAAACGACCCATTTCTCGACCGGATCGTAACGTGTGATGAAAAGTGGATCCTCTACGACAATCGGCGACGTTCCGCTCAGTGGTTGGACGCCGGAGAGGCTCCACAACGCTTTCCAAAGCCAAATTTGCACCAAAAGAAGGTGACTGTTTGGTGGTCCGCAGCCGGTCTCATCCATCACATCTTTCTGAATCCGGGCGAAACGATTACGGCAAAGAAGTACTGCCAACAAATCGACGAAATGCAGCAGAAATTGCGGCGAATGTGCCCGGCATTGGTCAACAGAAAAGGTCCAATTCTTCTCCACGACAACGCTCGTCCGCACGTCGCATAACGAACCCTGCAAAAGTGAACGAACTGAGCTACGAAACTTTGCCTCACCCGCCATATTCGCCGGACCTTTCCCCTACCGACTACCACTTTTTCTCCCACCTCGACAACTTTCTCCGGGAGAAATGCTTCAAAACTCAAGACGATGCCAAAAACGCATTCGCCGACTTTATCGTCACCAGAAGCCCGGACTTCTATGCTTCCGGCATAAATAAACTTGTTTCTCGTTGGCAAGAATGTGTTAATTGTAATGGTTCTTATTTCGATTAATAAAGTTTTGTTTGGATCAAGTTATGGTATTTTAAATATTCAAGTTGAAAACGCTCATTTATTTCCGGACAACCTAATAGATAGTCCCAAAAAATTTTTATACTAGAAATTCCGGCAAGTCTTCTGGGAACATTTTATTTGACGCTTTTTATACGTTTTGATTTAATATTCTGAAAGCAAGCTCAAAAAACGCAAAGTTGATTGGTATTTGCCTTACAGGGTGGCGCAAAATTGCCCGTGCACCTGCTCAGCAGATTACATGCTAAGCCCCGCAATCAATTCAAAATCCCTAAGTGTGATATAGAGAATTGAAGCCTGAATTCTTGGCTACATTTCTGTACCAAAAAGTCTGCAATTAAAGTTTCGTACCCCTTTTTCAGACCCTTAAATGAGCCTAACTCGACTGGTCTCTGGGATGCTGCGGATACGAAGCGCTAAGAGTTGAACATCCCAAAAATCCGATTTTTGACAATTAAGGGTTCATTTATGATTGACAATTAAGGGTTCATTTATGATTGACAATTAAGGGTTCATTTATGGGTCTGTAAAATGGGCTACGAAACTTTAATTGCAGACTTTTTGGTACAGAAATGTAGCCAAGAATTCAGGCTTCAATTCTCTGTATAACCCTTTGGGTTTTTGAATTGATTGCCGAGCTTTGCATGTAATCTGCTGAGAAGGTGCACGGGTAATTTTGCGCCACACTGTAAAATCTATAAGCCCAGTCAGTGAGGTGACAGAACTTTCGGCGCACCCGGTATTTGTCAATCAGAGCAACAGTTTTTCAGTTAGCTGAATAAAAAATAAGTGTCTCAAGTAGTGAAGCTCTTAGATCAGCCAAAAACTGAACATCACCTTCTCGTCGACTCTTCCAACGATGTTGCTGTGTCAGATCACATCAACCACCAATACCTATCTTGCACTTATCATTGTTGATGCAATTTTCTGTGGCATTACTGGCATCATTTTGGGTTTTATTGTCATAAAGGACGCTTTTCGATCGAATCCGTCGACGAGTCAACGAACGAGAGAGATGCAACTATATTTCTCGATGATTCTCTTCTTACAGGTGAACTTTTTAAATCGGAAATGAGATAAAGAAATGAATGAACAATTTTCAGGCCATCATTCTTGTCGGTTGTGTCTTTGCCCCGTTGACCATCTATGCCATTGTGGCTCTTCGTTTAATCGTTCACGATTTGTTCGCAGCAGGTCTTTCGCTCTTTGAGTTTTGAAACGATTTCAAGCAAACATCCCCAAATTGCTTTTAAAATTTTAAAATTTTTAATGAAAAAAGCAAATACATCAACAATAAAATCTAGTGGGCGGCTCGATGAATCTGTTTGTTTCTTTTCACTCGACGTGCACGAGTTTCATCGTGGTTTTCGCGACAAAAACCTATCGAAATGCAATCATCGATTGGACCAAATCGGCTCTTCGGCTTGAAAAGTGATCAAAAAATCCCATCAAATACGAGGACTATCTCGAAAATTCGTGTACAAATCGTCAAAGAGTGGAATAAAAGTTGACATGGAAAATCGCAAGTTTGTGCAACTTTTGATCGTTCAGCTGAGAGACTTCATCATTTTTTGTCACTCCTATTAGGGAAAATATCGTATACGCTATTTACGCGCCTGTTTGCGCCAAGCTAATCGGTTTTCTATAAAAGTTATACCACGCTAAAGCCGGAGTCTCCTCAACAAGCTAGTAGTAGCTAGTATAGTTAGTAAAATTATTTCATTTGGATAAATGTCTCCTTTATGACATTTCCTCTAACTTTCCTTTAAGTGTTCCTGGAGAGTTGGCTAACTTTTCAATTGGAAGCTAATTTATACTAAAGCTAATTTTTATATTTAAAATAACTACAGTCGACTCTCTTTATAACGGAACTCTATATCGTTGGAGTAGAATTTTGGTTCCGGCCGACGCTAAGCTACCGTATTTATTCTAATAGAAGCACATGTGCTTCTATTTTTCAACCGCGCCTCAAAACGGATCAAATAGCTTACAAGAAGTTACCATTTTCAAATCATAGATATTTATGATTAATATATTCATTTCAGTAAAACAACATTTAAACTTAGGCAACAATCAATTAGCAAAATGAAAAGCATTTTCATCAAACATATCATTTAAATCATTATCATCGAATTATTTTCGTTAACATCGCCGACTTCAATGGAGACATCTTAGCACTTGTTCTCTTCATCCTCGCCAAGATCAATTTCCTCCAACAAGTGAGCGATCATTCGATCAGCGAACGATTTGTTGATAAGATCCCCGTCCAATGATTCCCAAGCATCCACTACCCAATGCAAGTATTTAACGATCGGTGGGGCCTTGATATTTCCTCCTTTCGTAAGCTCCTGATCTCTATGCATAATCCAATCGTCATAGTAGGTCCTGATTTTTGACTTGAAAGGATGGTTCCAAACCACGCCAGAAGCATGAATGAATTTTGTGCAGCGTCCAGGCACAACAGCTGAATCCAATTTGATTGCTTTGAGCACCTTTTTTGTGTCCTTTGAAATGTGGCAACGGAAGCTGTCCAGAACCAATAGACAACCAATTGAAAAGGCCCACATGGCTAAAAGTCCTCTTGAGAAAGACAGCCATTAAAGCATCATTCATCCACGTTGATCCTTCTTATACAAGATCCAATTTACTCCCAAATCAGCCATAGCACTATCAGACGTAAAATAAACACATTAGCAATTTTATAAAAACAACCTATTTTATAGAGAAATGTTTTGCAAGAAAAATGCATGAAATGGTGTTCCCAAATCAGCCATAGCACTATCAGAGCAAAGTAGCGCATTTTAAAAATGCGTTGCTTCTATTAGAGACAGTGCTTCTATTTTTCAACCCCTTCCTAAACTTGCTTCTATTGGAGACTGTGCTTGAATTAGAATAAATACGGTATTTTAAATATAAAAAAACCATATAACGGAAACTCTCTATAACGGCGGAAAAATTTGGAACCGCTTGTATAACGGCCTCTCTATATAACGAAATAGTTAAGATATCGAGTCATAAAATTGACCAATTTACTGCTAACAAGGGAACCACATATACTTACGGACGTAGATGCCCCCAAAATTGGTGGGTAGGTAGAATCGACTCTGGGAACAGCAATTCAGCCGCAAAGCTCCAAGATTACCGTAGTTATAACGATCATAAACGATTCTCGAGTCTCGATTTCATTGCCAACCATCAAAAGAGCACGTGTAGCGAAGGACGAAACTTTAGAAGAGGCAATTCTACCATGGTACAAGGAGCAGCGCAGCCGAAAGCCGAAATACTCCGATTAACGGCCAAATTCTTCGTGAGAGGACCCTTTCTCTTGCTTTGGAAATACTGCTATTTTGGTGACTTTAGCATTTAAAGGCGATAAGTGTTCAAAGATGCAAAAAATCAAAGGATCAATTGACAGTAGTCCTATGTACTAATATGGATGGATCCGAAAAGCTTCCGGTTTTTATTATTGGAAATTCTCAAAAGCCGCGTTGCTTGAAAAGCAACAAATTTCCGATTGATTATGTGTAAAACACTTATGTAAATGAAATTGCATTGAAAAACTATAAGGGAAAAAATTTTGGACTTGAAATTCTCTCTCTACATAACGGAAACTCCATATAGCGGAAAATTTTTGTGGTGCCTTCCATTCCGTTATAGAGAAGTCGACTGTATTCCCATCGCTTAACCTTTCTAGTTATCTTATCAAATTTTATTTCAGATGCCAATGATATTTTTGTATGACAATGTCGGTGTGGCGATTTGCCCCTTGTTCTTGAATAGCCTCATGCTGATCTTGATGTATCGAAAGATCGAAAACATCGAAAGATGAGCGCAAACACGAACAAAATACAAAAAGTCGTGGATTTTCAAGGGTGTTTTCGTTTATTCTAATCTCTGGGAAGGTTGAAAGTTGTATTCAGATCGCCATCCAATGATTCGGCATTTGCACGGCGGTGATGATCACCGCATTTTTTTCTGTACAATCGCCTTGGGCTTCATCGTGCTCCCCCTATTTATGTACCTTATCACAAACGGTTATGGCAATTTTCGAATAGTGAGTGAAAAACCAAGAAAAGTGAAGGATCATGGCCTGAAGTAGAGTGTGTCATTGCTTGTGATTAATCAACTAATCGATTAAAAGTCGACTGCTTTCTAAAAGCATCTAAACGTGTTTGAAAAGTGAAAAGTGAAGCTAATGTATTTTCTATGACTTTTAAATGTTAATTAGTATTTTAGTAATTTTGGAATTTGTATCAAAAGTTTAGAACTTGTATTCAAAGTGGTTTGTATTCAACCGTGCCTTTTGTCAAACACGCGTTGTAGAAAACGCACTAGTTGTGAGGAACACACTCTAGAACACACTCCATCTCGTTGAAGGCTTCAATTCGGCGTGGTTTAAATCTAGTCAACGTTCAAAGTCAAGCATAGTCAAGGTCTCAGACCATGAAAGACTCTTTGATGAGACGGGCAGATATTTAAAAATATTTCCCCAAAAAATCACTTAAGGTTCGATCACCATCTTCTACATGGTGGTTAACAAGACGATGCGACGCGAGGTGCTCAAACTGATCTACCGAATCGCTTCATTGGTAAGACTCCAACCATATAAAGTCATCTCGTCATTGAATCAAACCCCTTGAAAAGGAGTTTAGCTAGATTTTGGACTGAATTTCAGAATGAGGTGCGTTGAAAGCTATTTTTTATACACTGTACATAGATGCTTTTTGTTATAAAGTCATAAAACCATATAGCTAGAAATAGATTTTTATAGAATTAGCATATTTGCATCAATTTAAATACAGCTTGCATCGGATCCAAAGGACAGATTCGGACGTCTGAACCGAGTTCGGAACAGCGGGTTAACATATAAATAAATAAAATAGCGGGTTAAGATTTCTTGAGTTGTTTCGAATGAGAGAATGGATCAATGTTCTGACGATAAGGAAAAAAGAGCCGCTTCAAAGAACACACAGCATTTGTGCTTTGTTTCAGCTCCGCCATGACTTATAAAATGACCTTATAAAATGAAAACAAAGAATTTCTTTCTCGTTTGCTGCTGAAAGTGCTAATGGTAAGTAAGTATACGGTAGTTCAAAGCTCCAGTATACTTACCTACACTGACCCCTACATAAAGCATACTGTAACTTCAGGGCTGTAATACCTGACTACAGTATACTGTACTTTCAATAAGAGTATTGACTGGTTTTCACAGTGGCAACTAGAGCCGATTCACTCAAGAGGTTAGCTGCCGTAAAACTATCGTAATCTAAATTCTATCATAATTCAACAAAAGCTCCAGGTTATGAAAACTAAAACTACTGGGCGCAAAAAGCCAGCATTGATCCAAGTATAAAGTGTCGAACAGTGATCGAAAAGGGGAATCAGGTAGTTCTAGAATGGTCTGTAGTGTTGTTGCAAATTGCAAATCACCAAATTTCTTCACCTTTTCATTTCTTTTAATTATTTTATCAGAGGTGGGGTTCTTTCTGTTTATTATGAGAGGAGGCGAGCGAAAATATCCCACGTCTCATGTCTTCTCGACTGATAAGTCTTGACTTCAAAAAAAAGGCGCTGATTCATTCATTCCCGAATCGATACTTTCTCAAAAATTTTGCTTTTAAAGATTACCTTAATTTCTTAACTTGATTGGGATTGCTTATCAGTTAATCATGCAGTGATGACTCGTCATTTTACAATTTCTTGCGCGAGAAAGATTGGAATATTGATTGAAATCGGTATTTAGGTCAACCATGGGTGACACAAACAATCGGCTTTCCGCGGAAGATGAAATGGGTAAGTGAGTTGTGATTGGGTCTAGATTTTCATTATAACAACGTACCCTGATTGCCTAAAATTTTTCCTGGCTTGTAATCCTTAGACCTGCTACCATAATCCCTAGTCTTAATGGTCAAAAGAATGCCCCCATTACTGTAGTCCGTAATTCGTATCCGTATTCGGGGTTACGGCAGCCGAGATGTTACCGTAGTCCATATGCCTGATTACTATTCTATTACCTGATTGCTTTCAGAAGCAGCAGAAGTATCGGTACGTATCAGTATTGATACGTATCGATGCTGTTAGAATTGGTAAACAGAAACCGTTTGGCTGGATCACAAATTCCAAAAAATCTCTTTTAGAAAGAAGAGAAATTGACAGTGGAGCCCCGAGTGAAGAATTCTTCATTGCTGAAGAAAGTGAGCTCGAGTTTGTCGGATCGGCTCCACCATCGAACATTTGGTGGAGATTTGCAGTCTATATTTTGATTGCCTTCTAAAACGTGTCCCTCTCCCCGTAATGTTGTCTCTATTTTTGATCGATACGTCTACTTTTGTATCTTCCGATATTCTTTGTGAATCCTCATCGAATCAGAAAAAAGTACGATTTGATAAAGTTAGAGACAAGATTACGGTAGAAAGAGAAAGGGGAAACGTT